GAAGGGGGATTGTTGATCAGGACACCAGAAGAAATTCCCTTCTCTTTTCCATAGTGCTGTTAACCTGAATTTACAGGTGGGGCCTTAGATTAACATCTCATCTGAAGGTCGGCACCTCCAACAGTGCAGCACACCCCAGCATTGCGTTGGCCTGTGAGGTTAGACTGTATGAGTTCCAACAACAACTTGCATTTATATAGCGCCCTTATGGTATCTTGGAGTGCTTAACATTGGCAGAGCCCGATGCCGATCCGGGGGAAGTTGACCGTAAGCACGGTTGAAGAGGAAGGTCTTCAAGTGCAACCTGAAAATGGGGAGAGAGGGAGCAAGGCAATGGGATTGAGGGAGTGAGTTCCACAGCTTCGGGGTGTAGTCCTAACGGGGGACTTGAACTCACAACCTTCTCACGTAGAGGGGAGTACTACCAGCTGATCCAGGCTGACACTCAAAATTATTTTGTTTTTTTAAAAAAAAGTGACTTTTTGAGATGTTCCTTGAACATATTCAAGACTGAGATAGATTTCTTATTGCAAAAGGGATTAAGGGATATGTGGATAAGGCAGGGTCAGGTTATTAGCTGGAGTTAGATTGGAAGATCAGCCATGATTGAATGGCGGGGCAGGCTCGAAGGGCCGAATGGCCTACTCCTGCTCCTATATGTTATGTTCAGTATCCTATCATTTTGGTAGTAGTAATAGAAACCTGCAAGAGGAAAGTAATATAATGTTTCACAGGATGTATAAAGAACGTTGGATGCTATAAAACTAGATGGTTAGAGACAGACCATTTGTCCCATCAGGTCTTCAATGGTGTTCTTCTCGATATGAGCCACCTGGTCCAATCCCTTCCTCCATATATGCGTTAACCTTCTTTGCTAATGGAGTTCCAATGAAGATCTAGATTTAACACAAATCCGAACAACGCTTGCACTTGGGAATCTGTGCTAAATGTAGTGGAATGCATGAGGCACGTGGTATTTTCCCTTGGTGGAATCAGTATGGATATAGATCAACCAGCATTAAGGGTGGGAGGGGGGACCAGTGCAAACAAGTGTTTATTTGTTTTTAATGCAACTGACTAATGGATCCATTTTGATTGCACACATCAGAAAAGATGATTCATAGTTACAGTGTACCAGTATGGGAATAATTTAATTGACATTGTCAGCAGATTAGAAGTTTAGTGTTTGTTTTTCTTAATTTCTTCAGGCGTTTTTTTCTTAGTTTATGATTTTTAACTTCTCTTGCACTTTACATCTTTCAGCTTTCAAGTTGCAATGAACATATAAGCAGAATATACATATTTGTTCTTCCGGTTATAGCTCGTTGAGAATTAGGCCAAGTTATGGGACATCTGGCAGTTCACTAGAGACTAGGGAGGTTGATGGATTTGCATCCTATCGATTGTCATTGCGCAAGTGAATGCAGATCCCAAAGCGAATGTTCAATCGGTGAAAACGCAATAGATTTCTTATACAACAGTAGCTGCTCGGATGGAGAAGTGTTGCATAGTTTGTAAGGGATTGAGGGAATTAGTATGCTTCTTATTTCTTCTATCCTAATTAAGTGATATCTCAATGAAACCGATCACTGAACAATATAAAGATTAATGTAAAATGTGACTTTTACCTAATTTATACATTGCTAGTGTTAATGTAACATTAGCAGCAGTAGAACAATTGATGCTTTCTGCTAACACATGGATAGACGCAGCTTTAGCTGCAAATGAATTTAAATTTTGTCCTTTAAATAGGACATTTTAAATTACTGGGTAGATGTTAGCAATGCTAATATAATAATATATTAATTATGATATAATAATAGCAATAATAAGTCATCCTTCATTTTACTTAACAAATGATTTATTGGATAAGCTGCCTTATTCAATCGTGTTCTCTGACGTCAGCGTCTTGTGACAACCTCCTGACTTGAAAGGTGCTATACAAATGAAATTTGTTGTTGTTGTAACTACTAAGTTTTAATGTTGTCCCTGAGAATGCACACAGTATTTTCAGTGTTATTATTGGAGGAGGAAAAGAGATTGAGAAAGAAAGATTACTTTAAGAATGTTTCTTTGAGATTAAGAAACTTGTCACTTGGCTGACCTCTGTATCCCAGTAAATATTCTGTCCAGTGTAGGCTTCCCTGTAGCAGTCTCATTTATCAATGGATTCTTGAAATTTCATTGATGTTTCCAGAAAAATCATATTCTGTGAATATAAACATTTGGATTTTAGCACAGTTCCAAATGTTAACAGCAATCTCATTATTGTAGGAATATAGAAGCCAGAGGAGGCTATTCAGTTCATTGAGTTTAATCTGCCAATTTATTCGATTATGTCAGATTTTTTTATCCCAGTTCCCAACACCCCATTTAATGTTCTTAATTCCTAAGTATCCATCCCCTTTTTAACCTGTACATTGTATGGAGATGTAAAATTCCCTCAATCTATTATCCAGTTTGGATATTTGTGTAGTTTTGCTTTAACTTATTGCAGTATTAGAGGATCAACTGATAGATATGGACATAATAGATATCATAGGCTCAAATTGCTGGTGATTCCCAGTTCACCATTGTACCTACAGTAGGTACTGAGGTCTGGCGGCACCAAACGGATCTCTGTTGTGCTGTTTTTACCGAGTTCCTTTATTTGTAGCTTTATGTTCCGGTCACATAATTGCTCACTTAACCTTGAGATACGAGTCTCGGAATATCTCCCAACTGCTACTGTGAGCCAACTTGGCTCAGCGGTAGCCCTCTTGTCTCTAGTTGGAAGGTTGTGGGTTCAAATCCTACATCAGGACTTGAACTCACATAGTCTAAAACTGACAATCCAATCCAGCACTGTGCGGTGTTGTAGGTGCCGACCTTTGGATGAGATGTTAAATTGAGGTCCCGTCTGCCTGTTCAGGTGGATGATGTATGATTTGAAAAGTGAAGCGAGTTTCTCTTGGTGTCCTGGCCAACAATCCCCCAAATGTGACTATCCTCCTTGGGTGGGAGGTAAGCAGGGTCTCCTTGGATCTGGCAACCGAACGTGGGAGCCAGCCCTCTGTGGCGGTAGTCCGGTTCCTGGTACGGCGGGTTGGCAGTATTCCATGGCACTGCTGATGACCGCACAGCCAACCTGACTCATCGGCATGCTCAAACAGCAGACCAGTCTCTGGGGTCAGGGAATCATCCCACTCAGCTCTTGCTGATCCTGCAAGCCAAAACCTTAATGGGGAGGGTAGTCCTAGCTGGACAAGCAACGGAAAAGTTTGGTGGACAGCAATATCAATGATAAGCAATGCGGTTTTAGCTGGTTAGACTCCAAAGTACCCCAACACACACTCTGGGATCCCCAAGCCTTGGCTCTTGCCAACCTGCACCTAATACTTTCTGGACTTAGCTAATCAGGATGTGTCTCTCCAGGGAGAGAGTTCACATTCCATTCCAACAATCTGTCTCTGGGATTTCCATGTGTAGGTGGGATGCCTGGAAACCTCAGCTTGGTTTGGATACTCTTAAGCATGGTGATGGGTTACCACGTGTGTCAGACACCTGGTTAACCAAAAAACAATTCCCCTGAATAAAATTGGTGACTCAATTCATGACTGTTTGGGGGACATTGCTGTCTGTAATTATGCCTATGAATACACAGTCATCCATTTCACAGTAATTCCTTTAATGTGCTTTGAGACATCCTTCGGATGTGATACGCGCTATATATCAAATGCAAGTATTATTACTGAATGAAGCTGTGAAAGCAAAGTTCATGCTTCTTCACAAGGCACCTTCAGTCTTCCACATCCTGTTATTGAAACTTCCTCACCTTCTGCCTTATGAGAGGTTGCAAAAAAAGTTATCCCAACAGGGCCGATTTCATTGCTGACATGGGACATTTTACCCACCAGCTCATAAACCCTTGTATTCAGCCATAACAAACGTGTGACCTTAAAACTGTCTGTTTGATAAACCGCATTTCATATTACTAGTGATTACGTGCTCAGTGATGATGAAACCAGTCTGTAACAATATAATTTCATGGCTGTTGAGTGTAGGTAAATGACTCCTCCATTACCTTGAAGCTGGAGCTAATCCTGTTTGGTATAGTCTTTTTAAAAAGGCAGAACCCACTCAAGTTTTTGATTTCAAATAATGCTCCTTTCAAAATGTTAACATTCTGTGAATAAAATTCCTGGTGTTTGTGATTTTTGTAGTGATTTTAAATCAGTACCTTTGGCCCATGAAGACTGAAATGAGTATTTGTCATTCATGGGAGAATGATGACATCATTTCATTTACTTGTTAACCATAGTTCTTTTTATGTATTTGATAAAAACCTGTTTAATATTTCACATAATAATATTTCACATGGTTAATTAATGCCCCAGTTATACTAAGTTTGTTTTGACTCGATGTATCAATTCAACAGTATGTGGTTTGACCATTTCACCACATCTTAAATTGGGTAACTCAGCACAGACTGTTATTCACAGAGCTTAGACTTGTTCAGAGCTTACACTGCAACTCGTCTGCCTGAACCCCTTCATTGCATCCGCTCCATGAATCTGTGCTGTCAGTATAACTCATCTAAATTTGTAGAATAAATGCAGTACTTGAGGATGTGCACATTTTAAAATTTCTCATCCCCACTACAAAACATGATAAAGCTGAAGGCTGCTTACCTCATCTACATTTCAGCTTCAAATTAAGTCGGCGGGTAACTGAACAGCTTGGTACATGGACTGACTTTGGACAAGATCTCCACATAAACCTTTGGGGGTAGTTTTCCATATACTATGAGCCATCTTGGATTGTCATTTTGGGGTGGGAGGTAGGGGGAGTGTGAATATTGTACTGTGAGCCAAATGACTACTTGTTTTACTTCTCTCTGATTCCTCCAACAAAAACTAGCTAGAATGCTTCTTACTGGATATGAGAATAACCTAAAGGATGGCTCATTGTTTTATTGATTAAACTCTTCATTTGGTTTCCCCTTTTTTTTTCTCTTGCAGGATTAAAGTGTGTGTGCTCCCAGTGTGTGAATGACAACCTCACATGTGAGACTGATGGACTCTGCTTGGCAACAGTGACCCGAACAGGAGATCGAATAGTGCACAACAAAATTTGCGTTTCAAGTTCTGAGCTGATTCCACCAGATCGGCCTTTCGTATGTGCTCCATCTGCAAGGCAAGCTGTCTCAGCTGTTTGCTGTAATTCAGATATGTGCAACAATCCTGATCTACCTGTACCGACCGAAGGTAAGCCTACCATTCTGGGTGGGAGCATACTTTTTGAGAGTAGAAAAGACAAATTTACATTTCAAAAGTGCCAAGTGTATCTGGAAACTAATTTGTTTGCATAGTAGACCTATTGAAATAGAATCATAGAATGTTAAAGACTCAGAAACAGACCATGCAGTGCATCAAATCTACTTGCTGTTTTTCATATGAGTTACCTAATCCTGTTTTTCTGCTCCTTCCTCTTAACCTTTAATATTCTACTTTTGCTTGGGCCTCAGCTATTTACAATTTACATCAATGATCTAGACGAGGACATTGAATGTAACGTATCTAAATTCGCGGATGACACTAAACTAGGTGGGAGAGTAAGCTCTGAGGCTGATGCAAAAAGATTGCAATGAGATATAGATAGACTAGGGGAGTGGGCGAGAAGGTGGCAGATGGAATTTAATATGGGGAAGTGTGAAGTTATTCACCTAGGTAGCAAAAATAGAAAAACAGATTATTTTCTAGAGGGAGAAAGATTAGATAGTGTTAATGTTCAGCAGGATTTGGGTGTCCTTGTACACCAGTCTCAAAACGTTAGTTTGCAGGTGCAGCAAGCAAGTAAGAAGGCGAACGGCATGTTAGCGTTCATTGCAAAAGGTTTAGAGTACAAGAATAGGGAAGTCTTGCTGCAACTGTATAGGGCCTTGGTGAGACCGTACCTAGAGTATTGTGTGCAGTTTTGGTCTCCTTATTTAAAAAAGGACATACTTGCCCTAGAGGGGGTGCAGCGTAGATTCACTCGGTTAGTTCCTGGGATGAAGGGACTGACCTATGAGGATAGGCTGAATAAACTAGGGCTATATTCTCTAGAGTACAGAAGAATTAGGGAAGATCTTATTGAAACATATAAGATTCTTAAAGGGCTGGATAAAGTAGACACTGAGGGTCTGTTTCCCCTGGTAGGAGAATCTATAACCAGGGGTCACAGTCTTAAAATTAAAGGTCAGCCTTTTAGAACAGAGTTGAGGAAACATTTCTTCACTCAGAGAATGTAGATGCTCAGTCCTTGAACATCTTCAAGGCTGAGACTGATAGATTTTTAAAATATAGAGGGATTAGGGCATATGGGGATAGGGCAGGTAATTATAGTTAGTTCAGAAGATCAGCCATGATCTTATCGAATGGCGGGACAGGCTCGAAGGGCCGAATGGCCTACTCCTGCTCCTAATTCTTATGTTCTTAAATAATTTATACATGTTTAAATAACTGGCCCAAATTGATACATCAACTATGTTAACACTGTTTCAGGCAGTAATTTAGAAATACAAATATGATTAACCAATAAAATCCAGAAGAAATAATTTTCTTGCTTTAAAATGGATTCCAGTCTCCATTCATCACTTAATCATTTGTGGAGTCCTGTAGCTCAGTGGTTATAGAGCATTCGCCTCGCATGCGAGAGACCTGGGTTCTATTCCCGGCAGGATAAAATGTTGGGCAAGTTTCCTTACTCCACGCCCTCTGTTTACCTAGCAGTAAGTAGGAACCCGGTTGTTGGTTGATTGGTAGATCGCTTTTCCGGGGATGATAATCCCTAAATAAAAAAATATTAATTTGGTCACTCAATCCACGACTGTTTATAGGACACTGCTGTGCGCCATGTTTTGCCCACAGATTATACAGTCAATTCACTTTACAGTATATTCTGTGAAGAGCTTTGAGACTTTAGAAGATGTGAAAAGCGCTATATCAAATGCAAGGATTATTATTATTTTATTATTTGTAATTAAAGGATATCACTGTGCTGTACTACACTCATTTTGTCCTGTTCATAGACCCACTATTTCAGTAATCTAGCGTCAGTGTTCTGAAACGCCTTTCTGTTATTTGTACAGGTTGAAGGGAACAGCACACTGCTGTTTATTTCTGTGGGTGTTTGTGAGAGGGCAACTAGATTGTGAATTTGGGTATTCCTATGTCATCTTTTTGTGGTGCTGGCAAATTAAACTTAGTACTACCTTTATTCTTTAACGGTAATGTTCCTGACCCAAAACCTGTCTTTGGCGACTTTGGTTGTTTATCTGCATAAATGAAGAGATCTTAAAATCAATTTTCTTTTAAGTTCTCTCTTAGTTTCTCTCTTCAAATGTCTACATGTGGATTTAATACTATTTGTCTCCATTTCATTGACCTCCCTACCCAGTGTTTGCTAACTGTATCTCTGAGTTTAAATGCAACTTAATCCATATTTCACAGATTTGTGTGAGGGAAGATCACACCAAAGCCAGAGAATGTCGCTTTCTGACTGTATCTTTTAAGCTGAAGATGTCCTAATGATTAACAGAAAAGCAAACAAAAGCATGACTTGCAAAGTAAAAATATAATGAATGAACGATCCACTGACGATTCTCAATACTAATAAAGCACTTTGTGGTCACCTAGATTTCAATTGGCCTGAAGTCACTGCACTGGTTTAAATCATGTTGAATCATCAATTACTGCATACTTGCAAAGATTGATGGCCACTGTAGGATTCATTCTCTGGTAGTGGGGAGTGGGAAGAATGGGGTGCAGGCAGAACGTTTCTTTTTTTAGACTTAACTATTCAGTAATTGATTGTCACCGTAAAACAATAAATACAATTGAAACAGTCATATGAATGAAACCATGGTTGAACTATTAACAACCCCAGAAAAGAATGCTTTGGAAATTCTGTTGGGTAACATAAGGACAAGCAATTGATACTGTTGTCTGTAGATTGAACCCACCTGGACCCACAAAGAAAACAAGTCAAATTACTTGACACACCAGTATAGCTAAATAAGCAGACACATCTGCAAGGGGGCAGGGAGAACGCAGGAATACTTCTGTGTAGCTCTGTATAATCCCCTACTCAGTGTCTCTGTTGAGCTGCCTGTGATGATGATTAAAAAGTAATCCTTGCAAATGAGAAAGCGTCTTTTCACATCATCATGACTCTATGTACTAACGTACATACAGTACTCAAAGTACTGACGTGGGGCTTGGACCCACAGTCTTCTGACCTGAGAGATGAAAAGGCTACCAATTGAGACGGGCTTTAAGACTTTTAGAACTGAGGTCAGCAAAGATTTCTTCAGGGTTGTGAAAATGTGGAGTGCTCTGCTCCACAAAGCTGCAGAGATGGAATCAATAGGAATGTTTAAAAGAGAGGTCTCTGTGGTAGAGTATTGAGGAGTATAGCTAAAGGACAGATATCAGGATTAAAAGAGCTGCGGACACCTTATGCACTGTTGGACCAGGCTCGATAGGTTGAATCGGATTCTTTTGCTCCTTTGTTCCATCTTCTGACAAATAACGTAGAGAAGGGGTGACTCCCATGTAAGCCAATGAAAAAAAAGGTGTGCAATTAAATATTAGCTTGGAATAAAGCACAACTCCCCACCCAAGGGGATATTTGAAGAGTGATGTGGATTAGGTAATGTGACAATATTAGAATGAGATGATCCTTTCAATCACAGGTCCACGTACAACACAGGGCTCCAGGCCTGTAGATAGTCGAAAGCAGTTGTGTACAGAAAAAGCAGTTATGTAGCCTCCAAAGGAAACTGCAACAGAGAGAAAGCACAGCTGACAACAGCTCAGAAGAGACCACTGTGATCACTGAGTGTGGGTGAAAACAAGGGTAAAAATTCAAAGTATTACCTAAAATGTCCCGGTCTCCAAGGCATTTCTAAAGTAGGAATAATCCATACCAATAACTTTTTCTGAAGAAAAAAAACCCAAGCTTAATTTATGCAAATAGAATAATGAACAAAGGTGGTTGCCATAGGACTCACTCCCACAATCTAGTTGTATTTTGACCAATTTGTGCCTCAGATTGTTTGGTTGAGCGACGGTGCGATCATAATTCAGTAGTGGATTGGGTTAGTAGAAGGTATCCTGATGTAGATTGTTACATTAATCCAATGAGAGCTGGAGGCATTCTATATGTCGAGTTATATTGTTCATTATGATCTGCAGGAGCAAAGAATGAGAGGAAACAGGAAATAGTTTCTTAGAAAAATCAGTCGAGGTGGCTGGCTGTGTCTGACTTTGAGGAAGTTTCCTGCAAGACCTTATCTATCATGCATTTTAACATGCAGTCGCTGTTTTCAAAATGCTCAGTCAGGAAGAACCCAGGTTTGTGCTGAGTTAACTAATCTCACTTAGGGAACCAGGTGCCTCAATTTCTGCCCCATGTTAGAAAGGGAAAATCAGTTTGGATTCATTCTGATTTACTTGAGGATCCATGCCTTATCTTGGGGATTGCAGTAGCCCTACTTCAACTTATCCTTGTGGATAACAATAGCCCACCCCCTCCTTCCCACACACCCTGACAGATTCCCACACTCCCTCCAAAAGTCAGTCTCCTGTATTGTTGACATCCAACATCCAAGCAACAAATACACATTACTGCGTAGTTCATATGTTGATTGTTGCATTTTATGTTAATGTCGGAAAATGTCGTCTTAAGATATGGACGTTTGGCATGAAATGCCCTTATTCTCTTTATTTCTAACCCACACTTTCAATGTTGGAAATGTTTTGGTTATCAAGGATATCCCTTAATGCAGCATGAAATTTGCTGAAATTTGTTGTATGTGTCACAAATCCTTCACTGTTGTGTCAGAAATCAACTTGTCTTTATGCTAAAATGTATATTAGAAAGTGATTGCTTTTTGGGCACAAAGGGGAAAAACGGTCATTCACTTTGTGTCTGTTTGTGGGCTGTTGCTGCATGTTAATTGGCTGCCTCTTTGCCTATAAATACAGACAATATACTTCACAGTAATGTCCTGTGAAGCGCTTTGAGACATCTCAACAACACAGGGGACTATATTAAGCATTGGTTTTAAAATTGACCATTTTAACTTGCTAACAGCTGAAGTAAGGAAGCTGTCTGTCTTGGTGTCAGTTGAAAGTCTGAAGTATGTGAAAAACAAACATTAAGGGTTTTAAAGTAAGCCAATATTAGTCATAAGCTCCCAGACAGGTTTGTTACCACACATCCTGCTGTCTCAAAAAGAAACCGATTTGAGGAACTGAATTCAACATGAAATAAACAAGTTGTTTAAGAGCCAGTTTCTTTTGTCTGAAGTGCTTTTATTTCTTTTGTTTGCTACTGAAAAAGTATTAGAATTTTGTTTTTCTCTTGAAAACAGACATGTTTGAAAACAGTTCTCCACTTTGCAATGCCTGTCTTGCTATTAGTCTGGCTGGTGTTCTCATGATGCTTGGAAAGGCTATGAGAGAAAATAAACAAACTTGGAAAAATAATTGCCTGTCATTATTGATGGGGCTGTGTAAGTCTCAGCGATAATGGAAGAAGGTGACAATTAACAACATCTGGTCCATTGCTCTCCATTTTCTATCTGCATTTTATTTTCTCCATTTATTACTTGCATTTTTTTCTATTCTTCAATCCTTTCGTTCTCTTGCTCAGTTTTTGAATTATCTGCTAATTTGAATGTACCAAACTCAACTCCCAATAACATTAACTTGACTTGCTTGGAACTTTGCAGGGGCAGATCCATTTTGTTTCCAAAACATCCACTGTATTTTATAAAACACTTTAGAGATGTCTTTTTCATGAAAGGTGCTATGTAGATGCAAGTTATTAATAATCCTAACTGGCTTTTTGGTAGGTTGATGTAAAATAAATCAGTGTTAGAATTAGTGAATAACAAAGTTTTTGTTTTATGTTTTGATAAACAGTTTTTCTCACTTTATTTTGTTCATGTATAGGGCTGACTCAGTTAGTAGCACACTCACCTCTAATTCAGAGGTCGTAGGCTCAAAGCCCATGTTGGGATTTGTAACTCATTTTCTAAGATGACATTCCAATACAGTGGTGGGGTGGGGTGCATTGCTGGAGGCGCTGTGTTGAACTGAGGACCGTCTGCCTGTTCAAGAGGATATTAAAAGATCTCATGGAACTATTTTAAAAAAGAAAGTTTCCCCGATGTCTTGACCAGCATTACCCCAAATAAACAGTCCCATCACTTCATGGTTTGTGGGGCGTTGCCACATGCAAATTGGTTGCACAGTATATCCCACAAAGTGCTTTGGGATGCCCTTCTGACATGAAAGGCCGTATACCAAATGCAAGGATTATTATTTAACTGCACAGTAACTGTCAGCTAATAATCCAATCTGGATTTGTATGGTCTGTTTATTAATGCAATGTAAAGAAACAGTGCTGAGTAGATATCAAGTTAAAACATTTATTATGATCTATATTTGGTTTATTGTAGTGCTCTACCTAATTCTAGTTGGATCTTTGCGTAGCTGTGACTGAGGATCCCGAAGGGAGCTAGAGAAGAAATAGTGGAGGGTCTTAAGTATATTTGTGCAAATTTTGTGGAATATGATTGCACCTTAAATGGGAGTACAAAAAGCAAAAGGATCTTGGTGTGCAAACTGAGGTCGTTACTAGTTTTGCAAAATAAATTGATTTGACCCAGCCCAGTGTAAATTTACAAAAGCTCTTAGCAGCAGTGACATTTACATTAATAAAGGTAACAAATTATATTCTAGTGCTATAAACTAGATTGCAAAAAAATGCTTTGCCACAGTTGAGATTCTTTTCAAAGTTGCAGAACAGAACCCAAAATGTTATTGTGATTGAGCAGTGTAAACAAGGTAATTAAACATTACCTTGAACTTTTTGCAGGGGTGTTTATGATGCAATGTTTAAACGCAGGTATCTTTTGTATAATGTACAGATTTCAAAAAACAGCTTCAAACTAAGGGCAATGAAAGAATAGAAAATGCAGGGCAGATGGTAGAACAAATAATATAATTCTTGTACAGTATTTGATAATCGCATCTATAATCTCAAAGACCTTAACAGGGATTTTCTGTCAACCTTGGTAACTATTTGTAGGTAAATGAAGTAGCCAATTTTCACACAGTTGGCCCACAAACCACTATAAAGTGAAATCAAAAGAAAGACATGATTTGTGAAAGACTAATCAATTTGTCTGGAGGATTGTTGTTCAGGACATCAGAAGAATCTACCTTCTCTTTTTGAATAGTGTCATGGGATTTTTCATGTTCATCTAGACTGACTGAATCTCATTCTCATACGAATGGCATGCTTTTCCAGTATTGGTCTGGAGTGTTACCTATATGTAGGTCTTGAACCCACAACCATTTACTTCAGAGATAAGAGTACTGCAAACCAAACTGAGCTAAACTCTCAAGGAATTAAAGTATTTGAATTAATAACTAGATGAGTACCTGGAAGAGGATTCTATATTAAAATGAAGAGCTGGAGTGTCAACAGAATCTTTTGGGAAGCTGGATAGGACAATAATCTATTGCCTAAAACTATTGTTATTTACTATGCAAAGTTTATTTTCAACTTATTTGTTTCCCCTGAAGGTTTGGGTTCACAAGAGTGTTCGCTGCCCCATAGTACCACATCAAAAAGTATGAGCTTCAGGTGTGAATGTAGACATTGCATGTGGATAGCAGCACAGGAGATTCAGCCAATCACTCTTGTACAGAGTTCAGGATGGAAAATCATGGCTGATTTGATTTTCTTCCCTCTCACTAGCCCAGTGTTGTTGAGGCTAGTTGTGGTACAAACAGTTGCTCTTTTTAACTCCGATTCTGAACCTTTACAGGCCTGTATGTTTTAGTACTTTGTCACAAGATGCTTTTACCTATAACCATCATTGGAACTACTTGTTAAAGCTGTGTATGTTCAGAAAATGCATTCATGTGTACTTCCGTTCTGACTTATAATAAGATCTTACAGCAACCCATTCAATAGAGGATATTCACATTCTGGTGATTATTTTCAACTCATTTATTTTAACACTGCAAGTCTTTTATTGAACATTGTAGTTGAAGCAATGAATTCAATTAAAATATTTCAAAGTTGTCAGAGTGAATATTAACTTAGTGCTAAGATTCCAGCATTTCAAAATACTGTTTGAAATAGAAGATAATGTTGACTCATTTTACTTCAAACCTCATGGTTGGCAAAAAGATGTGGGAGAAAAGCTAAATCTGGTAGTTCTGTGAAGTGGCAAACCTGGTGCCTTTCTGGCAACTTATTGATTATAAATAAGAGTTGTTGTTGCTTAACTCTGTAATTGTGTTTGTGATTGTTTCTAGAGATCATAGTACATCCTTCACTAAACCTGGGTCCTGTGGAATTAGCAGCTGTCATCGCTGGACCAGTATGTGTGGTTTGCATTTTATTGATGGTGACCCTCTACTTTTTTCATAATCGTAATGTCATTCACCACCGAGTTCCACATGAGGAAGATCCCTCCATAGATCATCCTTTCATTTCTGAGGGCACCACTCTCAAAGATTTAATATATGACATGACCACCTCAGGATCTGGTTCAGGTAAGCTGGTGTTTTTATTTAGTGACTATGCTTCTGTACAAGTTTTAGATATTTATCTTGTATCTTCGATCGGTATTTTTGAAGCTCAAATCTGTTAATTTTAGGAAATGTTTCTGTAGTATATTTGAGATCAGATATAATTGGTGAACGTATTGCATCTTGTCTTAAGCCTTATACCTAGTTACTATTGTTTATGATCAGCTGGGTATCTATATCTGCCATAAATAGAAACCCAGTATCATGCTTAAGAATATCTAAATCAGACTGAAAGTTCTATACATGTATGCCACCTACACCTGTCTGAAATAGAATGTGCGCTCTCTCGTTGAAGGAACCCTGCTTATCTAATTCTGGAGAGTATCAGGGTTAGCACGAACCTAGGCTTGGGGACCCCATGGTGTATGTTGGGGTACTGCTGGAGTCTTAACAAGCTAAAACTTCATAGCTTACAATTGAAAGTGCTGTCTGGTAAGCTTACTGGTGCTTGTCCAGCGAGGGCCACACTGTCCGTTGGGGCTTTGGCTTGCAGGGTTAACACGAGTTGAGTGGGAAGAATCCCTGCTCCCAGTGATTGGTTTGCCCCAGTTAGGATAGGGGACTCTTTCAGAGATTTGATTCTGGCAAAACTGGACCCAACTGACTGACATTTAGATTCTCAGCGAGCCATAAAGAAACGAATGCCAGCTGACTGTTTGACAGGAACAGCTGACCTAATTTTCTCTGCTTAGAGGAAAGTGGTAAGCACTGTCAATTCACAATCAGATTTATGGATTAGAATGCTTGGTAATCATGGGCAAACGCACAGCAGCCAGAGTGAATGTAAAATGAAGGTTCACTCACAACCGCATGTTATCTGATCACCATTTGGATTCAAAGCACATTGGTTGACTGGAACTACTAGCCTCGAGATCCAATAAAAAAAAAGGTGGTTCGCTTAGATGTACTTTTTGCCTTGCGGGGTTTCTTGTCTTCATTAATGATCTGGTAGACGTTATCAAAAGCAGTGATTAGGCAGGCTTTTACCATCTAAATCACTGCAGATCAGTATTGACTATTTTGAACAGTAAGAAGCTAACCAGACTGATATGCAAGCTTAGCACTGATAAGCCATTTCTGCTATTTATTCTGACTCATAACAGCCACTATAGTCCAATTTGAGCCTTGTCCATTTTACATTCGACTCTGGCTTGATCGTGTTTTGTATACAACAATGGTCAACCCACCACTTAAACAGCATATGCAATGGTTTTGATTTTTTAAAATTTGAGCAGCAGATTAAAACTAATAGAATCCCTAACACAAGCTGTTAGCGATGGTTTCCTTTTCCACCTCTTGCTCTGGCTGAAGTTATTATCATTTTCTGGGAAAGTGCAGTATTGTTGTAGATGAGGAGTTAGACCAAGACCTCCATCTACCTGCTCTTCGGATGGACATAAAGAATCCCAGAAGGAAGCTTCTCCTGGTATCTTGGCCAACAATCCTTTAGTTTAATTAGACATTCACCTTATAGCTATTTGCAGGACCTTGCCGGGTGCAAAATCACTGTAATGTTTGCTTACAAAGTAATACTTGATAGAATTTTTGTAAATACAATACAAATTTACATTTATATAGTGCTTTTTACGTCAGGAAGACAAACCAAGGCGTTTAATAATCTGGGCTTGGCACCCAAGCTAGGGTTGGGAGCTGCCGGAGATGGGGAGGGGAAAGATGACCGAAAGTGTGGCCAGAGAGATTGGTCTTTAGATGAACTTTGAAACGGGTGAGGAAGGGAGGGAATCGGGTGGAGTTCCACAGAATGGAGGCAGATAAGCTGAAAGCCTGACAGCTGATGATAGCATGTCTGGGTATTTGAAGCAGGCTTTGTGAAGAGCTTGAGATGTATTGCTGTGATAATAATAATAATAATCATCCTTGCATTTGGTGAAAGTACTATAAACTGGAAGTTTCTCCTCTTCCTTAAATCATCCTATGAAAATATGTTGGGATCCAAACTGGAAACGTAGGAGAGCATTTGAACTTTCAATGAAACATGGCATGGGTTCATTATGGTTGCGCTATTTTCCTATTTTCCTCCTAATATGTATGTGCATGGGGACCTTTTCTCATTTTTTTTTCTCTTTCCTGCTGGCAGATGTTCTGTTAAGCAAACAGGAAATGTTTGTTTTAAACATTCTCATTGGTTTCTTCAGAGTCGTCCTTATCTTTTTGAGACTCTTGCAAAGTCTTTGCGAAAGTTGAAATTAAATTGTCACTTCAGTCAAATTTCAGTATACCGTATTACAGAATTTTTCCAGACTGGTATCCACAGGGAGTATTTGCAATCTTTGCTGATCTTGCATGGTTTCCGGACCTGTGTAGACCTCTCATGAATGCAAACGACTGGAAGGAAGTCTCACATTTGCTTAGTGAAGAAATCTGGTGTTCCATCTTGAAACTTTGGTCTGCATCCAAGTTAAAAAGAATGGAAAATGTATTAAGAATAGTTGGAAACTACTAACTATTACCTGAATATTCCATGTAAATGTAGGAGATGTTAGGGTCTCGTAGATTTTGTCAGCTCAATCTGTACAGATTTGTTTTGCTGTTAGTCTGTCACAGGAGTAAAAGCCACTAAGTTATTGAAAATTGTTCAAGCTTCTGTTGGGATAACATTTGCCAGTGACCAATTTCAACAGTATAATAATGCTGTGTGTAGAGTTTCTTTGGAACAGTTTTACTTTCTCCTCATCCACCTTTTTGTCTTCCCCTGCTCCAAAGTGAGATTTTGCTATGTTTTTGGAATGTAATTGTCCTCTAATATTGGTTTTAATATTTCAGGGTTGCCTTTACTCGTGCAGCGGACAATAGCAAGAACAATTGTACTACAAGAAAGTATTGGCAAAGGACGCTTCGGAGAAGTCTGGCGCGGGAAATGGCGAGGTGAAGAAGTTGCAGTTAAGATTTTCTCTTCTCGTGAAGAACGTTCCTGGTTTCGTGAAGCAGAGATTTACCAAACTGTGATGTTGCGTCACGAAAATATTCTTGGGTTTATTGCAGCCGATAATAAAGGTAAAACACACTCGTTATAACCTTTCTTACTGTTCTTGGGCAAAGTGTGAATGTCACTGGGTCTCCACTCTTGAACTCACCTGGAGGGCATGATTCAGCAACAGTACAACTTACATCCATCAAATCAATGAATGGGAATTGCACTGGGCTGGTTGCCTCATTGTCCATTAACAGATCTCAGATTACATATGTTCATATTTTTATGGATCCCAATGTAATGTAGAGAAATTATTCTAAATCTGACCTGTTTACCATCCCTTTATTGCTGGCAATGGTGGCCTCAGTCCACAAGAGCAATATGAGGTCCAATGGATATGGATTGATGAAAGATACTTCTGGATCCTTTTCAATCTCAGACTAGCTTGTATTGCTGCTTTACCTATTCACAGCAGCTTAGTCATCCTTGCAAAACACATGGGATATGTGGCCTGTGTGGCCAGCACCAGATTGACATCTGTATTCTTTATGGAAGAAAGGATCTGCATTCTAAACCAAATGTTAAGTTGCGGTTGCTCTTTCAGCTGCTTTGCACACAATGATTTAGCTTTAGTTTGCTTGATTTTTGAATTCCTTGTCTTCTTGTTAAGGGTTTGAGGCAGATATATTAAGGTGAACGATTTCTGTTATAGATGCCTTCAATGGATGTCATGAATATTTAGTGCATCAGTTTCTGCTCCATCCTGCCTCCAAATATTTTTAAATTAACCCGACTGTCGTCATGGGTATTCTTTTCAGAGACAGGGCAAGGGTAAGAGGCAGGTTAATGGTATGCTATTATGCAGAGCTACACTATAGTGGAAGTGAAACGGGTCCAATCAAAATATTGATTGTATAATTTAATAGAGAATTTGTTTATATTGTGGATATTGGTGTAATTTCACGTCCTAATCTCTTTTTCTGTTGGTAAATCCTGGCATTAGTAATAGAAGCATCGAAAGGGCTAGCAAGCTGTTTTCTTTCTCTCAACTGGTCCAGTAATAATTTTTCTCCCTATTTCTGTCGCTGCCTTCATGAAAATTGGACGTACAGAATAATTCTTTAGGGTTGGGTGTTTAGGATTTATGGTTTGACCTAAATTAAATGTTCTCCCTTTCTACCCCAATCTCCACAAAAGCAGCTTAAACTATTGAATTTTAGAAATATCAGAGTAAAATCCTAGTGTTGAAGGTATTGCTAAAGTGAAATATTTGATTGATAGGCCAGCATTCTAAATGTTTTTAAACCTTTGCACAAGCTATAGTAAGTACAATGCTTCTTTCTTGCTCCCAGAATAGCTTTGCTTTTGTTTTGCTGGTTGATCTGTTCTTTGTATGAATGTGCACAACGCTGTAGGTTGTTTTAAAATGTCCCTCTATCAGGGCAAATCCCATAAATTATCATTAAAATTTTGACCTGAACAGATTGGACCAAATAGACCTAAACAGCAATTAAAACATGACCTGATCAATTTTGTATCATCTGTGTAGTTTACCAGCTAAGCAGAATCATTTTTTGAACTCGGTTATGACTCCCCTGCCCCACACCCCCCCCCCCCCAGCTGCTATTTGCCCATCATGTATAAATTGCAGGTTAAGTAAATGTTTTGCACGTGACTTGGGTAGTATGCCATGTCGGTCAGTGTTGGGATGTACTAACTATTCTTTCTTTCCTCAGACAATGGGACCTGGACCCAGCTATGGCTGGTATCAGATTATCATGAGCATGGCTCCCTGTTTGATTACTTAAACAGGTACACGGTCACTGTGGAAGGGATGATTAAACTGGCACTTTCCACAGCAAGTGGCCTTGCGCACCTCCATATGGAGATAGTTGGTACCCAAGGTAAGGAAGATATGAATTTGCATTATTTGCATTAAATAATGAGGTTACATTATTTCTACATGGTAGGATGAAGATTTCCAATCTTCAAAAACTCACCATTTTTTGGGGTCAGCTGGGTATCTGACACATGTGCAAACCCATCACCTTGCTTAGGAGTATCCAAACCAAATTGAGAATTCCATGCATCCCACCTACACATGAAAATTCAAGAGATAGATTGTTGGAATGGAATGCACACTCTCTGGGAAGTAATAGGTTGGCAAGAGCCAAGGCTTGGGGACCCCAGAGTGTGCCATGGGGTATTGCTGGAATCTTGACTAGCTAAAAATGCATTAATTTTGCTGCCTGGCAAGCTTTTCTGCTCTTTGTCCAACTAGGACCACCCTACCTGTTTGGGCTTTGGCTTGCAGGGTTAACAGGAGCTGAGGGGCAGGATTCACTGCCCCCAGTGACTGGTCTGCGCTTCCAGGTCCTGCCGATGAGCGAGGCTGGCCTGTGCCCTGGAGTCCTGTGGCCTGCCTGGCTTAGATACCAGACCAACACCACAGAGGTTGATTCCTTTGCCAAGCATGTCACCTTGGAACCAGTTAAACTTAATCCTGCCCCCCCATACTCTGGCATATTGAAATATATAAAGTTGTGGCATATATTCAGAATCTCTAGGTTCCTCGAGAGCAGTAATTGCAGTAGAACAACAAGTTGTATAGTGCTCTTAATGTGGCGTAACTTCTACAAAGATTTACAAAAGCTGCAGCATATAAATGGGCCACAGCCCAACTAGTCTTGTGCTGGTGTTTATACTCCCTTCCATAGCCTTTTATTCCCCTCTCGTGTGTGAAAGTATAGCTTCCTCTTGAATGCAGCTACACTATCTGCTTCATGTCTTGGAAGAGTTTGATCAATTATCCATGCAATAAAATTTTAAATTCACAATGTGTAGATTTTTCTTTGATCACAAGGCATTGCTGTGCAATGCAGCAAGAATCCTCTGGTGGCATAGCAGTATTTGGATAGCCAATCCTAGTAATGATATGTATACATCTAGTCCAATCCCCAGAAGAAGCTTCAAGCTGAATTGTTTAGTTCTGCTCTTGTTTCAACGTGAAAACTAACCAAAAAAAACCCTCTCTTGTCAGGAAAACCTGCCATCGCTCACAGAGATCTGAAATCTAAAAACATTCTGGTAAAGAAGAACGGAACCTGCTGCATTGCAGATTTAGGGTTGGCAGTAAGGCACGATTCCGCCACAGACACAATTGATATTGCTCCAAACCACAGAGTGGGAACAAAAAGGTAACGTATGCACACTCTTTCCTGCACAGTTAGTTTGGGGAACGTATTATTCCCCAGAGATTGTTTGAGAACACCCCATCGGGCATCAATCCTGAATTGATTGTGCAGTAAGGAGGCTGTCGGTAATTTTTTCTGATGTAGTTTCATTTATCTTTTCTCAGCTCTTAACAATCCGTCAAATGGCTCAAAAATTGTTCCTGTTAAATGTCGTCATGGGTTTTTCATTGTTGCTCTGCTGTTTTATTTTACTGACATAAAAATGACTGCTAATTTCAAGATATAAAATAATAAATAAACCTTACATTTGGTGTAGTGTTTCAGGAGAACAAAATACTTCACCGAGTATACTGTAAAGTGTAGTAACTGTATTTATAGGCAAACAGGGCAGTCATTTGGCACACTGCAATGTCCCCAGTCATAAAGTGAATGATCAAATTTATTTGGAATTTGTTGCTTTTCACTATAAAATAATGATTCAATTAACAAAACCCCACTACTGACACAATTGCCTGAAAGGTCTGCTTTTGGGCTGAAATTAATGTTTCTGCACAGAATCATACACTTTTAAATCACAAGATTTAAAAGTCATCACAAATATTTATCCATCCCATCACAGAGGATGTCATCCAACTATCATGTGGGTAATAAGGAAAATCACAGTGTTAAATCATGTACACTGGATGCATTGTTTCATCTCATCAAAAGCCTCCCCAATCTTATTGCATATTCAATAGAGGTAGAGCTATTCACCAGTTTGAAGTTGTGATTTTACTTGAGTTTACAAAAGTAATTTGTATACTTAGAAATATTAAATAGTCTCAGTAGATTCAATAGTAGAGGGATAAAACTATTGAAACGAATGTCAGCCGCTTAGCAATATTGTGCTGTATTTAGCCAAATATACAACATCTTAAATGAAAATGGATGCAACTAACTAAACTCCAAATTCATCACTGAAACTATAATTTTATCAACAACAACAAATTACATTTGTATAGCAACTTTCACATCAGGAGGAAGTCTCAAGGCACTGGACAGTCAGGGATTTGGGCCTGAGCTGGTGGTTGGGATCAATAGGGGTGGAGGCCAGAAGTGTAATTTATAATAAATGAACATGATGTATCTTTTGCATACTTGAGCTATGGTATGCAGAGTAAATCACAAGCATGCTTATCTCTGTATTTTTAGTTTGTGCATTGATTTCCTTTTTATAGATGCCCATTTTAGTTCTTTCCTTCATTGACAGAGCAGTGAGTGAATACTTTTCATTAGTTGCACCATGTCTCTATTTTGACCTGGGCTCTCGTGTTTCTTTTCCTCCAGTTTGATCTTTAGTCACAAACACCAGTTTCCTTTCACAAACCTTTCAATATTTTAATTGCCTGCCCAAAGCCCGTTGTGTACTGTGTGCTCAATGAGCAATTTCTCTGTTTGTATGAATTCTATCACGTTCCAAAATAGTTGCTAGAAAAGGAGAAGAGGCAAAACTTTGAGGTATCCGAGGTAATCTATTTCCCCGACTACATACTTTTTCATTAAAAAATTAAATTATGTCTTCAAAGTAATCTCAGATATTTTGCTCTCATAGCAGACATACTTAATTCTGCATGTTGTCAGTGAATCAAGCATCATAGTAGGCTGACCAAAAATTCTTTCTCTCGGACTATTGTAGCACATCAGGCATTTTCACCTAAAATAATTTAATTTTAAGAGATTAATGTACCTGCATTCTTGCATTCCTTTTAGATAAAATACACCTTTCATAGCAACGATATTGGTGGAGGGCATACTCCATCATAATAATAATTCTTGACTTTCATATTGCACTTACAACATCAAAACATCTGTTTTACTAAGTTTTTCTGTAAACTTGTAGTGTTATTTGTGGATAGATGCAGCAGATGGTGCATCCAGTGAGGCTTAGCATAGATCTATCTGTTAGCTACGCTTCCCTTCTGTTGGACTTGACCTCACAGTCTTGTCTCAAGTGAGGTAGTCTCATGCTTTGTTGGAGGTAAGACTTCAGATAAGACATTACATCTAGGTCTTGCTTGTCTGTTCTTCACATGGATGTGAAGATCTGATTACGCTATTTGAAAAGTAAAAGGAGTTTGTCCCTATGTCCTAGGTAACATTCTTTCAGAAAAATTGGTCATTCTCCTTGTTTTGTGGGATGTTACTATCGTGCCAACAGAGTCCTGCCTGTTCAGGTGGATATTAAACATACCATGACACTATAATAATAATAATAATAATACTTGCATTTGATATAGCGCTTTTCACGTCGGGAGGACGTCCCAAAGCGCTTCACAGAACACACTGTAAAGTGAATTGACTGTATATTTGTGGGCGAATGCGGCAGCCAATTGCGCACAGCAATGTCCCACAAACAGTCGTAGATTGAAAATGACCAATTTATTATTGTTTTTTTTTTTTTGGAGGGATTATTATTAGACGTGTGGAGTAAGGAAACTTGCCCAAGGTTTCGCCCTGCCTGGAATTGAACACAGGTCTCTCGCTTGCAAAGTGAGTGCTCTAACCACTGAGCCACAGGACTCCACGAAAAGGACACTCTTTGAAAAGAGAAGGGAGTTTCTCTCCATGTCCTGGCCAACAATCTCCTCTTTCTCTCCCCCCACACCCCCCCACCCTCCATAAAAAATAGTAGTCATTCATTCAATGGCTGTTCGTGGATGCTGCTGTGTGCAACTGGCTGCCACGTTTCACCCACAAAATAGTCAAATCAACTTTACAGTATATCCTTGAAGTGCTTTGACTCGTCTCAACGGCATGACCAAATGCAAGGATTATTATTGCTTCAGAGTTGAGTTTCTGTAGGTCTGTATGATTTACCTTCAGATTACATACTGAATTGATGCTTATTAAATCTCTATTAGATTTAAGATTGCTAGAAATTGCCAGGTTTCACCTGAAACCTAATCGTCATCTGCTGTGAAGTTCTTGCAATTTGAGACAGCACCACTGGGGATGTTACATTTTTGGGGCGCAGAGAATTTCAGAAATTCAAAGGATATTTAAGGAAACAAAATACTGGAGAAAAATGTAGCAAAGTTCTCAGATAATCAACATGCAGAGAGAGAGAGAGAGTGAGTACATCTAACTCGATTTTGCTTTATAATTGAAGAGTTTAAAGCAAATAGTGCAGTGGGCTGATGCACCAATGCCATTCATTGTGGAGTAATTGGATGCCAATTACAGGTTGTATGTGATGACTAAAGAAATTTAGTCTTTCTGTAAGTGTAATACAGAAAAATAGCCTCACAATTTACAATTACAGCATGTTCTGCTTTTGACTTATAGAGTTAGTGCAAATGAATTCCAAACAAACTGTCAAGGGTCGAAAAAACCTGCTTGATTTTTAAATTTAAACGGAAATACTCTTGAACTGTGTTTAGCCTTAATGTTTCATACTTTCCTGCAGAGAGTCAATTTATTTAATCCTGGTTCTTTCTCTCAGATATATGGCTCCAGAAGTCCTCGATGATTCCATAAACATGAAACATTTCGAATCTTTTAAAAGAGCAGATATCTATGCTATGGGTTTGGTATTCTGGGAAATCGGACGGAGGTGTTCAATAGGTGGTAAGTAGAATTTCTCTCGACACTGCTTGAAAATAACATTTGAAAAGGAAATTTTTCAATGTCCCTCCTTCACAATCTATATACATAATACCCTAGTTTTCTATTTGTGGTTCTCATGTAGTAAATAGCCCCCCAATTGGAGACGGTATGTAGTGATAGAATTGAACAGAATTTCAAAATTGTGCGTGCATTTTTAACAATTCCAATTGTATTTGAATGATTTTTGTAGGTATTCATGAAGATTATCAGCTGCCTTACTATGACTTAGTACCTTCAGATCCTTCGATTGAGGAAATGAGAAAAGTGGTGTGTGAACAGAAGCTGCGGCCAAACATTCCTAATCGGTGGCAGAGTTGTGAGGTCAGTACTTTGTGAAAGGTAGTTGATGGTTTGGTGTGTTCCATTAAAGTATATTAGAATATACAGCACAAAAACAGGCCATTCGACCCAACTGGCCAATGCCCGTGTTTATGCTCCACATGAGCCTCCTCCTGCCCTTCAAGCATAACCTTCTATTCCTTTCTCCCTCATGTACCCTATTTAGCTTCCCCTTAAATACATCTATGCTATTTGCCTCAAGAACTCCTTGTGGTAGAATGTTCCACATTCCCACTACTCTCTGTGGGAAGAAGTTTCTTCTAGCTTCCCTATTTGATTTATTTGTGACTATTTTATATTGATGGCCTCTGGTTTTGGTCTCCCCCACAAGTGGAAACATCTTCCCTAAGTCTACCCTATCAAAACCTTTCATAATTTTAAAGACCTCTCAGGTCATCCCTTACCCTTTTTTCAAGAGAAAAGAGTATGTTCAGCCTTTCCTGATAGGTATAACCTGTCAGTTCTGGGATCATCCTTTTGAATCTCCTTTGCACCCTCTCCAGTGCCTCTATATCCCTTCTATAATGTGGGGACCAGAACTGCACACAGTATTCTAAGTGTGGTCTAACCACGGTTATATAGAAATTTACCATAAGTTCCCTGCTTTTCATTTATATCCCTCTAGAAATGAACCCCAATGCCTGGTTTGCATTTTTTTATGGCCTTATTAACCTGTGTTGCTACTTTTAGTGAATTGTGTATGTGTAACCCTAGGTCCCTTTGTTCCTCTACCCATTTGGATTTTTATTTTCCAGGATGTATGTGACTTCCTTATTCCTTCTACCAAAATGTACCATCTCACACTTTTCTACATTGAAATGCATTTGGCATTTAAATGCCCATTCAGCAAGTTTATTAATGTCTTGCTGTAATTTGTGGCAGGCCTCCTCTGTATTAACTACTCTCCCCAATTTGGTGTCATCTGCAAATTTTGAACTTGTACTGCTGATTCCCGAATCAAAATCATTAATGTATATTGTGAACAATAGTGGTCCCAATACCGATCCTTGTGGAACACCACTGCCCACCCCCTGCCAGTCTTAGCTACCCTTTACCCCTACTCTGTTTTCTGTTTTGTAGCCAGCTTGCTATCCATTCTGCTATTTTTACCCTGACTCCACATGCTCTGACCTTATTCATTAGTCTATTATGTGGTACATTATCGAACGCCTTTTGGAAATCTAAATATATTCCATCTCCTGTGTTGTGTGCTTGGATTCAAAACAGCATTTTTTTAATATAAAAAAAACAAAAAGTTGGAGGGCAGAGAGAGAAAGTAAGGAAATGAGAGGAATCCTCACAAATACAATAAATTAACCTCACTGTGCTGCTATTTTGGTCAGTTAAGTTTTCATTTCCTCTTGCATGAAGATTTTGTTTTGAACTACAATATCATTTCTGTTTTATAATTGAAATAACTATCGCATTGTTGAATCGTTTCACGGTGCTTCACAGAATATTGTAAAAAGTGAAGAAACAATATTTCTAAGCAAATGTGGCATCTAATTTGCACACAACAATATTTTGGGCTTTGGTATTTTCTAACATACTAGAAAGTAGAAATTAGGCTTTCTTCATTGTAAACTGTTAATGTCTATTATTGACTTTGGAAGGCTATCCTGTTGAAAGGAATGTCCAAGCTTCACTTGTCCAAACGCGGAGACACCTAGGGATTCAGTTATTAGGATAAAATCACAGAGCTGCTGGACAGAAATGAAATCATAAATGATACCTCAATGGCATTGAGTAAAGAAAACCAGATGTTGGGATGTATAAAAGATCAATAGCAAGCTGAAATAGTGAGCTAATCCTACCACTGTATAAATCATTGGTGAGACCATACTTAGAGTACTGTGTACAGTTCTGGTCACCACAGGACAAAAAGGATGTGGGAGAAATTGAGAAGTTATAGAGGAGGGCAACCAGAATGATTGATGGAATGGAGGGACTGGATTATGAGGAGTGACTAAGTAAATTGGGCATGTTCACGCTGGAAAAGTGAAGATTGATGATATGATTGCTGTCTTAAGATTCTAAAAGGACTAGACCATGTAGATCATGACAGGCTGTTTCAACTAGTCCAGAATAGTAAAACCAGAGGACATGGCCTGAGATTGAAGGGGAGTAAATTCAGAACAATCTATGGAAGCATTATTTCAGTGAGCGAATAGTGAACCTGTGGAACAGGCTCCCGAGTTGAAGCAGAAAGTGTTCATTCCTTCAAACACAGATTAGATAGTATTCTTTTAGGAAATAACATTCTGGAATTCTGGGATATAGTACATAGGAGGTTCGGGGCGTGTGCATGCGACTGCCGGGAAGATGGAAGGCAAACCAGATGGAGTCCTGTAGTTCAATGGTTAGAACACTAGTCTCACAAGCGAGAGACCTGGGTTCAATTCCCGGTAGGGCGAACCCTTATCAAGTTTCCTTACTCTACACGCCTGATAATAATCCCTCAAGAAAAAACAACAATAAATTGGTCACTTAAATCCATGACTGTATGTGGGACGCTGCTGTGCGTAATTGGCTGCTGCGTATCGCCCACAAATATACAGTCATTTCTCTTTACAGTATATTTTGTGAAGTGCTTTGAGACGTCCCGAAGATGTGAAAAGCGCTATAACAAATGCAAGGATTATTAATCATCTCTTGGCTGTTTCTGAAATATTGTTCTGTAAATTGGGTGCTGCATTCACCAACAAATAGTCATGATTGTAAGTAATAGCACTTGACTTAATAATAGTGCTTTGAGAAGTCTCAACGACATGACAAGGCACTATACCAAATGCAAGGATTATTATTCTTTTTACAAAGTGCTTTGCAAAGCTATGTTAAATGCAAGGATTATTATTATTGCTCACTTTGATAACATTCGCCTCCACAACACACAATTGCTATACTTTACAGTATGTCCTGTGAAGTGCTTTGACATGTCCTCCTGACACGAAAGCTGCTATATTAAATGCAACAATTATTTTTTTTGTAAAATGAGCAATTTGACTTATCCAGCTCACTTATGTCAGTCAGTAGTTGATGGGAATGTTAGGAGTAGCATCTTGTTGGTCTTGCCATGAATTGCAGCGTGAAGCTAGAATGTGTTCTCTTAATATAATCCTGTATGTCTTCTCTGTAGGCTCTACGTGTAATGGCCAAAATCATGCGTGAGTGTTGGTACGCCAATGGAGCAGCCAGATTAACAGCTTTACGGATCAAGAAAACACTGTCTCAACTCAGCCAACAGGAAGGCATAAAAATGTAGAGCCAGATACAGAACTGAGTGAATTGACCAGATGACATTGCACCTGGATTGCAGTTTTATTTGGAAGGGATTCTTGTTCTACCTCATCGAGGGAGCAGAAGATGGATCACACTGGCTGTACTGCCTGATGAAAACTGCACCATATTTTATACACTACATAGGAAATGTTCACTATGCGGGCTCCATAATGGACATAATGCTGAGATGGGCTGTGTGCTCCACTCTGTGCACTGAACACCTCCTTCCCAGGACGTTGGCAAGATATGATGTAGCTTAGTTTTTTTTAACATTTAACTTGATAAAGAGAGTTTTATTATTGGTCTTAACATTAGAAAAGCTGGAACATTTAAGCCTTTACTATCACCAACCCAGTATGTTGGAGATATCGAATGGGTGACATTTTAGTGCAAGGTACAGTATTACACAATTAAAGGGACTGTTTATCCAAAGGGTTGGTACTAGTTTTACTGCTTGGAAATTCAACTTCGTCAGGTTTTAATTTTGATGCCTCTGTTTTCACTTTGTGTGTTATGACCTGGCTTTGAGTCTTAAGCATTTTACTCCAATTGGTCTGAAGAATATCTGCAAATTAGCCATCTTAACTTGTGGCACGGCAACAAAAATAACACTTGTGAGCAAACTCCTGAGGCACAGTTGCATATTGGGGTGTAAATTACAGAGATCGCAGCAGTATTCTTTAAGGAAACCGGATGTACATCACACCAATCCATGGGAGCTCCCTGTGACGGTGTACTTTCAGAGCACCGTTCCCATAGGTCAGTCTGATATACTTCCAATTACCAGACGGAGCTCCCTATTTAGAATTCCTAATTTAAGGAATTGTTTTTAAAATTGCTGCACTTTAGACTCCATTGCTGCTGATTTCTGGTTTTGTTCAAAAGGTAATTCTTGTTGTCGCAGACTAGAACACACGGCTACCAGTAACAGTTTCGCAGACTAGAACACACGGCTACCAGTAAGTGTCAGCACCTCTTTAAGGATACATGAGTGAGCTCTACCTTAGAAATTAGATGAGGGCCAGGGATTTGAGTTGATTGCTAGGTACGACTTCAGTTTTCAGTATTATTCAGATAATGTTTGCACTCACCTTATTTGCAGTTGTCAGGNTTTTTGTACATCAAATCTCACAATTGGGTTATGCTAAGGAACTACAACATTATTTTTGCTTACAAGCCACTGTAAATATTTTCCTCCGCATAATACAACATATAATTTTTGCCAGAATAATGAATGTGATGCTGTTAAGTAGTCCTGATGTCCAGAAATAATATTATATGTTGCACACTGGGAGCAATTTCAACACAAGCCATTTTCTTCTTAGTTTTATGTGTAATGTAATATTAATATCCTGATGCATTAATATGGTTCGTGTATTCTGCTAGATCATCTTTCAGCTAAATCAAAATATTTCAGTTCCTAAGCCCGTTATAAGGCTATGAATTTAGATTTGGAACAGTAGTTACTGAAACACTTGTGTTTTGAGTCATTAGTTAATTCATTTTAATAGCTTTGAAAAAGATGAGCTAAAAGTTGCCTTCAGAAAAATGTTTTATGGGATCAAAATCTCCTAACTATAAATTTCACGTGTCTTGCGACATTTTTAAAATTATTTATCTGGTTCAGATGATTGCTGTTCAATTTTTATTCAGCAAAAGTTTCCATGTTTTTTTTTCATTGGCTCTCAGAACCTTAGTGTTTTGTTGAGTTTTTTTGTGTGTTTGTTTGTGGGTGGGGAGAAGATCACTTCAGATAAAACTTGTCAATATTTTCAAAGTGACTATCTGAGTTGAAGGTTTTTATAGCTAACTTATTCTGAATTTAATGTTGTAGCTCATTATTGAATCCCAATAGCTTTGTACACTGCAATATTGAACGGAGCTCTTGTTTTTTCCCCCCAAATTCTGCAGTATAGACTATTGTCTCGTTTTAATTTGCACAAAAACCTTGTATTGCGAATGCTAATACAAATGTTTTTTTGTGGACCACAAATTTAAAACTGAGGCTTATATGCTGTCCTTCACTTGATGCTAGCTTGAATTCTGCATCTTGATTTGTGACTTGGGAAGCAGATTTTCACTTATATGTAATTAAATTCTGTATTAACGTGTTGTAGCTTTCTTAATTTGTATGTGTGCTTTAAAAGGAAAACCTTGCAGGTGTGCCGATTAACTGGTGTAATTTTTCAAACACGCATAATGCAAATCATGGACGCAGCACCTCTTAAAATAAACCCAACGCAAATGTTTCTAAGGAGGGACTTTAGCAAAACCCAGCATTGTAATTAAATTGTAATTTGACAATTCCTGTTTTCTGTGAATTTTGGCAAGTGGTATTTCTTTGACAACCGATTCAGTTGTGCCAAGTTTATTTTATTACATTAAAATTAAATGTAAAAACAAATTGGATTCACTTTATAACTAGTTCATTACAAAGGATAGTCTTGCTTTGTAGATCAAATAAATTTTGGGTTATTTTTTAAAAAGAAAGTATAGGACAGTTTTTTGTTGCTAGTATGAATTAGGTTGAAGCGTACTACTACAAAGGCATACTTAGTGTAGAAATAATTATGGGCAGATAGCAGTGTAGAAAATGTTGGATTTACCTTTGTACTGGTATAAATCCATGTTTTTTCATGTGCATATAATCCAAATGTGTATAGTTTCCTTGTTGAAAAACAGTATTATAATGCAAGTGGTGAAGGCACTTGAAACAAGTGGCAAAACTAAATCATTAGCATTTTATGCTTTTAAGGTTACTGAGAATTATCATTCCTGAACATATTATAGGTGTAGTATATAACTCAAAGCACATCCTATGGATTAAGTCCCATGTGGCAGGCTAATGCGGAGGTGAATAAATGCATTTCCCCCTAAAATAATCCCTTTGTAATCTGTAAGCTGTTTAAATGTGCATATTGAAAGTTAGTTTACTATTATGATGAATTTGTCCAGGAAGACTGTAGAAATCTGCGTAACACTACTGCATACATTATGTTGATGTTCATATTTTGAAATAAAATTGTTCAAGGTTTTGGGGTTGAGTGCCATGACCTGCTCCTTTTAGGACAGTCCCTCTTATACTGTGTTTTGCCATGCAGTCCTTATGGGAATCTGGGATTAAATTGTTCTGCAATTGAAGCATACAGATGAACTTTTAATGCAATTTGCTTTAAAGATACCTCCTGAATGACCAAGTTCTGTTTACCTCATTATGTATATACTGATAGTTTTCAATAACTCAGCAGGTTTGCAGACGCGTGTTGATTTATATAAAATGTGGATACTGTAATGATTTTTTTTTAAAAACCTGCATCTGTCCATGGTACTGAACAGTGTATTGTGTATGTATTATGTGCCCAGCTTATTGTATGCTAGCTATATTCCTTTTTGCAGTGTGTATAAAATTCCTCCCTGCTCTAGGAACAATGAAAGCCTGCTCTTGTGATTATTTTCGTCTTTGGGCATAGCTGTGTAGTTAAAGTATGTATTTTATTTGGGGTGAGGGGAGGGGGTCAGGAGAGAGAAGAATATACTCAAGCAAGTAAATACAGGGATACTGAATATGAGTTTTCTTCCTAAGATTGCATTATCAAATTATGTATTTTCTCCCCAAGTCTTCTAAAAATCATGTATAGTCTTTTGTACAATATACATAGCAAAGATGGATGATGCTAGGTATTGAAATGAAGCTGACTTGCTGAAAGTCATTATACCCAATTGACGATACACATAACAGAATCAGAAAATAAAGTGGTGTTCATCTTCATATTAATGGGTGAATTCTGAATGCATGAGTTATCCTTTTCTCACTTTCTCCAAAAGCAAAGTGCTTGATTTTACAGTTCCTAATATATACGTTCTAAAAAAATCAGTAAATGTTTCAAACCAAAGTCTTTTGAATAATACACTACCTCCAGCCTAGGAAAATCCAACTTGGAAAATCCTTCACAAAAATCCTTAAAATTATTTTTGAGCACTGTTTCCAAATCTACACACCATTATCATAATTTCATATCCAGTACAGAACACTCTCAGTAAATGAGCCATTTACAATGCGATTTGTAATTGCATCTCCTGAAAGTCCTTGGGCTTTCACTCTTTCAGTGCACCCTCCTCAATCCTTCCCATTTCTTCTTCATTCTCTTTTACTTCTACTAAGACCACCCTAGTGGAATTTAAGGAATTTGTTTCTGATAGATTTCTTATGTATTCAGTCATTTTGCTCAGGTGGTGAGACATTTTACCATCTGCTCTGTCTGCACGTTTAGCTTGGGTCTGTCATTGAATTTTTTTAATGGGACATTTTGACATTCAGGGTTCTTGTGTTATGTACCAGACCATACTACAACAACTTGCCTTCATGTTGCGCCCTTCATGTGGGGTAGCATATCGGAGCTGTCTCATTCTTTCAGGACACGATTAGATAACAACAACTTGCATTTACATAGCACCCTTCACGTGAGGTAGTGGCCCGGAGTGCTTGATAATCAAACGTTGGGACTCGCATGTTAGAGGAACATGTTTAAAGCTGACCAAACTTAACAAAAATCTGAAATAATACAACTATAGCTTTCAAAAATATTTTAGTAATAATTCTTGCATTTGGCATAGAGCCTTAACAGTCAGGATGTTTCAAAGTGCTTCACAGGAATTACTGTGACATGGAGTGACTAATTCTGGAAAGTGCAGTAACACAATTGTGTAGTAACACAATTGCGCACAGCAATGTCCCACAAACTCAAAAACCTCACATTTGTGTTCAAATCCATTTACTCCCTGGCATCTCCCTACCTCTCCAACCTCCTCACTCCCCAGTTCACCACCCTGCTCCTCCGCTCGCTGACACCGGCCTCCAGCTTCTCCCTCGCATCCTCTGCTCCGTTATTGGAGGTTGTGCTTTCAGCCACTATGCCCCGAAACTGGAACACTACCCTCACCGCAGGCCGCCAAAACCCTCCATACGTTCATTACATCGAGATTTGACTGCACACTCATTGCTTGTCGGCCTCCCCAACTCCTCCCTCCACAGGCTGTAGATCATCCAGAACTCTGCAGCCCGTGTCCTCTCCCGCACTTGGCTCCGCGAGCCTATCACCCCCATCCTTGCCCAACTCCACTGGCTTCCCATCATGCAGAGGATACAGTTCAAAATCCTGGTCCTCACCTTCAAAGCCCTCTACGGTCTTGCTCCCCTTTACTACTGCGATCTCCTAACCCCCCTATCATCCTGCTCGTCTATCAAGAGCAGGGAGAATGTTGCAGGATAATTGTGTCACATCTTCCAATACTTTAATGCGAGGAGTTCGCAGAAGTGCTGGTTCCAGCACTTCTGATGATTTCATCCCAGGGTCTGAATCTGGTATTGCAGAAGCCATCCTGATGGCCCAATTATTAGCTTTAGTCAGTTAGTGAATATTTTGGTTTCCTGACTCGGCTCACATCACAATTTTGCTTCCTACTTTGTCTCTTCACATGGCTTCTCTTGCCCCCATACTGTCATGTTTGGCATTCTCTCAAAAATGTCTTGTGGCTTTTTTCGTGCAAGACCCAAGGCAATACAGCCTCCAAATAGTGGAGAACTGAAGGAATCCTTCACTGATAATCAAGAAGGTAAATCACTCATGGATCAGTTATGAAAATTTCATACACTAATTTTTTTTAGTATTTTTTGGTCAGCCTGGTGTCTGATCGTGCTTACAAGCATCCAAACCAGAGACATCTATACCACTGGTACATGGAAATTTCAGTGTGTCTGGAATGAAATCCCTCTCCCTGGAGGGATGTACTCCGCTTCTCTGATTCCAGAGAGTATTACATGGCTGTTGGCAACAGTCAAGGCTGCGGGACCCCAGAGTGTACATTCAGATACACCTGGAATAAAAACAGAAGTCGCTGGGAACACTCAGTAGATCAGGCAGCATCTATGGAGAGAAGGAAGTAAGTTAACGTTTCAGGTTGATGACCTTTCGGCAGATGAGAGGTCATTGACCTGAAACTTTAACTCACTTTCCTCACTCCGTAGATGCTGCCTGATCTGCTGAGTGTTCCCAGCGATTTCTGTTTTTATTTCAGATTTCCAGCATCTGAAGTATTTTGCCTTTTGTTAAATACTTTGGAGTTTAACATGCTAAAACCATGTAGCTTACCATTGAGCACAGTGTCTGACAAGCTACCTGCTGCTTGTCCAGCTGGGACCTCTATTGCTTGTTCTAGCTTGGAGGGTTAACAGGAGCTGAGTGGGAAGAATCCCTTCAGCCATCTTAGAACAAAATTTACATCAACAGGGTTTACTAGGCTGCAGTCTGGATCAATTAAACATTTGCTAAATATTCTATCCTGGATCTTGCCTTATCAAGCACTTCTAGAGTTTCCATTCTTCCTTCTCTGAATTTTAAAGCTTACAACTTATCTAATTTCCTCTGGTGGGTGAAGGATTATTTGCTTACAGAGTCAACTAAGCAGTACCAAGTCACAGAATGGATTGGAGCTGGAACTGCAGGTGCTGAGGCCCTGTGGAACCTACATAAATGGCATAACTGTCAATGATTTAAACTACTTAGCAAACAATCAAAGGGCAGGAGACATTTTTTCACGCAGGGTATTTAGGATATGGAATGTCCTGGCGGGAGCAGTGGTTAAGGCATAATCCATATTAGCTTTCAAAAGGACACTACATAGATATCTAAACAGGAGTAATGTAGGGTGAGGGGAAGGACAGGTAAATACGACTGAAATTATTGTTCTTTTAAAAGCCAGCACGGACCATTTGGGCTGAATGGCCTTCTTCTGTGCTGTACATTTCTATGGTTTTATGGACACTTCTGCTGTTTGAAGCAAGTTGAGCTCCCAGCAATTCAATTAGATACACATATAGAGTGTGTTTCCCTGAGGCTCCGCTATGTACAATAGCCCACAGAGCCAAGTGACTGAAGCCTTGCTCCTGAGTCAGTGACTGGAGGAGTGGAACAGAGCTCACCAAGTGTGGTTCACTGCTCTGACTTAGTTTGTGAGGTTATGGGTCAGCCCCTGGGGTGGCCCCAGTGATGCAGAAATATCTTCAAAGGTTAGTGACCCTCCAGATCAGAATTTACCTAATCTTATGGTGTATGGAGGATGGTAATGTATTTGGAGAAGTCCTTAACTATTTCTACAGTTTAAGTGTATATTGTTATAGTTCTACTTCATACCCTTTAATACATATCTTCAGGTGACTATTGGCTATCCATGGCTGTGAGATATTATTCACCTATGTACTGAAGATCAGCAGATCCCTATCTTTAAAGGCCAAAGTGAGAAAGATGATTGAGAACAAGAACAAACAGAATATTCCAGCTGGAGCATTTACTTCAGCTTTAGGGTAAGTGTGGTCAGGTCAGCTCATTAAATGAAATTTGAGACTAAGATTGCTTGTCAGCTTGGTGCTGCCTTCCACGCAGCTGACAGCAAAGAGTTTCCAGGAGAGTTTGTCCCAGCTGGTGTTGGACCGGAAAAGCTTCAGCTCTGATCAGTTTCTATACAACCAACCAGGTTGTCAATTGCCCTGAGACCCTGTAATAGCTGACTGCAAATACCCAGCCACTTCACTTTACAGCAATTATCTGTGAAGCGATCTATAACAACTACAATAATACTTGCATTTGATATAGCATCTAATCACGTTGTTGAGACATCTCAACATGCTTCACAGAATATACTCTAAGATTAATCGACTTTATGTATATTTTATCGGTGAAACCCGGCAGCGAATTGAGGGGATTATTACTCCCAGAAAGCGATCTTCCAACCAACCTACAACTGGGTTCTTACTTACTGTTAGATAAACAGAGGCGTGTGGAGTAAGGAAACTTGCTTAAGGTTTCCCCCAGCCTGGGAATCAAACCTGGGTCCTCTCATTTGCGAGGCGAGTGGTCTAACAAATATGCTACAGAACTCGAGGATTTGAGATGTTTTGACGATGTAGGTAGGTGCTATACCAAACGCAAGGTTTATTTAAAAAAAACTATTCCAGAAATTGACCAGCAGGAAAAAAATTACGACAGACATTTCCTTTCAAGATGTTTGCTGTATAAGTTCAACCTCAGTCTAAGACTTGCACTCAGGGAGAAACCACATGACACCAGAGAAATGGTGAGTCACAGAAACCTGAAAGAAGCAATATAAAGACTTGCTTGACAAATTGAATAGTGTTCTTTGATGAAATAACTGAGTGTATTGATCAAGGGCATGTTGTGTATATATATATATTGATTGGAGCACAGTTGAGGTATTGTGTCCAGTTCTGGTTGCTCCGCTTCATGAAGGATATTAAGGCCATAGAGAGGAGATTCATTAGGGTGATACTGAGGGTCAGAGTCTTTACCTTTGAGGAGAGTCTAGTGAAACTGGGGCCATTTTTATCAAAGAAGGTTGGGAGGAGACCTTGTAAAGATGCTTGAAATTATAAAAAGGTGATAAGGTGATGAAGGAAAAAATATTTCCATTTGTTGGTGAGTCATTAACTAGGGTGACCATATGTCCCTGATTTCCAGGGACAGTCTCCGGATGAGGTATTGTGTCCGTGGCCAAATTTGCCCCGTCTTGAGTTCATCCACAAACTAAGCAAGAACAATAACATTCTAAAACACTCATCAGAGAAATACAGCCATTAATCCAACAAGCTTCTCCAGTACTGCCAGCATCAGGAATTGTGGTGAGTTCAATTTTTTTTATATGTATCCCTGGATTTAGTTCACGAAATATGACCACCTTACCCAGAGACCAAACATTTAAGATCATTATTAAAGGAACAAAGCGCTTTTATTTTTCATTGAGGATGTACCAAAAACAGTAGTTAATGAAGAATCCACAACTGCACTTAAAAGGGAATGAGATATATTTGAAAAGGAAAAATATGAAAGGAGAGTGAGGCTAACAGCTGGATGGGGCTAACAGATGTGCTGGGCCTCCTAATGTGCTGTAAGACTCTATGATTATGACGAATTCCAAGTTCTTGGGAGCAAGTAACTGTAATTTTACAAGAGACTTATATCTATCACCAGTTATGTGGAGCTCAAATTTATGCATTGGTGGACAGCTTAATGTAATCTAGCTTTTGGTTATAATAATACTAATAATCCTTGAATCTGATATAATGCCTTATCAAGTCTTCGAGACACCTCAAAGCGCTTCGCAGAATATACTGCAAAATGAATTGACGGTATATTTTTGTGGGAGAAACGACTATTTTTAAAGTCTTTTGCATATAAATTCAGTGGTTTCATTTTGTTTATAATATAATAATAATCCTTGCATTTGGTATAGCGCTTTTCATATCTTCTCGACGTCTCAAAGTGCTTCACAGAATAGACTATAAAGTGAATTGACTGTATATTTGTGGGCGAAACGCGGCAGCCAATTGCACACAGTAGTATCCCACAAACAGTCGTGGATTGAAAATGACCAATTTATTATTGTTTTTGGAGGGATTATCTTTGTATTATATTTGTGGGTTTGGCACTGGAGAAAATTAGCTGCTGTATCCGTGACAATTCACTTTACAGTAAATATTCTGTGAAACGCTTTGAGAAATTTTGAAGACGTGATAAGACGCTGTATCAAATGCAAGGATTATTATTAGTATTATCTATTCCAGTGGACGTTTTTTAGTTCTGAATTCTCCTAAGTTTTATGAAGAATGTGGTGTGGTTGACGTATCTCAGTCATCTTGACTTACATCCTCTAGGATAATAGGTTACTATTGTCAAGAGCCAGCTGCAGCTGAGTAATAATAATGCTTGCACTTGATGTAGTGCTTACAACACTGAATGTCTCAAAGTGTTTCTCTGTTAAGTGGAGTTGAGTTTAGTGACTGTGTAATTTGTGGGGAAATGCAGCTGCCAGTTTGCTCACAGCAAACAGCCATGAAGTGATTGAACAATTTATTCAGAGGATTGATTGCCATCGGTTACCCCCCTTCCCCACCCCTCCCTTCTAGAAGACGTGAAAAGCGCTATATCAAATGTAAGGATTATTATTATTATTCTCCCCCCCTGACCCCAGCTCAGGTCTGAAATGCTGTACACTGACCAGTGCTTTGGGACGTCCTTCCGACATGAAAGGCGCTATACAAATGTAAGCTTGTTGTTGTTGTTGTTGTTGTTGCTTACCAGGCCTGAAGTTACCACCTAAAATACAGAGAAAGAAGACAGATGTGAACTGTGTTTCCGTCTGGTCTTTATTTCAGTGGGTATAATAGTGGTTCTGATTAATTACAATCTCATCTCAGTTTTTTAGTTCAGTATAGCCCAAGATGATCAGGTTTGGAACTGGTTGCACGAGTAAAGATAGGTGTTGACGTGTTTTCCTGGCACCCACTATCCAAACCTGCACTTGCCAATGTCAAATGACCAACTAAGAACAACCCTCCTTAGGGAAAGGTAAGAGGGTCCTCCTTGGAGCTGAATTGGCTCCAAAGTGTCTTGCTTGCTAATGTAATGTTGGAATCGAGTCAGTCCTCTATGGTAGTCTCAGGAGTCTCGATCCTGAGCCAGGCAGGTCCATAATATTCCAGGGCACTGTTGATGACAGCCCAGTTCATTGGCAGGATGTGAAGTGGAACTGGGGCAAAGGATCCTTTCCACTCAGCTCCTGGTAACTCTGCCAAATCCACAATGGGTAGGATAGTCTTTGTTAAAAAGTAGTGGGATGCTTGTCAGGCAGTGCTCACGAAGTACCACAACACACCTTCTGGGATGCCTAAGCCTTGGTTGTTGCTAACCTGCTCCCAATACTCTCTGAGATTGGGCAAGTGTGGTGTGTCCCTTTAGGGAGTGACTGCACATTTTATTCAAGATACAGGGAAATTTCAATGGATACTGCATAGGTGGCATAGCTGGAACTCAATCTGGGATTTGGATACTCTTAAGCATGATGATGGGTTTCTCCATGTGTCAAGACACCCAGCTGACCAAAAAAAAGTACATTGCTTATATGTTTACACATGACTTGATTTGAGGGAAAGTCTCCATTCAGATTATTTAATGTCTATAAAAGTCCAGTCAGTTTAGAGCAGTGCAGGGTAGCAAGGAGTCTGAAATAATGGATATTACCAGTTAAACACTGAGATTCTCTGAGCTGTATCAATGCACATCTGTGTGTTATTTGTTGACCTACTGAATCAATCCCACAGTGTTACAAAGTGATAACAGAGGTTCTTTAATGTCCCCTTAGCTGGCCTGCAGGGCTTTTACAGTGGAGTGATTTTCAGGGATCACATTCATCATGTGTGTGTAAACGTGTGTGTAAATTTTCTTTGCTACTAAATTCTATTCTGCTTACCTAGGGCTATCTACAGATTGTCAGAGAATCTTGCCATTGCTCTTTCAATGGTATCAGTTTAAACAAAACTTCTAATAATAATAATCCTTGCATTTGAGATGGCGCCTTGTCACATCGTCGAGACATCTCAAAGCTCTTCACAAGATATATATATGCAAAGTAGATTGAGTGTGCATTTTGTGTGGGAAACCCTGCAGCCAGTTTGTGCACAGCAATGCCCCACAAACAACCAGGGAGTGAGTGACCAATTTTATTTGGGGGATTGTTGGCAAGGACACCGGGAGAAACTCCCTTCTCTTTTTGAATAATGCCATGGGATCTTTAATATCCCCCTGAATAGGCAGACGGAACCTCAGTTTAAAGTCTCAACCAAAGAACAATGCGAACGCCCCCGCCCCTGCCCCCACGCGCCCCCCACCCACACACACACAGCACTGTATTGGGAGTACCAATTATGTAAAGTTCTTTTGAAACACAAATCTGTAATGAATTATTGGTCTAAACGAGTGGGGGATTAAAATCAATAATAGGGCAAATTGAATAACTGGCCAAATTGTTGCCATAGAAGTGGTTACGTATATGCAGTTTGCAGACTCAGTGCTATAAATGGTACTGACCTGCAGGATAGTGGCTGAGTTTGACTACCTGGCTCAAAGGGCATTGTAGCAACCAATTTTGCTTAAATGCTTATTTTACCTACCAAGGTTGCGTAAGCGCTGAAAGGTTTAGTTTGTGCCTTAATGTGTCACATTTGTTTTCATCCTGCATTCAGTAAGTTCATTTTCTGTCAAATCTCAATGCTGCAAGTTGAACAAAGTTGGTTGCTAACTACTGTAGCATGCATCAGTGAATACTTTTGCACTTTGGGGATGCCACTGAACAATGCAAAACTGTACTGGTGCGAGATATCTGCAGGCATTGGCTGAACGATTTTAGTAAAGGCCTAAATGTCTAGCTCGTCCATCACACACTATGGGCAAACAATGAGATTTTATTTAAAATTACAGAGGCTCTCTGGCCATGACAGTACAGTATCTTTTATGTCAGGAGAATATCTCAAACTGCTTCACATGATATACTGTGAAGTGTAGTGACTTTCTATTTTGTAGGCAAATGCAGAAGTCAATTTTGTTCACAGCAATGTGCTGCAAACAGCCGTGAAGTGAGTGACCAATTTTATTTGGGAAATTCTTGACCAGGATACCAGAAGACCCTTCTCTTTTCAGATAGTGCCAAGGGATCATTAACGTCCATCTGAACAGGCAGACAGGATCTTGGTTTTAATGCCTCAACTGAAGGATGGCACCACTACAATGCAACATACCCCCAGCACTGCATTGGAGTGTCATCTTAGACTATGTGAGTTCTTGTCTCGAGGTAGGGTTGGAGCCCACAACCTTATGATTCGGAGGTGAGATTACTATCAACTGAGCCAGGCTGACACATAGCAAAAATATCTGGAGCGGAAGAGACAAAGGCTTCAGTCGTTGGAGAGACAAAAAAAATAAAAGGTGGAATCTAATAAGGTCATCATCATTACTCAGAGGCAAGAGTGCTACAGGTCAATCAGGCTGACACTTTAAAGGCAGCAAATGTTTCTCAGTAGAGCGGGTTGTTTAAGAGTGTGATGTTGCATGTTGAGAAAGATTTAAAGGAACAAGATAATGCTCTTTGTGTCTGTTTTCAAGGCTGAAATGTCCTGGATTATCTAGCTGTTCCTCATAGCACACACTGCAGATCATTCTCATTGCTCTCTGCATTGCCTTTCAAGCCTGGATGGTTTCCTTATGTTACAGTGATCAGAACTGTACACAGTACGTCAAGCGCGGCCTGACAAAAGCACAGCACAGGGTGAATGTGAAATTCAAGGTCAAATCTTTCCGTTTGGCAATAACAATATTCATATAAAACCTCTGACGTTAGTAACATTGAAGTCAATTCGCAAACTCATTTCAACAATTCATTTTCGCCCACAAAGTATACAGTCAATTCACTTTACTGAAAAGGACTTTTCAGCATCTTATGAAAGGCGTATAGAGATGTAATTTGTTCTTTACAGTATATTCTGTGAAGCACTTTAAGATGTCTTGAAGACATGATCAGGTGCTATATCACATGCAAGGATTATTATTATAAGAAGCTCTGACACCATACCAAATGTAATGATTATTATAATTATTGTTAATAATATAAAGTGATCCTATTTAAATGTGAATTGATGAATGCTGAATTTCAAAATGAGACACAGAGAAAAAAAATCTGTAAAAAAAAGTATTATGTTTATTCAGAGTGTGAAACATCCTTCATTTCAAAACAATCTGATTCAGACGTTTGTCTCATATATTAAAAAGGTTGCTGATTTATGCAAAAAATTATTTTTCTAGTGTGATAGTGGAGCCTATGGAATGTACTATAATCTGCGTGGTAAAATGATTATGCTGGAAAAGAAAAATGCCTTTTCTAAAATTTATACTAATCGGATATAAATTCACTGTGAAATAATTTTACTGTTCTATAGTCTACTGCCCCTTTTTTCTTCTACAAAATACTGTAAGGGAAAATGGTTAAGCTTATTGATTTGTAGTAGTATAACTGCATTGTAAAAATAGGTTAAACTCAAGAATACAATACAGAAGTGTAGAAGCAATAAATACAATGTAGGTACTTTTGCTTAATACTGCTTTCAGAAACATTTGAAGATGTTAAAGAAAAGTCCCAGTTAATGTGGAAAACAGCATTGTTAAAAACACCTATATGTGCATTAAAATACTTTATAAGGTACCATTATACAGTTTAGTAGTAAGAATCAATGATTAGTTTTACAATGTACATTAGAACCAATCATAAAGCATTTGCACACTGAACACAGCCCAGTAAATGACAGCACATTTACAACAAACCTACAGCTTGTATTTTTCGCAGTGTTTGCACAAAGTTCCTTCATGATTGAGGCTGGGATGAAAGATGAGTGAGTATTAACACTGAAGTATTTTTGCAGTGCATGTGCATGACTGTATGAGCTCAACTTGGCTTTGTAGAAGTTGAGTAAAACGCTCTGATAAATAGTCATTTTTAACAGCAACCCCATGATTGATTTATTAGCACCGAAGCATCAATGAAGGTGGTTGGGGAAACTGTGCAAAACTGGAGTCTTTATTAGTACAAATCAGGCTTACGTTTGAAATCGGCCAATGCAGAGTTTGAGGTATGTCATCTTTGGCTTCTATTTCCATGTAACTTTCTGTAAACTTACAATCTCATCAGAAAGCAATATTTACATCATCCAGGCATTCACATATTTATAGAAAATAACAGTGTATTATCCATTTTCTGATTTTCTGATGAAATTGTAGACTTGATATAACCCAAATCGTTCACATCTAGCTGTTGACTTATTTTCTCCTCCTCTGGTCATGCATGTAACTGTTTTCAATGCACAGAACAACAAAGTTATTGGCACAGTTGTACAGATGCTGAACCAGTAGTTTCCCACTTGACAGTGGTGAGGCCTTCCCGGTAATCACCATGTCTGCTCTCCGCCAAGCTTGACAGTAGTTCGTTGGGACACCGGCTCCGTTTTCGTTTGACCCATGCCATATTATTTTGTGAGGCCTGGAAAAATTGGTGTTGGATATTTCTTTTAGTTTATAACAATGGAGAGGTTCGAGAAGACAACAACAACATCTTACATTTATATAGCTCCTCTCACACTGGGTAGCATTCCAGAGTGCGTGACCGTGGTGGTGCACGACTCCGAGCCAGGGGGTGAGGGGTGATCGTAGGTACGTTCGAATAGGTGCAACCTGAAAATGGGGAAGGAAGGTGCAAGATGGAGAGATAGAGGAAGAGTGTTCCAGAGTTTCGGGGCGTAGTGGCCACCAATGGTGGAACGAAGGTCACGAGGGACATGCAAAAGGCCTGAGCCAGTCGAGCAGAGGCATAAAGACTTACCAGGATGGATCTTTCATGATATTTCTACCATCGAAGGAATAAATAGGAATGTTTGTGTCGAACGCGGCACGGCTTTTAAATATGGCCTCCCAGTTGGCGAAGAGCACTTCCCCCTTTTGAAAATAATGTGTAAAAGTGAAAAACGGTGGAGATATTTTGGGCTAACGTTCGAGGAGCTAACAGACTGATTGAGGTATAAATGGGCAAAATGCATGTACTTACACTTATACAGTTCTAAACTCACACACACACGAAAGACAAAGTGTGTTGTCACCCACCTCTCCCTCCTCCCACCCCACCAATACACAAACACACAGTTTTTTCATTGGGGTTTAAAATGCATCAATTTCAAATGGATTTCCCCTTTCATGGAATCTGAGTGGGAACTCCTTGGAATTGGAAATCTATCGCACATAGAAACTCCACTGCGAACACATCATCTGTCCTTAATCAGGTATCTCTAATAAAGACCCCATTGTCTCAGGCTCCCAGTTCCTATATCCAAAACAGCTAATGAATATTGATCTGAAATATGGGGGTAAATTTGTGACGTTTCTTTACATAGAAACCAAGCGTCGAGAACTTAGTAATTGATTGTAAAAAGCCTTTGTAATTTCACTTTTTTCATTTTCTAGCCTCTGGATTCAGTGAAAGCTGACGTCCAAAACCCTTTACCTTTAGGTTGACAATTGGCATCTTTACTCTGTCAGCCTTCCTCACAATGGTGTACAGGTCTTGTAGATGAGAGGATAAGAAAGCCCGATAAGTTGCCATTGAGCCCATTGCTCGAGCTTGCTGGAAGCAATGAAAATCAGCTCCACGGATGCCTTGCATGTTACCAGAGAGAGGTGTATTCAATGCAACCAGGTGCAACTACCAGAGAAAACAGAATAAAAGCTTTGTTGTAAAATAAAAATACAAAACGAATCAATCATACAAAAAAATGACCAGCATTCAATCCTTCAAATCAACACCAGAGCCTCAAAATTCTTCACAGGCTTAGCCTTAAGACCATTGTCATTAACATTTAAGATCGTGCAGCATTTTCAATTGCAGTATTCAATTCTCCCTTAATTTGAAAGCTGTTTTACTGCAGCGACATTTAATTCACACTAACTTCATTTCAAACAAAAGTTACTCAAAACTACTTCAGAAAGATGGATGGAGGCAACTTAGTTGAAAGTCCTTCCAGGCTTCACTGGAATTACAAGAGCAAACTGAAGCTGTCAGTCGTGAGAGGCCTATCAATGAGATAGAATGCAAACAGATCCAAGCTGGTCAGATCAGGCTCTACAATGTACTAACTCATTGAATAAATTCAATATTGTATACTTGCAAATTATACTGAAAAGCATCGCCATTTTCTAGACCTTGAATTTGATATTAACCGTGATGTGATAAATAATGCACTTACTGCTGGCTTTTCGTTATTTATCTTGGGGAAGGAATTTGGTGCCTGGAGCAAAAGGGGAAAAAAAGGATAAAGGTTTGAAAATATTCACTTCTTCAAATTTCTGGTTAAAATTATGAGCAGGTTCAAAAATTCTTACATACTGGGAGATAGTTAAGGGCATTAAATGGATCATCAGCAGGGGCAGGAACCAAATCGCCAAGCTGCCAAGAAATAAAAAGGAAATGTTTAGCACATGTGGCAGACATCATAAAGTCCACATTGAACCAAGAAATTGTAAGGTACCTGAAGCTTCCTCCAACCATTGTAAACTCGGATGTAAAGATCACCTCTCTCCGAGACATAGCCTAGAGAACCTTCAGACACAATATAAGTTGTCTTGTGCATAAGATCCACATTCTTGAATATGGTCACCTATTCAGAATGCATGAAACAAAACCAGTTTAGACATAGCCACAGATAGCAAACTCAGAAATTTTGCAACAGAGAATGTCATGGTGACCCTTCACTTTATAATTTCACTAAAAATCCTTGGTGACAATAATGGAGATTCAGATATTTTATGCAGTCTGTGCGTTGTGATAGTATTCACGTCATAACTATGTCAAGCTCAACATATAGGAATTCAGGACAGGAGCAGGTTCTTTGAACTCGCTCCATGTGACTTAATCTGTGAGGAATTCCGAATTAATTCTCATTCAGTTTATATTTGAATCCAAACAAAGATTCTCTGAAGCCTGGGGCCACTGAGTAGGTTATAATAATAATAATCCTTGCATTTAATATAGCGTCTTATCACGTCTTCAAGACATCTCAAAGTGCTTCACAGAATATACTGTAAAGTGAATTGACTGTGTTTTGTGAGTGAAACTCGGCAGCCAATCGCGCACAGCAGAGTCCCACAAGCAGTTATGGATTGAGTGACCAATTTATTATTATTATATTTTAAAATATATTTTTGAAGGGATTATCACCCCCGGAATAGCGATCTGTCAATCGACTAACAACCGGGTTCCTAGTTACTGCTAGGTAAACAGAGATGTGTGGGGTAAGGGAACTTGCCCTGTCTGGAAATCGAACCCAGGTCCTCTCGCTTGCGAGACGAGTGCTCTAATCATTAAGCTAAAAATTTGTAAAAATATCTTACACGATAAAGAATATCTCAAAGAACTTCACAAACTGAGTGCAATTAGAAATGTCATGGATTGGCAGTGGAATGCTCAGTTTGGATACTCTTAAACATGGTGATGGGTTTCCACTTGTGTCTGACATCCAGCTGACAACTCCACCCAAAAAAAATCACTAACTTTTATTGATTTCCCAAGTTGCCACCTCCTGTACAGAGCATGGCACTGAACAGATAATAAGAATCAATGCATACTTCATCCAAGAGTTAACATATTTAGAATCTGTGATCGCATGCAGCAGTTCAGAAATAGCCACGTAAATCATCACTCTGAAGTCAAGGGGATATTTCCCAGGTGCTCGGCTCCAAGCACAATATGTTTGGAGCATATTCATCTCTGAGGATGAGTGCTAGCAGAAATGCATTTGGCTCACAGAAGGAAACCAACCAATGTTACTATTTCACTTCGTCAGTTCTGAAAACTCCTACCTGGGTCCTTCTTTGTTTAAAAAAAAATCACTATTATTATTATTATGACTATTTATGAGACACTGCCGTGCGCAATTGGCTGCAGCTTTTTGCCAACAAAATACAAAGTCAAGTCACTTTATAGTATATTCTGTGAAGCGCTTTGAGATGTCTCGAAGACGCAATAAGGCACTATATCAAAATACAATAATTACATTATAATAACAAGTCAAATATTTGGAATATAAAAGTAAATGGTCCATTTGGACTCACTCTCTGGCTCAGATGGTAGCACTCTAACCTCTAGTCAGAAGGTTGTGGATTCAAAGCCCAATTCAGGACTTGAGTGCTGCTTTGTTAGAGATGTTATTGTTTAGATCAACTGTTTGAGGTCCCAACTTCCTATTCTTTAGGTGGGCAACAACGCCATTTGAGAAAAGAAGGGAGTTTTCTGAGATAAATTGACCTCTTGGCTGTTTGTGGGATGGATCTTGCTATGTGTAAAATGGCTTCCTACAAAAACAGTGATAGCACCTGACAGCAACTACCTGTGAAATGCCTTGGGATGTTTCAATGTGATAAAGTGATATAAAAATGGAAATACAATGGTTGTAAAGATTCTTACGCTTATCTTTCAACTTACTGGGCTTCCTGTGCTTGGTGGTCCTGGTGGTCCCGGTGGTCCTGGGGGGCCTGGAAGCGCAACAGCTGAAAATATAAAGAACGTTTTGAGCTGCTGTACTAATTGTATTACTCTGTAATACTGACAAATCTGCTTAGAATATTTTTTAACCATACAGGTCTACAGCACAGAAGAAGGCCATTTGGCCCATCATCTCAGAATTGGACAATTTTTTTAAAAAAAAGTCCATCTCTGAATTCATGCTGATATCAGGATATGCACCTTTCTATGTTTCTGCACGGAAAGTCAATTTGTAACTGTAAGTTCAAGATCCTCGACCCCACTTTTACTTCCCTCCAGGTTTACCCACTCCACCTCTGTGGCCTTAAACTCTACCAACCCGCTCATTCCTTTCGCTTGGCTACTTCATGCCCCCTGGCCTGCCCACCCCATTATTGGCAGTCAGGCTTTCACTCTTTCTGTCCGCATTCTCTGGAACTTTTTCCCAGAGTCCCTTCGCCTCGATGCTTACCTCGCCTCCTTCAAGGTCTGTCTCAAGACCTTCCTCTTTGACTGCGCCTTTGGTCATCTTCCCCCCCCACCTCTTGGCCCCCACCATTCCCGAACTCAACCCCCAGCTCAGGTCCAAACCCTCGAATGGGACGTCCTCCCAATGTGAAACCACAATGTAAATGCAATTTGTTATTGTTGTAATTCTATCCTGTCCTTTCCCCAGTTACCCCAATGTCTTTGAGTGGAACTAAATGCATAATTCTCTGGAGAGGTTCGGCTTCTCCCTCCTCCACCCCCTCTTATAAATAAAAATAAAGTCAAACTCTGGATCTTGTAAGAAGCATTGGAGCTGGGTCCCTGCTTGAATGCTGATCTTTGTTTCTGCTTCTCTGAAGCTAGATTGTGGCTAAAGGCAGTGGCGGGTCAGAAGTCGATGTCAAAGCACAGTTCTAGCAGTGAGCCAAACTTGAATTTAAATCTAAATTATTTAAATTATTTAAATTTAAACAAATTTTCATGCAAGGGGTAGTGGAAATCTGGAACTCTCTCTACCAAAAGGCTGTGGATGCTGGATCCATTAAAATTTTCAAGACTGAGGTGGATATATTTTTTGTTAGGTAAGGGTATTAAGGGTTATGGGGCAAGGGCAGGTAATTGGAGTGGAGGTACAGCCATCAGCCATGATCTAATAGAATGGCGGACAGACTCGAGTGGCTGAATGGCCTACTCCTGTTCATATGTTCCTATTAATATTCTGCAAGATTGGTTATATAGAAATTTCTGTTGCTGATCACTGCAAACTAAACCCCTGGCCTTGTGTCATGAACTTCCATCGTTCCAAATCCATTGCACTGAAATGTCATTTTGTAGCAATGAAAATGGACATTTGAGACAGGCTTACCTGATCCAAAGACCCCCGCTGCTCCTGGGGATCCCGGGGGTCCCGGTCGTCCTGGTGGTCCTACAATCCCGTAACCTGGGGATCCTGGGACACCAGATCTCCCTGGTGGTCCCATTGGTCCCTCGATAGATTCCCCCTTGGGTCCCTGTGGGGCAAATTAATTTTTTTTACTATTCAGCAAATAACATGCGAGTTGAGAACTTTCTCACAAACTAGATGAATGTTTTATCGTCTCTGAATGATAGTGTCTTAAACCAAATTATTAAGCTCTATAGCGCAAGTCATAAAGGAGTGATTGTTTTGGAGGCAGAGGTAGCTCACTGGGTGAAAACCTCAAGTTACAATGCATGGGGTACTGGCTCTGCCCATCATATCAAACTGTGGTCTAAGTGGTATCAATATGTCAGAAGTATTAGTGACGGAAAAGAGGCAACTTTAAATGAGGAATCAAAACATTGACATCAATGGACAATGGTGAAAAACATTTTTAAAAATCCCAGATTACTCAGATAAATGAAAGAGATGAGCTGTCCTTAATATGAGCTAAAGCAAGTGAACTGAATTTGAACACACTTTTTTTTAATATACAAGTTGTTGCCACTTGTATTGACTATTGAAGGCAGCCAAGCAGATGCGCAGATTGCCCAAGCCATTAACAAAGTGCCAGCAGATGGGTCTATGTAAGCAAGACGTCAATCAGTTACCCTCCCAACGGAGGAATCCCTGAGCTGTTCATTACTAGCTGACAACTTTCAACACACATCACATGTAGGCAGGCTGGTATGTGAGTCACGACAAATGGCCCAATCTAACACTGCCAAGGCATCCTGCAGTTAACATGACATACAACAATAACCTTTAGAGCCTCCTACTGATCGCCCTTCCTCCATATTACAGAGTTCTACAGGTTGGGAAAGCATAGGGCTAGAATCGCATGTCTTTTATAGAACTAAAGTCAACCCAAAGCATGTATTTATTACATACAGCACGCATTACAACAAACATCGGGTCATTTTTAATAAAAGTTAGGTAGAAAGTTGGCCTTTGAGCCCATCAAGCGTCTTCCACCCATTTATTAGATCATAATAGATCTTCTAAACCTATTTTCTCTGCCTTTTCTGCATACCCTTGAAACCCTTAGTTCAGCAGATTATTGCCCCAACTATAAATATACCTTCCTTTTAAACATCCCAATTGATGTTGTCTCTTGGAGAACATTGGGTTATGTCTGTAAGTAGTGTTCTTTGAAGAATATTGAACTCTAAACACAAATAAATACTCCATTATCCAATATGGGATGACTGCTTAGAACATACTGTAGCCACCTCAATAAGGTGGACCTTCTCACATGCATTGAGTACATACATCAGTTTTGACCATGCTAGACAGTAGAAAGACAAAGAAATAAATGGAACATTCAGGCAATGTGGAAGTTTGAATATTCAGAAAATGAACATCAAATTACACCACGTTAGAAGGAAAATCACATTGCAGTAATGGAGGAAGCTTTACACGCCTAGGTTGGAATACAATTAAAGACCACAAAATACCACACCATACTGTAACTCTGAGTGAGCTGGGCGAGACTTGCAGTGAAACATTATTATTATTATAAAAATGACAAGTGGTGAACAAGGCAAGTAAATTGGGATTCAGCCAATGACTTGGTACTTATTTATTTACTTTTTTGGATAGACAGATGAACGGTTGACCAAATCGTTTCTATGATTAAATTTAGAGTATGAGGAAAGAGCAGGGAATTGGGATTGGGATGACGGCTCCTTGGAGATGCAAAAATAACTAATGTGAGCATATTGAAACAGTTATGAAATGTCACATTTTTCACTTTAGGGAATGGTATTGAGTGGGGAGCAAGCAATTGACCACAAAACTGCTTGCACAATTACTCTGATATTTATGTTTCAAAACATGTGACCATAAATCATGGAAATCACTTTGCTAATATTGTAAGAAAATGAGTTCAATAATATATCCCAAGAATTGGCACAATATAAGAAAATAATGTTTCCTATAAAAGATTTTCAAGTGTTGATGTTGAGCAATTTACCATTATTATTAATGACTGCATGTGGTGGAGTTAAATCCATTAGTTGAATGTTTTTGGGACGTCCTCCCGACATGAAAGGCACTCTATAAATGTAATTTTGTTGTTGTTGTTTGGAATCAGAATTCATTGCTTACCACCAACTTTAGCCTGTGTTTCAAAGCCTTGGTGAGACAGAATCCCACATAACGTCACACTGGAATGCATATTTCCAGCAGCAGGACTCAAGACTTCAGACTAGCGGAAAAGAACGTTACTGTGGTGGAATAGACACATGTTTTTTTGATTATATTACATATTGCTGGCGTGCAGAAGCACTGAGCACCTGGGAGCTAAAGCAGCAGCCTGCTACATGAGGTACATCCGGTTTGTGAAGGAAGTTCTTCATTGTGAGCCAAATGAAAAAAGTTAGTTACTGAGAATAAAGATTGCTTCGTTTCTTATAATCCTTGCGTTTGATATAGCTCTACAGCACAATGATATAGCACTATAGCATAATACAATGGAGTCCTGTAGCTCAGTGGTTAGAGCACTCGCCTTGCAAGCGAGACACCTGGGTTCAAATCCAGGCAGGGTGAAACCTTAGGCAAGTTTCTTTACTCCACACGCCTAATAATAATCCCTCCAAAACAAAACAATAATAAATTGGTTATTTTCAATCCACGACTGTTTGTGGGACACTGCTGTGCGCAATTGGCTGCCGCGTTTTGCCCGCAAAATATATACGGTGAATTCACTTTATAGTCTATTCTGTGAAGCGCTTTGAGACGTCGAGAAGACGTGAAAAGCGCTATATCAAATGCAAGGATTATTATATTTATTAATACCGTATTTGGCAGCTAATTTGCATACAGCAATGTCGAACAAATGGCCATGAGGTGAATGACCAATTGGACCAGGAAGATTGTTGGCCAGGACACTGGGGTGGGGGGGGGGTCAAATATTGCTATGGGATCTTTTAATATCCATCTGAGCAGAGCAGACAGGACACTCTGTCTCGTGTCTAACGACGGTACATCTGACAATGCAGGGATTCCTTAGCACTGTATTGGAGCCTCAGTCTAGACTATTTGCTCAAAGTCCAGACGTGCTGCATGAACTAAGTTCTGAAAACACCACATCTGGAAGTGACTCACTGAAAGGGTGGAACTTCTTTTCTCTTGCAAGTCAAGTGAGCAGATTCTATGAATATAGCAATCAATATTTCTGCTCTCTCCAATACACCCGTAGGATTCAAATGTTCTTAACACCATTGTTTAAAAATGTAAAATAACACAAGTTTCCACACGCCTGTAAAAAAAATGTAAAAATATTTGGTCACTCAATCCACGTCTGTTTGTGGGACACGGCTGTGCACAACTGGCTGCAGCTTTTCGTCCACAAAATACACAGTCAATTCACTTTACGGTATATTCTGCAAAGCGCTTTTTTTCTGTAAAATACCAAAGTAAATCTTAATAATAATTTCAGTAACCTGTGAAAAGTAAACACAGCGAGGGAGTAATTTCACCTGGGCCTGAATTTACTTAATTTTATTTATCAAAATGTGGCAAAGTCTTAATTCAGTCTTAATTTTGTAGCTGGTTTTCTGTAGGCTCTTTTAAGAACTGCATAAAACAGTCTGATCTGCCTGTTTAGGTGGACATTAAAGACTGCATGGCAAACACTATTTGAAAAGAAGGTAGTTTCTCCCAGTGTGCTGGCCAACAATACCCCAGATAAAACTGGTCATTCACTTCTTGGCTGTTTGTGGGATATTGCTGTGTGCAAAATGGCTGCCGTGAGTGCCCATTAATTCTGATGGCATTTAAATATCAAGCACTTCAAGAAGTTTTGATGTTAAAGGTGCAATACTGAAGTATAGGAGTATTGATATTATTCCTATGATTTTTTCTGGCTTAATTTCTTGCCCTGCAGTGAGAGTGGCAACTTAGCATTTTGCCATTTCACTGATGAGTTTCAGTCGCTTACGTTTTCCTCTCCCTTTCTTCCTCCAACTTTGTGTGCATTTGGGGAAAAGAATTGGAAAATATTTATTAGGCTTGGCCCATGGATTTATTATTTCACATTTCAAAACATGCACCACAATTGGTCACCCCATCGCAGCTGTTGGTAAAAGTCGTGCCATTTGGTGACAGGTTCAATATTTTTATATATAAACAGTGTTAACAGAACAGTCTATGTTCCCACTTACATAGTGAGACAACGGACAATTAACTCCTAGGGTAAAAACAATGAAGCCACTTTCAAATTCTATCACAGAAACCACAAAACAATGTACTTCTGAACAGTGACACATTGAGCATTGTTAAAGGAATAAGTTTATATTTTTTTTGATCAGCCAGGACTCTGACACACGAGAAATCGAGAGCATCCCGAACAAATTGAGAGTTCCTTCTTTACTCTTTGAAGTTGAGAATAAGGTTTCAGGATGTTTATTCAGTTTGAATGGGTTAATAATCAAAGATTACAGTTATATTTATATAAACAAATGAACAAACTTACCACTGGGCCAGGTCTCCCAGGAGGTCCTGTAGGTCCGCGGGAACCTGGCATGAACAAGCCACCCGAGTCTCCCTTGTCACCTTTCGGCCCCATGGCCCCGCCATCTCCTTTTTCACCCTTTGAAGTCGAGAATAACATTTGAAGATGTTTAACTCTGCTTGAATTGTTTTCGATAATCGAGGATTAAAGTTAAGACTGTCAAAGGACAAGGATGATGGCACAACAGCTGTAAATTTTTCCGATCTTAGTCGCTTCCTCAGCAACAACTGTCACAAGGCAACAACTGTCTCCCCACCCCCCCACCCTCTACACTCGCATCAGGTTTGGTATGATTGAGCACTGAAAGATCAACAAGACAAGCACACCACTCAGTCGACCGGCTTTTGGGTATGAGCCTTTTAATTAAGTTGGGAGGGAGGGGGGAGGTTCTCTATGGTAGGTAGTTGCTGTAGTGGGACACCTCCGGGAGCAGGGTATCTCGCCTTGTCAGAATTATTACAGGATGATGATCTTTCACACACTGCTCATTTTCCACCCCGAGCGCACAAAACACTGAGCCGCACTGGAAAATGACACCACTTTGCAAGGCTAAGCCTTCTGTGATGGGAAGTCGACTCGCTCAGCGCTCACTTATGAACAGGAAGGCTTTTTCTCCCTGTACTTCACAGTCCAGCTCCACATAGCACTACGAACACTACTGAAAGGAAATATTAATCAAAGCCACCACTTCACTTAACATTTCATTAGGAAACCAGACACTGCTTACCTTGTGGCCATTCCCATAACTGCCAAGGAATGAATAAGGACCTAAAAAAAGCAGAAAACACTATTAAATATTTAATGGATTTTGTTGGCCCGTCAGAATCTCCACAAAAATCCCCTCCCAGGTCTTCCCATCTGTCACAGCATGTTAGTTTTACATTCCCCAGTAAAGACATTAGTAAACTGCTGTGCGCAATTGGCTGCCGAGATAGACAACAAAAAACAACTTGCATTTATATCGCACCCTTCATGCAGGTAGTATCTCGGAACGCTTAACAGTGGCAGTGCTTAATGCTGAGCCAAGGATAGAGGGGAAGTGACCGTAAGCACGGTTGAAGAGGAAACCCTTCAGGTGTTGTTTTCAGGTAAAATCCCAGACAACACCTACCTCAGAAGCACAGCAGTGAAATTAAATTGCTGCAGGGTATAATTAAATCTCATAGCTATTAAAATCCCCACTGTGACTTCAGGTACTTGGGAACCTCAAAATGTTTCTCTGATTCCAAGTTAAGTAGCAATGTTTGAAAAATCACAGAGAATAATTGTTATTTAAAAGACAATAGTTTGAAAGCTCTAAAAAGCGCAGTCAGTGTTTAAATTGCAGGGGCTGGAGGGGGCAGGTGAACATTTTCTGGGATTTAATGTAACAAAAGAGTTAGATACCTGGTGGCCCCGGTGAGCCCTGGTCCCCTTTATCACCTTTACTACCACCGTTTCCAGGAAAGCCCACTGAACCTTTCTGTCCCTTTGGACCTTCGGGAGTGAAACAGAGAGAAATTATTATTCAACTCAATTCAAAACATTACAACAATAATAACAACTTGCATTAATATTGTGCCGTTCATACTGGCTAGCGTCTCGGGCAGTTAAATTATCTTAGAACAAATGTTCTACATATGTTGTACTGCAAGAAACGATTCTGAGCCAGAATGGTTTGTGATCCAGTTTGGAAGCCAGTGCGTCAACAATCTTCATGACTTTAACTTTATTTTGCCCTAAAATTTAAGTTTCTGCAGAATTGTGGAAAATTCTTAAATTCAGTCACGTGAGTTAACATTGAAGTCTAACACCTTTGCTGACGTGTGATTATCATGGGGAAATTCCATTTGAGGCACTAAAACGTAACACTGATTGAAAGTGAAGCCCAGTAATTTGGAAGCTTGTTCATTTAAAGAACTGTGTGAAAAAATGTTTTCCAAATTAAGACTGAATTAAGACAATTGCCTTATCTAAAATTGTATCTTATTTAAGATACGGTAGTCAGCAAGGGAGCAAAGTGGGAAGAGTAGGATTTGTTTTACACAAGAAGGTTGTTAGGACGTGGAATGCCCTTCCTGCTGTAGTTGAGACAAGATCCAGGCTAGCTTTCAGGAGTGAACTGGATAGATATCTAAAGAAGGTATTGGGGAAAAGGAAGGTACATAGGATTGAATGGATAGCTCTTTCAAATAGCTGAATGGACACAACATAAAATGGTGTCTGAATGGTTACAGACAAGAATGGCCTTCTTCTGTGTTATAAATTTCTAGAGTCAAAGTTAAATTCATGAGAAAAGTTGGGCCTCAGAGGGTGTGGTTATTATTAGCACCTTTAATATGATGTTGAATATGCGGTAGAATCCATTTGGTTTAGAAACGTGCTAATTACACGTGACAGACAGGATCTCAGTTTAATGTCTCCTCTGAAGGATGGCACCTCCACCAATGTGACACACCCCCAGAACTGTTTTGGAGTAGATTCTGTAAATTCCTAGATTATGTAAATTCTCTACATGAGGCTTGAACCCACAATCGTTTGACTCAGCAGTGAAAATGCTACCAACTGAGCCACGCTGATCCACACATATGGTCCCCTTCCCCTCCTGCTTGGTGATCTTTGTGAAGTGCTCTGAGACATCCCACATGAAAGGTGCCATATAAATGCAAATTGTTATTACAGACTAAGACTAGGTGAAGTTTTCATCCTCAACTGCTCATTTGCTACACGAGAGCAGTTTGGGTTTCTGCTCCCTCTCGTCTCTCGACATGTCATACAAAATACAATAAAAAATTACATCTGTCCAGCACCTTTCATGTCAGGAGGATGTCCCAAGGTGCTGGACAGTCAGGGATTTGGACCCAAGCGGGCATGGGGGGGTGGGATAAGGGAGGTTAGAGGGCAGGGAGGGTAGGAGGGTGGCCGAAGGTACGGTCAACCAGGAGGGTCTTGAGATGTACCTTGAAGGAGGCAAGGGAGGGAGCGAGGTGAAGGGAATGTGGGATGGAGTTCCAGAGGGTGGGGCAGAGAGGCTGAAGGCCCGACCGCTAATGGTGGAGCGGGCCTGAGGTTCAGTCAATCCCAGAGGCTGGATAGTATTATGGATTGTGTGGACACAAGGAGGTGGGGAAATTCTCCATTCACTGGTTAATGAGATGCCTGAGACATGATGATGTAATCATAAAATAGTAGACAATGAGTATGTGACTGTTCCAGGAATCAAATACCCTGTACTCAGTTTTACAGATAAAATCTGTTTATGTGTTTTTCATAAACCAATCTACAAGACTGGTTTATTCCTTTGGGCAATTTAGAAGCACAGATAACCTTGAATGTTTTCTTTGAGTTTTTCCATAATATTGCTTAAAGCTTCTTTTAAAGTCTTGCTTAAAGCTTCTTTTAAAGCCTTGCTTTAAGTTTCTAGTCCAGAGGTGGCCAACCCATGTCTCTTGGGCTGGAAGTGGCCTGTTTGACCATCAAGATGTGGCCCTCCGAACATTCGAACCAGTCTAGTGAATCTGTTTTTATCTTGATTGAGTATTTCTTGCTTTGTGGCATTAATCAAGAAATATTCAATCAAGAACATTTATTTTGTTGGCCAACTAAAAAAGGCTGGCCATCACTGCTCTCGTCTTTTTTTTATGGGGGGGTGGGGTCTAGTGGGTTTTGGAGAATTATAACCCCCCCCAGTCCAACCTCTCTGGCTGGTCGAAACATTCCAGAGATTTACAATTAAAAAAAAATCCCACATCATAGTAAGGAAATGGTTCTTTTTGTTACTGAAAATGCTAAACTACTGGGATCTGATTTGTAATCTTCATGAAAGAGGATGGGAAATGTAAGCCATCAAAGTGAGAAGAAGACTGGGGAGCACTTTTGTTTAACCCAATGCTAAATTGAAGCAATAAGACAAGTCGTGTCCAGGGATTGTTCCCTGTCCCCCTACACATACCCCATCCTCCTTTAGAGATTTGTTGTGCAGCTCTGCCTGCTCAATAACGGGTTTGACCAAATCATTGCCTGGACTTGCGAATGAGTGCCTTGTGCTTTATTCCTGGGGAACAGTAAGACTTTGTGCAATGTTAGTGCCATATCGTGCACACCCTGCAGATCATCAAAGTGGATGGTTCCTTTGGTAACGGAGTGATTTGCTGAGATAAGTGAAACCCAGACACAGCTTTAGGTATTGTAATTTTATAACTCGTGTCAATTTCGCAACCAGATGGTGATTGAAGCCAAAGATACCTTAACTGGAGCAGATTTGGAACTTCAGTCAACCAATCATATGCAAAAAATAAAAATAAGTACAGCATCTATCTTAGCAATGCAGTTTTAGATCCTTTGAAAGAGTGAAACCATGCCAAAGACTATTACATTACGTTCACTTTAAGTTTACCACCAAAAACAAAATTAGACAGTTTCTGTGTGTCTAGAATCCCATCCCACAGAGAATCGAGTACAAAGCCCTTGTTCTCACTTCAGAGCCCTCCATGGTTTTGCTCCACCCTATCTCTATGACCTCCTAACCGCATATCAGCCCGTCTGCTCCCTCCCTCGGCAGACACCGGCCTGCTACAGGTCCCCCGCACTTCCCGCCCCACCATTGGGAGTTGGGCATTCAGCGTCTCTGCCCCCACAGTCTGGAACTCTATCCTGCAATCCCTCCGCTTCACCTCCTTTATTGCTTCCTTCAAGTCCAGTCTAAAGACCCTTCTCTCGACCGTACCTTCGGCCACCCTCCCAGCCCTCTGCCCTCCACCCCTCCGGACCCCATATCCCAGCTCGTGTCCAAAAAACCCTGACTGTCCAGCTCCCTGGGATGTCTTTCTGATGTGAAGGACGCTAAACAAGTGTAATTTGTTGCATAATATCAGTCATATGTTATTCAGATGGATAAAAGTAATGACCAATTGGCCAGCCAAGGCACAAGGCAGTTCTTAAAGGAATACTATCCTTAGGTGTTTCCTGTCCACTGTCCATTCATACATGGAGGTTGAACAATTGAGGAAGAATCTCATGTTCCCTCACTATAACACGGGCCATTTATATTTAATTTGAAGAAAATCCCTTCAATATACTGTAGTGGGTTGGATATATGACAAACACCTTACCCAGGAAATTAATGGCTGTCTGTTGTCCAGGTTCGCCATTTACCTAATAAAAAGGGAGACAACAGATTCTAATGAAGTTAACACTACACCCATTGAACCTCTAATACAAACCCAGATTAATTTGTAGAAAATAAGTCTTTAACGTTAGAATCAAAACACAGATATAGGTCATCCCCTCCAAGAGCTTAAAATAAAATGGAACCTTTCTTTTTTTGCAAAAAAGAAATATTAATAACATTTGATCTGCAGCATTGCAATTAGATTTGCAAATGAATTCATTCATATTTTGTAAGCTGCTCAAACAGCAAAAACACAAGCAGCTTAATAAATATGCAGCAGAATCCTGATAATCACTTTGTTTCTCTCGTGTACAGAAGATTGAGGGGTAATCTGATCGAGGTGTATTAAATTATAAATGGATTGACAGGCTGAAGAGTGATCAACTGTTTCCTCTGGTGAGAGAATTGAAAACTAGAGACCATTGTCTTAAACTTGAGGCTAAACCATTTAAAACTGAAATAAGGAAACAATTTTCACACAGTGGGTGGTGGGACGTGTGGAATTCACTTCCCCAGAGGGCAGTGGAAGCAGAGTCAATTGGAAATTGTCAATGGCATATAAATACTTGATAGACGGAGATATTAAGGGATATGGAGAGAGGGTGGGGAGGAGGACTGAGTTGTGGATTGGCAATGATCTCGGAAAATAGTGGGTCAGTTATGATGAGCCGAATGGCCTACTCTTGTTCCTGTGTTGTTTTGAAGAACAATATAAATAATCCTGGCATTTGATAGAACGCCTATAACCATGAAATGTCTCAAAGCATTTTATAGCAATTACTGTTAAGTGTGGTACTGCAATTGGAGACTTGATCAGGAAATCCGACCTAATAGGAGTTGTTGTGAATGGCAGTGCAATTGTTTTAGATTTAAATCAGGTTTGTGTTTATCTCCACTGTACTGAACAGTTCCATTTCAAACAGAACTGGAGAAACAAGGAAGTTACCAGGAACTGAGCATTGTACGGTCTCTGATAACATCCAAGACAGTGTGTCTCTCAATTCAACACAAAGCACACAATGCAAGTACAAACCTGGAGTCAGTCTGTCTTTGTTAGAATACCATGCCTCATGCTGGCAACATGTTTGATATCATGCTCTTTTCAAAGTCTTTTGACAAGGTTTTCCACATTTCTGATACAAAAATTTTCTATGGTTACTCACTTGCTTTTAATACATGGCCTAAATTGTATCATTAGAAAGACTGTTGCAAACAATTTGAGATAATGAGTTAGGCTTTGGTTACAACAATATCATTATTGGTACAAATGATCTGAAAAGGCTTTGTTCAGTTTTGTAGTGAATGTACTGAAAAGTACTAACGTGACTAATAACATAAGTAACTTTAAAAAAAAGGAGTCGCTATTACGACCCTGAGCTAGCCTTCCAGAGGATGCAGTAGTGAGAACCTTGTTACCAGACCTGAAAGGCTTGTGAGATAAATATTCACACTGAGCTGCCGTGCAATAGTTCCATTTGATTGGCATGTATGGAAAAGTTGCCTTTAAAACAAAAGGTTAACATGCAATACTGGGCTCAAATTTGCAACACTGCACGATAGATTGGATGTGAAATCTGTTCAGAAACTCGGACATTTCCATGTTTTCTAAAGGCTTCCCACCCAGTTCTGACTTCTGTATTTTTTTTTGTTCCTATACACAATCTGAGAATACCTCATTGTCATTTTGGAAACTGGGAAAGCCGGTGGCACCTTGTTTTTGAATCCTGGGGCAGGTGTTTGAGCGCTTGGAACAGAGGAACTCACAGGTGTAATCATTGTGCTGATGGTGTCTGGGGAGGGGGAGAGGGAGATGAAATGGAAAGTGTCCAGTCTTTAGAAATGGATGGAAATATGTGCGACGTTTCGTAACAGATTTGATATGGTTGAAATGTCACAAATCTCACCCCAAAAATGGCAAAGTGTGCAAACCCTGCCAATCGGCACTTAGGAAATGTAGCAGAAGGTCAGTATCCTTTCGTCACCAATATCAGTGTGTTACTATTATGTTAGGTTCTCCCTTTGTTGGGTCCACCAATTATAAGGACCAGTCCATTAGAATGATCTTTATTAGAGTCTGATGTAACTTTTACGAGAGACAATACTGTACTTACTTTTCAAGCATTAAGGTACAAGCCAAAGCGATCAAGGCAGGCAACAAGCAGAGAGACAGGAGCTTTTAGGCAACTCTGTACAAAGGAAAAGATGGCCTCGGGGAGATCCCGTGTGAGGCATTAACCTGCTTTCATTACAGGTTTCCATTTTGCCCGTGTGAAAAATCTGAAGTTAAATATCGTCTGTAGCATCTTTAACTCACAGTCTGTAATCAGATTATTGGTGGTTGAACTTACAGGCATTTTGCAGTGGGGTCTGGGAGGGACCGGGAAAACTGTCTATTCAGATGTGGAGGAAAACGGATTGGTAAATAAAAGACAAGCAAGTAACAAAATATATAAATGATTCAGTTTAAAAAAAAGTAAAAGTTTGCAAAGAAACGTATCAGAACAGATATAAGAATGACGAGCATTGTATAGTATATAAAATGGCCTTACCCCTTTTAAATTGAGAACAGGTCCCGGAGGGCCTGGAAGTCCAGGAGGACCTGGTAACCCTGGATTACCCTGAAATGGAAACACATCCTTTTAGCTCTCAATTATCCCTCCTGCTATGCCAGGTTCCTAACTAAGGCTCTCTTCTCTCTTTGTTTTCGCTTGTCATTACGCTTGTCAGTGCCTATGAGAAACTCTCTTCTATATTCAAATAGCATTGTAGGATCTTGAGCGTTTACCTGGGGAAAAAACAGGCCAACAGGACTTTGGTTTAACATCTCATCCAAACGGTTGTGCCAGTGACAAAGTAACTCTCCCACAGCGCCGCACTTGAGTGTCTGCCGAGACAGTGATCTCCAATGTCTATTATCTTAAACCAATAACTCTCTGACCCACAGCAATGAGTTCTACCTTGCTGACGCTAGATTATAAATAATGGTGTAGAGGCCACGATGGACAGATTATGACCTATGGCAGGAGCAGGCTTGATGGACTAAATGGGCTTTTCTTGTTTCAGGGTTCTTGTGACACAGAAACATGCTAATCCCAAAGATTCGGGCAACTAAGACCATGAGGAATTTTAGGCCTAAGATGTGTCTGAGAGGCAGTGATGGAGAGAAATCAAGACAGCAGCCAATGGAGGGACAAAGCAACCTGGTTTGCTTCAGATTCTCAAAACAAGTCTCCAACAAGTGCTCTGATGTTTGCTTCCTAGAAATATTCTTGTTTAGAAACATTCTTACTTGTGATATTACAGCTTCACCTTTTTGACCCGGAACTCCGTGTTTTCCAGGGCGACCCTGCAAAGACCACATCAAAGCATTAGGTTTTCATTGTTTCCTTTACAAGGATTGAATTTGGCCTCGGTTTGTAATGTATATCACTTACAAGTCGACCCGGCAGGCCAAATTCCCCTTTTGATCCAGGAAATCCTCTTGGACCCTAAAAAACAAACACTGTCGAGTTATAACATTTCTCAACAAGAACTGAACCCTCAAATAGTCTTTTTGTTTCAAATAAACAGGGGAATCTTGTGTTAATATTAGAAAACCCCTAGGTTTTCTTCCTAGGCCATATGTCATTACAACCCAGAACTGCACCCAAGCGCTGTGAGTGTTAACCTGTTAGGGGTTAAATCTGTCACACTGCTGTGCGCAATTAGCTGCTGCATTTTGCCCACAAATATACAGACAATTCACTTGACAGTATATCCTGTGAAGCGTTTTGAGACATCTAGAAGACGTGATAAGGCGCTATATCAAATGCAAGGATTATTATGATTATTATTACTATTATGGGGTGAACAACAACAAATTACCTTTAAATAGCACTTTTCACGTCAGGAGGATGTCCCAAGGTGCTAGATAATGAGGGGTTTGCACCCGAGCTGCGGGTTAGGATCAGAGGAGGGAAGATGACCGAAGGCACAATTGAAAATAAAGATCTTGAGATGGGCCTTAAAGGAGGCAAGGAAGAGGGCAAGGGTTGAGAGGCTCTGGGATGGAATTCCAGATGGTGGGGCAGAAAGCTTGAATGCCTGACCACTGATAGTGGAGAAGGCAGGGGAGGGCACATGGAACAGAGTGAAGTTCTAATAGGTCACAGAGATAGGGAGGAGTAACATCGTGGAGGACTTTAAAGGCGAGGATAAGGATCTTGAACTCGATCCTCTGGGGGACGGGAAGCCAGTGAAGCTGGGCGAGGATGGGGGTGATTGGTTCACGAAGCTTAGTGCGGGCGTTGAGGCTGACTCATTTGCGCGATGAGCAAAGCTGAGTAGCATCTGACTGAAGAGTAGCTTGTGTCTGAACTTGTGAAACCTATCACACTTGGTGTGTGAGTCCAGGGACTGAATTGCTTCTTTCGTTTTCAATGGGACAGCAACTGAACCACCAGATCAAACACTTCATTTAAGACATAAGAGCATCGGATCAGGAAAAAAATATTATTGTCTGTATGGCCAGGACAGTCCCACTTTCTTAGATATTATTGCTGATTTCCATCAATCTTCACTGCGATTGATATCTACCTAATTCCTTCCTGAAATTGTCAACTTTGTCCACCTTCATCTGCTTTCTTGGTAATTTTCTCCACATGGTCACCATCCTCTTGCATAAAACAATTAATTCTGGACTTAATGTTCACTTCCTCCCATTTGAACCAACTGAAGGTCATAAGGTGCTCAGCGAATTTCTAGATCAGCCTGTTCCAACTCCTCGTTCTCAGCACTTTTCATTTGAGTGCTCGGCATTGACTGGTACTCATTTGGCACTTTGGAGCAGCTGTTAAACGCTGCACTTTAGGGTTGAACAAAAAAAATCCACAGCCACATGATCCTTTCCAGAAAACACGAACCAAAACAGATTGCACCGAGAGTCATGAGACTCTTTGCAAGCTCGTGCCAGACCAACAAAAAATAATAGCTAGGATTAAATACCAGTAAGGATCAGTCATTCTGTAATATATTCAAGATTTATAATTAAATTATTCAAATACTAGATGAAGGCGTGCAATAAAATGAGAATTGCAATATAATCCACATCTTACCATAGGTCCTTGGGGTCCCATGAAACCTGGACTACCCTGTAAGAGAAATAAATTGCCGATATCTGGTCAACAGCTGAGGTTTAAAGTAAAACATTTCTGGAATCAGTATATTAGCAAACTTTTATTAGATTTGAAATTAAAAAGTTCTCTCATGCTTCCTCCCTCTCGGTTTTTAACTACCTTTTGGCCCTTTGGTCCTTGCACTCCTGTCAACGCCATCAAAGAGCCATCTGCAGCAATGGATGCCCCAGGCTCACCCTTCTCACCCTGTGGAAAGAGGATGTTGTGTTCAATTTGTGACTTAGTCCCACGGTGATGGGGTTTGCTGTAGCCAGCATATTATAACAATAATAAGTCAATCCAGCTTATCATCCTGTATCATTTACTTAAATTGTCAGTTTGATGTATGTAAAGGTGATCATTTTGTTTACATTCACAAGAGGAACAGTCAACATCAGAATACAATCTGGTGAAGTCCACCTACTGTAAATATGTTAGCATCTGACAGGTGCCAATGTGCATCCTCCAGTTTTTTTTTGTCAGCCGGGTGTCTGACACATGCGGAAACCTATTACCATGCTTAAGAGTATACAAATCAAGCTGAGATTTCTATGTATCCCACCTTCACATGAAAATCCCAGAGATAGATTGTAGGAATGGAATGCGCACTCTCTCCCTAGAGGGACGCATCCTGTTTACCTAATTCCGGAAAGCATTAGGCGCAGCTTGGCAAGAGCCAAGGATTGGGGACCGCAGAATGTGAAACACAGGTTAGTGAATCTTAAAGCTTAATGAAAGCTTACAACAAAAACAATAACTTGCGCCTTTCATGCGGGGTAGCATCCCGGAGCACTTCACAGTAGCGGAGTCTGACAATGAGCCAGAGGGAGAGGGAGGGGGCACTGACCGGAAAGTCTTTAGATGGGATTTGAAGGTTGGGAAGGAGGGGGCAAAGCGGAGGGAGTGAGGGAGAGAGTTCCAGAGTTTTGGGGTGTAGTGGCTGAAGGCACAGCCACTGAAGAAGGAATGGAGGGCATGAAGGACAAAAAGGAGGCTGGAGCCAACCGAGCGGAGGCAGCGGATGTCGGAATGGGAGGTAAGCAGGTAAGGAAATGAACGAGAGGATCTTAAAATTGATCCGTTCGGTGATTGGGAGCCAGTGGAGCCTGGCAAGGACTGGTGTGATGGGGATGAGAGTTTTGTAAGGCTGCGTATCCGAGCAGCGTTGTTTTGAATTAAATGGATTTTGTGTATGGTGGAGCTGGGGAGACCAGCGAGGAGGGCATTGGAATAATCCAGCTGGGAAGTGATGAAGGCATGGACGAGGGTTTTGGCTGCTGTGAGTGTGAAATATGGACAGAGGTGGTGAATGTGGCGGAGGTGGAAAACAATCAGGGAACGGATGTGTGGTAGAAAGGAAAGCTGGGGATGGAAACTGACTCCTAAGTTGCGCGTGGGTTTAGAGAGTCTGAGGGAGAGCCCGGGTAGGTTGAGGAGTTCAGAACCGCATGAGAGAAGACGTTGACGGGAGCCAAAGAATATGGCTTCCATCTTGTCGATATGCAACTGCAGGTAATTTGCGCTCATCCAGGCTTTGTTGTCCGTCAAACAAGCTGACAGGATATCAGCAGATTGTGAATCACAGCTGGAGGATGTGAAGTAGATTTGGGTGTCATCCGCATACATGTTGACCGCATGTCTGTGGGTGACATCTCCAAGGAGGAGCACGTAGATGAGGAAAAGAAGGGGGCCAATGATGGAGCTTTGGGGTACCCTGCAAGTGGACCCTGGGCAGGGGCGAGAAGAAAAACCATTGGGTGAGATAAAATGCTGGCGGTTGGTTAGGTAGGACTCGAACCATGAAAGTGCGGTCCCACTGAGGTGGATGAGGGAGTAGAGGCGGTGGAGGAGGATGGAGTGGTTGACTGTGTCAAGCGAAGTGGAGAGCTCCAGGAGGACAAGAAGGCAGAGGCAGCCCTAGTCATCATTTGTTGCTTTGACGAGTGCTGTCTCTGTGCTGTGGGCAGGGCAGAAACCGGACTGGAGGGGTTCGAGTAGGGAGTGGAGGGAGAGGTGTGAGCGAAGTTGATTTTGCACCACTATGTTCTAGGTCTTTGACCAGGAAGGGCAGGTTTGAAATGGGACGGTAGTGCATCAAAATTAGGTTTTTTAAGGAGGATGGTGATGACAGCTGTTTTGAATGGGAGTGGGACTGATTTATCATGTCTGCCAGCAGTGGGCAGAGGAGGGTGAGTTGAGTGGCCAGCAGCTGAGTGGTTGAGGGGGGGTCGAGGAATAGCTGGTGGGTTTCATTCAGGTGATGGAAGATGAGAGGGAGTCAGGAGGGATGGGGGCTAAAGAGTGCAGGTAGGTGGGGGGTGGCGGGGGGTTGAGGGACATGGGGCAAGAGGAAAAGGCGGTCAGCCAGATGTTTTCTACCTTGAACATAAAGAAATCTAAGACCTCTTTGCGCTTGACATTTGATGTTAGGATTGAGGGTGCTTAATGGGGCGCGTGGAAGAGGTGGTGGATTGCAGTTTTGGCTTGCGACAGAGTGCGGTGGTTGGTGTGAAGGTGCTCGAGCCATAGTTGGAGATGAACCGTGAGGCTGGATTTGTGCCATCTGCGCTCGAGCAACTGGGTTTGGGATTTGAGGGAGTGGAAATGACTACTGTACTAGTGGGAGCTGGTAGGTGTGGATATGGTTCTGGATTTCAGGGGGACAATAATAATAATGATAATCCTTGCATTTGATATAGCGCTTTTCACGTCTTCTAGATGTCCCAAAGCGCTTCACAGAATATACTGTAAAGTGAATTGACTGTATATTTGTGGGCGAACGCGGCAGCCAATTGCGCACAGCAATGTCCCACAAACAATCATGGATTGAAAATGACCAATTTATTATTGTTTTATTTTTTTGGAGGGATTATTATTAGGTGTGTGGAGTAAGGAAACTTGCCCAAGGTTTCGCCCTGACCTGCCGGGAATTGAACTCAAGTCTCTCACTTGCAAAGCGAGTGCTCTAACCACTGAGCTACAGGACTCCATGGGAGAAGGGAATTAGAGGAGTGGCAATTGTTTTGTAGCTTGACGGCTGCATCAAGATCGCTGTGGGCGGAAGGCCAGAGGGAGAGAAGGTCCAAGGATGAGAGGGCATTTGTGAAGCAGTCGGGATGAGAGGAGACAGGAGATATCCTTGAGGAAAGAGCCAAGAGGTTGGGAGTGGGTGGGTCGGGATGGGGGTTGAGGGGGCGGTAGACTAGGAGAATTTTGAGAGAGGGAGGGATGGTACAGGGTGAGGTGTGTAAATGCGTGGAAACAGCCAGAGGAGTAGGGGTACAGACCAAGGGAGGTTTGATTGATGAGGGCCACCCCACAGCCTCGACAGTTGGGAAGTGTAGTCATGGAGGAGTCGAGCAAACTGGGCACAGACTAGGAATGGGAAGCAGCAAGCTCCTGATCCATAAGATGCAGCTCCATCCACTATACCACCTGGGCTGCCCCATATTTCTGAATCTTGTATGAATCCAGATTGAGACCCACTTGTTTTTGACCCTAGTGGTCCAGTAATTGGGTCTCAAAATTGGGTTTTACTGTAACTCAAATTAATCTTGTGACATCTTAACAGTGTAAGACATTTCTTAAATGTCTGTTTAAAAACAAGGTTGTTAAGCTATGTGGACTGATGCCAAACAAACTGATGTAATACAATAAACTTCTAAGTGAACTGTGAACCATTAGTCAATTTAAACAAACCAACATAAATTCTTGGTAGTGCTGTGATTACCAATTTTGCTTTGGTGACGTAACCATACATAAACATAACCTCAGTAATGTAAATGATGGCAAGCTATTAGAATAGAATTTACAGTATTCTTATTATTAATAATGATAATCATTTATTTGACATAGCACCTTTCATGTCAAGAGAACACCTCAACGCACTTGACAAGATTTACTGAAACTGTGGACTTACGTTGAAGTGTTTTGACATAATTGATAATGTTTAGTTTTGATGAGAAATAAAATCTGTCAGGCTATATCATTTATCAGCTATAGAGTGATCCATTTTGTATTATCTTAATATTCTATATTTTGTAAAGAGAAAAAGATTCTGCCAGACAAACAGCTGCAACGTACATGAAGAGAAGCTGCTTCATCACATCCCAAAGGGATAAGAAACTATCTGTTGCCATGACAATGCTAACAAGTGATTATTGGGATATGTCATTGAAATGCTGTGGATAAATCCATAGAAATTGTGTATGAGGCACTTAATCATTCATCTGTGTGCATGTCTGTGAGAATGTATATACGTCTGTTTGAGAGAGTGTGTGTGTATGTTTGAATTTGTGCGTGTGTGTCTGCATGAATGTTTGATGTTGCATGTGTTTGTATGAAGTGTGTCTGTATGTGCATGTGTGAGTGGGTATCAGGTAAGTTTATGTATGTGTGAGCGTGTACGAGGTGAGTCTGTGTGAGTCTCTGTGTGAGTGTGTCTGCCTCTGTGCCTTGGGATGTCCTCCCGACGTGAAAGGCGCTTTACAAATGTAAGTTTGGTGTTGAATGTGTCAGTGTGAGGTCCTGGAATGAGATGTTGCGTCCCAGCTCCGCTCCTTTCTTTCTCGCCATTCCCTCTTTGAACCCCTCCAATCCGGCTTCCACGCTGCCCACAGCACGGAAACAGCCCTGGTCAAAGTCACTAATGACATTCTGAACATCTGTGATCAGGGCTCCCTCTACCTCCTTGTCCTCCTCGACCTCTCTGCCGCCTTCGACACTGTCGACCACTCCATCCTCATACACCGCCTCTCCTCTTTACTTAACCTTCGCGGACTTGCCCTTGCCTGGATCGATTCCTATCTCACCATCTCCACTTTGTTGCCTCTAACGGTTTCTCCTCCAGCCCCTGCACTGTCACATCTGGTGTCCCCCAGGGCTCTGTCCTTGGCCCTCTCCTCTTTAATATCTACATGCTCCCCCTTGGTGCCATCATCCGCAGACATGGAGTCAACTTCCATATGTATGCGGATGACACCCAACTCTATCTTTCTGCCTCCACTTTCAACTCCAGGACCACTGCTGTCCTGACAGACTGCCTGTTGGACATCAAGTCCTGGATGAGGGCAAATTTCCTACAGTTGAATGTGAACAAGACTGAGGCCCTCTGATTGGCTCGCACCAGCGCCTCTGCACCTCAGGCTCTGGCAGTATCAACCTCCATGTTTGCACACTACAACTCACCGCCAGTCAGGAACCTGGGTGTCTTGTTTGACCCTCAAATGTCTTCCCCACATCCAAGCCATGACCCGCTCTGCCTTCCCTCACCTCCGTAACATCGCCCGACTCCGCCACTACCCCACCCCTCAGGCCGCTGAAACTCTTGTTCATGCCTTCATCATCTCCAGGCTCGACTATGCAAATGCCCTGCTTGTCGGCCTTCCCAACTCCTCCCTCCACAGGATGCAGGTAATCCAGAACTCTGCAGCACATGTCCTCTCCCGCACCAAACTCCGCGACCCCAATCTCCCCCATTCTCGCCCGACTCCATTGGCTCCCTATCCTTGAGAGGATCCAGTTCAAGATCCTGGTCCTCACCTACAAAGCCCTCCATGGCCGCTCCCCACCCTATATCCTCCCGACGTGAAAGGCGCTATCTGTACACATGTAATGTTGTTGTTGTTGATGAGGTGTCCAAATTTGTGGAAGGCATTGAGAATTAGGAGGGGTTGTGGTAAATAATGAAGAGGAACGCAAAAGAATACAGGAAGACATACACCAGTTAGCAGAATGGTCAGACAGCTATGGCACATGATGTTTAACATAGGAACATGCAAAGCAATTCATTTTGGCAGAAAAAATAAAGAAGGCTGTCTGTAGATGGTAGGAACTTAAGAAGAGGGACAAACAGATCTGGAGATTCAGATCCTCAAATCTCTGAAAGTTGTTACGTAGGTAGATAAGGCTATAAAAGTACTAATGGAGTCTTGGGTTCTATATCAGAGCATAGAAATGAAAAGTTGATATTGAATTTATCAAACCTTAAGTTAGACCATATTTGAAGTTCTGTATCGAATTCTGGTCACCAAACTACAAGTAGGATATAGCATCGATGGAAAGAGTACAGCATAGGTTTACAAAGATAATACCAGGGCTGGCAGGCTACTGCTGTCAGATAGACTGGATAATTAGGCCTTTCTTTATTAGAGAGGTTTAAGAGGGCTCCTGATAGAGATATTTAAAATTGTAAAAGGATTTGATATGCTTAGCATAGATAGGCTATTCCTACTTAGGGAGTTAGTAACCAGGGAACACAAGTATAAGATACAAGACCTAAAAGAGAATTCAGGAAGAATTTCTAAAGATTCAGATGGTAGTAAGAATGTGGAACTCACTGTCTGAAATGGTGTTGAAGTAGATAGTATAGATTTAAGAGGAAGCTAGATACAGACATGAGGGAGAAGGGAATATAAGGGTATACGAGGGAGTAAGGAGTGAATGGAGACTGATGTGGAGTACAATCAATGGCATTGACTAGTTGGGCTGTATGGCCTGTTTCTGTACTGTACAGTCTGTGTAAATCTATGTAAAAATAGAATTGAAAGACAAGATATAATGGCAATGAAAGGCTGAAAAGCAAAATAGCTTAAGAAGAACCTCAGCTGGCAGGCAGATTAATGTGTGCAAAAGCTATTAGGAAATTCTTTGCAATATAAACAACCAAAGATAATCATCGACTCAAGCATAGGTTTGTGATAAACATTATTGTGAAACCAGAAAATACCAGTAAGTAGCCTGACCTTAGTAAATCATTAATTCGTCACATTTCCCACTGATGTTTTTTTGGGGGAAAAAGGATTTCGACAGGAAGGAAACCCCCTCCTCCTCCCATCCTCCCCGGCAAGAAACATTTTGTGTATTCTCTGGTGTCTCAAACTTTGCCAAAAGATCAGGAAGTGGTCTGAGCTCTGGTTCCTATGTCAACATCGACACCCGACATCATCCATCAACCTGCCAATGATTATGTGATGATCATTACTCTCAATCAGCCTCCAAACTCAAGTGCACAAACTTCGCTTCATCTTAACCACGATGCTGAACTTGCTCTCTGAATTTTTTTTAAATCCCTCGCATTCCAAATTAGCCCAATCATATAAATACCAGTTGCACATTCCTCTGCTGAGGCTACAGCATGTTTCTCATAAGAATAATTCAGCCCACAAACCAACTTTCCTGGTAAAATGCCAGGAGGCAGGGCAGGCACCAGTTTCAAGTCAAGAACGATGCTAAGATCATCTCAACATGTTCACTTGTGCCAGCTCATAAACCAAATACAATTAAAACAATGTTTGCTGCTACTCAATAAGTCGAGAGGAGCTTCCCAATGGGAATAACATTGCACTGAACATACCTTTACTCCTGGTGGACCTGTTAAACCCAGATCACCTTTTGGTCCCCGTGGGCCCTGAATAATTAGATCAAAGCAAACAACAGGATTAGGTCTCACACAGAGTAAGTGAGCTCAGCAACCTCCTGTATCTTACTAAGCAACAACAACAAAGTTTTTAACATGGGATTGTCATTGGTTTAAATAATGACTAATTATACCTACACCACATGTAAAATATGACATCAAACAATGTTGTGGCTGAGACATTTCCTCCAGGATTAGAATCACTGAGTCAGCCCATCATATCTTTGCTGGTGGCATTTCTCCATTGGTGCAGTTCCCATTTCCCAGTTTCTTTAATATTACTTTTCAGTAAGTCTTTATCCAATACCCTTTTTTAATAATAATAATCCTTGCATTTGATATAGTGCCCTATCATGTCATTGAGACATCTCAAAGCTTCACAGAATATATTGTAAAAATGGAGTTCCAGATGGTGGGGGCAGAAAGGCTGAAATCCTGACTGCCAATGGTGGGCAGGGTAGGGGACATGACTTGTTATCAATGCTATAATGGATTTGGCTTCAACAACCATTTAGTGTTGCGGCTCAGTGAGTTCAGGACTCCGCAAGCTCCTTCATTCCTCTGCTCCACAGTTGAAGACTCCTGTGTGAAGCGGAGTCATTTCCAGATGGATCAATTCAATTGGGAAGGGACATTAGCGAATTTTAGATGTTGATCACCTACACGGTCAAATTTTTCTTGAAAAAAAAGTTGCAAATATTTAAAATCATTAATTAATATAATAATAATCACTCTATTTGGTATTATTAATAATAATAATCCTTCCCTCCTGACTTTAAAGTCAGGAGGATATTCTAAAGTGCTTCATAGGAACAGGAGTAGGTTAATCAGCCCTTCGAGCCCATTCCGCCATTTAATTAGATCATGGCTGATCTGTACCTCAACTAATCCTTTCAATTCCAATTTCCCACTTTCTCCGCATATCCCTTAATACCCTGAGCTACCAAAAATCTATCAACCTCACTCTTGAAGGTGTGGATGGATCCAGCATCCACGGCCTTTTGGGGGAGAGAATTCCAAATTACTACCATTCTTTGAGTGAAAAAATACTTCCTGATTTCAAAATCTACTGTGAAGCCGTGCGACTGTGTATTTTTGTGAGCAAATGCAACAGCCAATTTAGTTAAACAGAGTGCACAAGTGATTCATGTGATATTACATCCAAACTTTACTTGTTATATTTACAAGCTAACTTCAACAATAATGAGAAACAAATCTAGCTTAACAAATGTTCAAAGTGAAGGTGGTTCAGATTCGAATGACTGAAAACGAAACATCTAAGTAAGTGAAAATTAAAGAGTCTTACAGGAAATCCAGCATGACCAGGCATGCCCTCTGGCCCCTGATGCAAAGACAAAAGAGAACATGCAAAACAGCTGGCAGACAGGTTGCAATTTCATTCAATACATTTGGACAGGCGTCAATGCTATTGTTCAAATATCAGCTGCATTGATGTGCACTTCACATGCGAGTGAATATTCACTTTACGAGCAGAAAAGATACACTTTTTAATGTGTGTGCAGGCATACTTTTTTAAAGTGTGCTAAAGTATAAACTTTACTTGCAAGCAAATATGCTTCACATGCGAGCGACTATATGATTTTTAGGTGCACGTGAGTATACATTTCTGTGTGGGTGAGCAAGTGTTACACTTTTTCTGTGTGAAAGAGCACATATTTTATGTGGGACTAAATACACACTTTACATGCAAGTATACACTTAACATGCGAGCAAGTATGTGTGACGTGCAAGAACATAAATGTCACACACTACATATACTAAATAGTGTATGTATTTTACCTGTACCACACATCTATACAGAATATGTTTTATCCACATACAGTACATATCTCATCCACTATATGTTACCTATATACCGTATATGGTATATCTATCCTATTTTAAGGTGTATATGCTACCGATATGTATTGTAAATGTACCTATTCCAGTATATCTGCCACTCATACACATAGAAATCTATTCCACTATACAATGTTTGTATGCTTTCAGTATACCATATTTACACTCCAGGTGTGTACACTTTCAATGCAAGGTGACTGACATACACTCTAGGACACAAAGTGTACACTTTCAGTTTAAGTTGATCTACATACACTTCAGTTTACTGTGGGTTAGTGTGGTCACCATTGCTTCATATTGTATACCTTCTACTATATCAGCTGTTGGACAATATAACCTTGTGCTGTGGGAAAATTACTCAGTTATTTTCCTGCTGTTTTGTTTCCGAGTCACTAACAATTTTGTATCCTCACTGGAACAGCTTGGTGTAATTCCCATGTATTTGAAAGCGCAGACTGACTGTGCTTTCAAATCAATACATGGGAACTTGCTATATTCACAACTTTCCTGCAAATCTCTTCCTACACACTCAACCGTCACAAAAAAGCAACGTTTGTGGCACTAACACAGAAGCTGCCAGAGTTGCAGACAATTTGCACTCCGAGAATCTCTGGTTGAGAAAGATAACTTAGTGTTGATGGACAGATACTCTCGACCCCGCACAGCCTCTCAAAAGGAACAAAGAGCTGGGAGAGAAGAAGCCCTTTGTTGAGTGCACTTAAATCCGATTAAGTTACTGAGGTGCCTATTAGTGGTTAAGAGGGAGAGTGTGATTGAAGTTCTGCCAAAGACACAGAATTCCTGAGTATAATGCATGGAATTTAATGTCAAGTCCAGTAATGGTTTAATTTAGAGAATCTACATTACTGAGGCTCAAGTTAAAGTTCATTAGTGGAATGATGAAACTGAAATGCACCTTCCTAACCCTGCTTTGGCACAATGAAATCATTGTGTTTTGACTGACCTCAAACTGAAGGGTGTTGTTATCTATTCCAAATTAACTACACCTACATTATACTCAAATATTATACAAAACCCCTATTTAAAATTAGTTATGCATTGTACTTATTTGAATACAGATTCGATAAATTTAACATTTAAATTTTAGAATTAAAAGCCATTTACTCAAGCTAACTTTGCAAAAAGAGTANTTTTTTCCAGAGTTACAAGCTGTGTCAATCTTCTTATTATGTGTTCAAAGGCGTCGCAAGTCAAACCGATGTAAAGTATTCCAATCTGCCAGTTAGCTTATGGAATAAGTACTCACTGGTGGTCCTGGCAGTGCTTGAACACTGAAGTTGAACAATGCTTTAGTATCGTTCAGCAGTAACTGAAAGAACAAATGGAACAGGAGGATTTGAACTAGTTATCGAAAAACAATTGGGGTGTTGAAAAAGCATTGCTGATGAAAGTTGCAACATGACTCATGTCTTGCTCTGAACGGTGCCATGACAGATATGCTGACTGGTGCCATGCCAAGGGAGAAATTGCTTTGTGTCTTAGTGTGTTTGCTTGAAGGGAATGTCTCGTATGGCGCTCCAAATCGCGAGACTTCTGATCCAAAAAGATAATAGTAATCCTTGCTTTTGGTATAGCACCTTACCGCGTCGTGAGACATCTCGAGGAACATAGCTTCAAGGAATATACTGTAAAATGAATTGACCGTATATTTTGTGGACGAAACTTGGCAGCCAATTGCACACTGCGGTGTCCTTCAAACATTTGTGGATTGAGTGACCACATTTTGTTTGTGAAGGGATTGTTACTCTTGGAAAAGTGACCTGCCAATCAACTAACAACGGAGTTTCTGTTTACTGCTCGGTAAACAGAGGCTTGTGGAGTGAGAAAACTTGCCCAATGCCTCTGTTTATCTAGCAGATGGAGGCAAGGTCTTGTGGGTCGGAGTATGGTATGAGGGGTTCCCCGCAGGAACCTTATATCACAAGGTGCCTCTGTTTGCTGGCAAGGCAAGCAGTAATGTTACTACTTCATCAGCGGAGCTTCTTCAACTTCCCCGCAGCGATGGACGGATTTGTGTGAATTCAGAAAGAAGGACTCAGCGTTTCCTAGAGTGTCACTTCACTTACGTCCTGCAGTGATACGATGGGGCCCGGAGGTCCAGGTTGGCCGGGGAGTCCTGGGTTACCAACACCATCAAGGCCACGCTCACCCTGTGCCGGGAATGACATGGAGTTATTTACTAACAATCCTTACATTTGGTATAGCGCCTTTCATGTTGGGAAGATGTGTCAAGTGCTTCATTGTAAAATACTGAGCCTGTGTATTGTGAATATTACTGTGAATAAGGCAGCACAATTTGGGTACAGCAATGTCCTAGAAACAGCCATAAAATGGGTGACCAATTTTATTTGGGGTGTTGTTGGCAAGGACATCAGGAGAAACTCCCTTCTCTTTTTGAACAGTGTCTTAGGATCTTTTAACATCCATCTGAAAAGGCATAAGAACGTAAGAATTTGCTAGACGAAAGAAGATCAGGGTCCATCTAGTTCGCCTTCCACCATCCTGGCAGTCGCTGGACATGTCGTGTTCTAAGCTATATAAGAAGATAAGAAATGTACCCTTTATTGAAGCCCTGTGTCTCTGCCTGGCAGATTCACTTGATAGTACAATTTACCCAAAGACCTCACTTTGCAGGGAATGTGTCGGATTTCCACCTGGTGACACGAGGTATTAGTGTACCAATGTGTTGTGTCACCCTCTGCCTGTCGATAGTGTGGATAGTTTGGAATGGCGCAAACACGTAAAGTGAAAGGTTGAATTCAGGTTAAGAAGAAACCGACAACGTTCCTAAGATAAATCTCCCCTCAGAGGCAGAACGGTTGAACAAGATAAAACTAGAAAAAAAAACTATAGCTTGAAACCTGTGGCATTTATTAAAAATAGGAATCTAGCCACATGACATCCGACAGATAAAAGTAAAGGGACGTTACAAACTACAGGTTAGATTGAGGTGAGCTGGGCCGATGTCTGAGCAGGTCAAAAGCAAGGTTCAAAAAATGGCAGCCTTGCGAGTCATCAGGTCGCCAACATTAGGGTGCAGGAAGTTACATCAGCAACGACCTGATGACTCTGAAGTTGGCTACGACTTGAGCAGAGGACGCTGACTAGTCAATGCCAGGAGCCATTTCAGCTTAGTGCAGGTCCACTATATCAAAAAGTGCTGGAATGGGGTCCACGTACATCTCTGAACTTTCACAGACACACCAAAGGTCTTACCTTAAGTCCTGCTTCACCTTTCTCACCTCTTGGTCCCTGCAGAAAAGAGATCATTAATTACTATGGCTTACAATGGGAAATAAATATGTTCCTAAGGTCTGCCTGTTTTTATTAAAAACAATTTAAACAAACAAAACTAAAGCACGGAAAGCTAAGAATTTCAAACATACCGAGAAAAATGTACGATAAAACCTTTATTTCCAATACAGCAGTGGCTTTAGTCAAGAGTAGACCATCATTTCCCTAGCCACTCAGTTCCCCTAAAGCTTCCAGCAATATGTTTATTTAAGGAACTGGTTTAGCTCTTTTATCAAATTCTTGGTAATTTTCTAGGTTCCACTTTCTGTGAAAAAAATAGACCTTTTTTTGAATGGCCTCTGTAAATTTTGTGCTTGCTATTCACTTCCATGGTGTGGGGACTGGAACCTATTATTAATATTACCACCATTAATCCGTTAAATTGATCACATTGTCAAGGTGAAGGATGCGTGTGTTCAATTCGGATAATCTGTCTGAAGACCCTTCCCCGCTGACATGATCTTGTACAGAGTACTTCAAACAGACTTCTCTGCCTTAACTGGGTTCAAGCATTGATTTACTGCCTTGGCCACTATTTTGGTGCTGTGTTCAACATCCCTGACACGCAATGTTCATACCACAGCAATTCTGTTTCTCTATTCACTACATTCTACTGGCAACTGGAAAATGATTCCCTCTACCTTTTCAAGTGTATAAAGCAGGGGCTGAACTCTAATTATGTATAAAGTGGGTGATGTGTTTTATATAAAATTAATCGGTTTCTTTTTAGTGCCTGTCCTTGTTTCCCTGGTGCCAGGATCTGGTCTTCCTCTCTCTGGTGCCAGCATCTGGTCTCCCTCTCTCTCTCGTGCCAGCCCCTGGTCTCCCTCTCTCTCTGTTGCCAGTCGCTGGTCTCTCGCTCTCTCTGCTGCCAGTCGCTGGTCTCTCGCTCTCTCTGCTGCCAGTCGCTGGTCTCTCTCTCTCTCTGTGCTGCCAGTCGCTGGTCTCTCTCTCTCTGTGCTGCCAGTCGCTGGTCTCTCTCTCTCTGTGCTGCCAGTCGCTGGTCTCTTGCTCTCTCTGCTGCCAGTCGCTGGTCTCTCACTCTCTCTGCTGCCAGTCGCTGGTCTCTCGCTCTCTCTGCTGCCAGTCGCTGGTCTCTCGCTCTCTCTGCTGCCAGTCGCTGGTCTCTTGCTCTCTCTGCTGCCAGTCGCTGGTCTCTCACTCTCTCTGCTGCCAGTCGCTGGTCTCTCGCTCGCTCTGCTGCCAGTCCCTGGTCTCCCTTGTTCTGGTGCCAGTTCCTGGTCTCCCTTGCTCTGGTGCCAGTCCCTGGTCTCCCTCACTCTGGTGCCAGTCCCTGCTCTCCCTCACTCTGGTGCCAGTCCCTGCTCTCCCTCTCTCTGGTGCCAGTCCCTGCTCTCTCTCTGGTGCCAGCCCCCCGGTATCTCTGTCTGGTGCCAGTCCCTGCTCGCCCTCGCTCTGGTGCCAGTCCCTGCTCTCCCTCTCTCTGGTGCCAGTCCCTGCTCTCCCTCTCTCTGGTGCCAGTCCCTGCTCTCTCTCTGGTGCCAGCCTCCCGGTATCTCTGTCTGGTGCCAGTCCCTGCTCTCCCTCGCTCTGGTGCCAGTCCCTGCTCTCCCTCTCTCTGGTTCCAGTCCCTGCTCTCCCTCTCTCTGGTGCCAGTCCCTGCTCTCTCTCTCTCTCTGGTGCCAGTCCCTGCTCTCTCTCTCTCTGGTGCCAGCCCCCTGGTATCTCTGTCTGGTGCCAGTCTGCAGTACATGAATTGTCTTTTCATCATTCCTACTGAGAGACACTAAACTTAAATCAAAGAGCCTACTGTCTCCACTGCGTTGTACATAATGCTGTTGTAAGCAAAATATTAAAGCAAACTTTCACTGAATCTTCTTTGGCCCCTGGACTATGTTTCAGCTGTTGTTTGAATTAGCTTTATGCTGATCCGGCAATTCTCCTAAGATAACACATTTGACCCATATTGTACGATTTGTTTGACTTTCTAACAATGTGTGATCCACATGTTTTTCAAGTGTCCCAATGTGATTCTGCTTGCTTTGCACACTTAACCCTGTTGTATGTTGTGGCAATCAGATCAGGCCAAGATCAGATAGCAAATAATAGCTGACCAGAGCAAATGTTGGGTAAGTGCTGCAATATCAAAGGGCAATGGGAGGAATGAACCTGTTAAACAAAGTCATTTAACCCATTAAACCACAAAAACCACAGATGAGGATTGATATGATTTCATTTGGCATTTATGGCATTATTTAAATTCTATCTCGGGTCTGTAACACAGCCATTCTAAAGGGGATTTCTTAAGCGAGGAATATGAATGGTGACTTCTTCTGGTAAGCAGATGGACGTCGAGTGACAGTGCGGGAACTCTGCTCTGAAGGTTCACGTGGCTTAATAAAAACTCCACTGCCTGGACATGAGGCTGCCCCCACCTCCGCGCCGGGCTACCCCCCGCGCAGAGTTCCTGCACTGTCACGTACCTCTGGTAACCAGAAGTCACCACTCGCCTTCCTCATTTAAGAAATCTCCTTTAGAATGGTTGTGTTTCAGACCCTAGGTAGAGTCTAATGGTGCCTTCTCCTGCCATTGGCAACACTGCTATCTCCTCACTGCTGTCTCCAGAGACAGGAGGGTGACGCACGTGATTATACATCTGACCAGAGCAGGCAGTGCTATTGCTTCATTAACACTCGTTTAACGTTTCTATCACGAAGGCAGAGCCTCCGATGGAGGCTGTCACTTAACCTCACTGCTCAATCTGTGATCATAATTTGAATACCTAGCACTCTCCATCAGCAGAGTAATATCAAAGCAAAAAAATCTGAAGTACAAACCATTGGTCCTGGTAGCCCAGCTTGTCCTATCTCTCCCTCTTGCCCTGGAAAACCTGAAGCTCCCTTGGAAACAAATGAGACAAACATCTTAGCATTGGTCATAAGACAATGACTTCAGCTCCCAGTCAAGTTGTGTGACACTCTTTGAGAAGCCATTCCATTGTGAAAGGTTCTATAGAAATGTGAATTGCATTGCATGGGTTACTCCTGCAGTCTGAACAGGATGCCAGCATAAGAGCTGAGATAAGAGTTTTGAATGGGTGGGAATAGGGGTGGTTCTCATTCATGTTTTCACACATTGAGAGAAATTGTGGCTTCTAGTTAGCAGCTGTCCATGATTTATGAGATTTGTAAAACAGCCAGGAGCAAATCTGGGTCACCTTACTTGCTTTTTAATCTGACATTCTGGATTTCCAGGTACCCATATCATGAATCTCGCAAGTCAAATGGAGTTGGGCATTCCCTCAAAGTGGAGACTGCAATTAACATAATGAATTGGGTTTGTGAATATTGACAATAATTCTGCACTGCACTCAGCATCACTTCACTTTTAGGAGGTCAATGGCTTCCTGCCTTGTCCTCAGGATTGTCATCGTGCAAACGGTCAGGGTCCTTTCAGGCAGAAAAACACCGACTTACAGATCTTTTTCTTTTTGCCTTTTTACCCTTGTTCGAGTTTTTCTTGCCTCTCTCAGCATCAAATCTCTGACAATGTATTCTCAGTTGAATGGTGGAACTACTATAAATTTGTGACGTGTTGTGCTTGCCAGGAAAAGGAAGTGCTTGTTAAAGGAACTTAACAGGCCCAGTGTTGGTGTGGTCACATTTATCACTGAGAGGTGCACAGTCAACCTCCTCCCACAAAATTCTAACAATGTGCTTCAACTTCGACAGCAGGCACCTACCTGTACTGCACCAGCATAAATAAATGTTCTTCCATTTCACACGCTTACAGCCTCTCTTTAGTGACTACCCATTATGTGCTCCAGGAAAAGGTTGAAACAGCCACAGCAAGAAAGCTGAATGCAAGAGATCCACAGGCACAGTTGCACTGTAGCATCACAACAGACAGGAGATTTAATCCCATAGGTTTTAGATGTGGAGTCCTATAGATCAGTGGTTAGAGCACTCGCTTTGCAAGCGAGAGACCCGAGTTCAATTCCAGGCAGGGCAAAACCTTGGGCAAGTTTCCTTACTCCACACGCCTAATAATAATCCCTCTAAAAAACCAAAAACAATAATAAATTGGTCATTTTCAACCCACGACTATTTGTGGGACATTGCTGTGCGCAATTGGCTGCCGCGTTCGCCCACAAATATACAGTCAATTCACTTTACAGTGTGTTCTGTGAAGCGCTTTGGGACGTCCTCCCGACGTGAAAAGCGATCAAATGCAAGGATTATTATTATTATTCTGACATTAATTACTCCAGGTGGCAGGTTGGTGATTCTGACTAGGCCTCGCATTAAAGAATGATTACAGATTAGCATTGAATCCTCTTGATTCTCTGAGCGCCAGGTGGAGCTGAGGGATTTATAGTGATGAGAAAATAAGCACATAAGGAGAGTTTAGTACCCAAATAACCAGGTGCCTTGGACTTACCTTTTCACCAGAAGGACCTGCATCACCTTTAGCACCCTGAAAGTAAAGAGAAACACGGTTCAAGTGCTGAACGGATACTTGACTTGCCCCACATTTCCAATCTACTCAGGGACATAGCTGATGAAAAACCTTGTGGGGAGGACACTGCTGGATTTAAAATTTTAGTATTTGGAGAATCAAAACAAACTATGCACTGACAGGAACAACCAGTACTGTGCCAACATACAAAATGCTTTGCTACAGACACAGTGATGTATTTATTTATTAGGCTTCTGTAGTTCAGTGTAGATAAGACTTTGTAATTACAAACCTCGTCAAACATTTAAAATAGATTTCAGCCTCGGCTGCCATGGGAGGTTAGGGAGGGGAAAACTAGTTGGTTCCTGCTCCTGGTCCCTCTCCCTTTGTGCTCTGTCTCTCAAGTGGTGGCAGGTCAGGCTTGTTTCGGCTATGTGTGACAGGGGGATAAACCCTATCAGTGCTTTCCATATGTAAAGGAGTGTGTCTTTTTTTGACTTGTTTTAAAAAGGTGCCTTAGTCAAGGTGGCTTACTAGGACTGGACTTCAATCAGGCGTGTTTGAAGTTCCAGCCCTGAGTGCTAATTGGGCACCAGCAACTGGTTAATGAGTCAGCACCAATATATTAGCTGGGTGCTAGAAGGAGGTTGGGGAGTCTGGAGAAGATGGCTGTAAAAAGCTAATCATTTCATTGTTAAAACCCTTGGTGTAAGTTTGTTTACTGGGTGTGATCCATGCCCTCCTATTACTGCCCTCTACAGTTGAGTGGCCTGCTGACACTCTGCCATCACTCACACATGGCCAGTTTGGCTGGGTACCAGAGGACAACCAGTCCCTGTGGAACTGCACCAAAGCAAGAGGAGGCCAGAGCTGCAACAGAGAGGCTTATGCCAGTGGGGAGAAATTAGAAAAATAATTGGACACAAGGAAATTTTAAAGTACTTTATGGGGTCAAAATTGTTGTATTCATAAACAAATTAAAGTTAAAATATCCCACCCCTGAAGTCTGAGTAATTGTATTCTGTAAACCTGCCTTGAAAAGTCCTGGATACTGTCATCTTGGATTGATGGCTAGTAGGGTTATTTTCTAGTATTGAAAAGGATCTAACTCAATCTGAGCCAGATCAGTATCCTGTAAATAAGCCACAGAGAGGGCATTTTCCATGCCTTACTGAAACCTTCAACTCTGCCTTTAAGACCCTTCACACAGTCTGTGGGCGACAATTCAATTCTGGGGTGCAGATTCTACTGATCGACTATGATTATATCATAGAACAACACAGAATTATATTGTCAGGAATAATATCATGGAATATAGTGCATAGTTTAGGATATGACATGTGCATGTGACTGCCAGAATGGTGGAAGGCAAACTGGATGAACCTTGGTATTCTTTTGTCTGGCAATTCTTATGTTCTAATTCTAATGGGATTCCTTACTCAGGAATCCTGTTAAGAAATCCTGTAGATTTATCTCCTTGTGTTTGAACTGCAACAAGTTCTAGGTACTTGGTAAGCAAAAATGCCCGCTGTTTGTTATCTATGAAATGCAAATACTTTTGATGAGAAATCCTTTATTGAACCGAGCAGTGGATTTGGGTGGAAATTGCAGCCGAAACTACCATTGGATCTGCAGGTTGGTTACCAGCTAAACTCTTATTTTTGTTGATGAGGTAAGCCGATATCCTTCTAACTGGAATGCCAATGGCATGATTCAATGGGGCGGGGGGCCTGCGGACAGCTTCAGACCCAACCATTGTCACAGAGTTGGGGTTGGGGGGCGGAGAGGACGCTTATTTCAACACGTAATGGTTACTGAACAAGCTCACTGAAATGGGCTTTGTTTTGTGTTTCTTGATCTGAAACATTTTAGTGTAGAATGGGAAACTCAGACAAGGTAGCAATAATGGCAGATGGTAAGAAAGCAGGAATCGCAACTCACTGTGAATTCTATTTAATGTCCTTACCGGGGGTCCCTGAGGACCTGGGAGTCCAGCCTTGCCCGGGATGCCCGGTAGTCCAAATGCACCAGAACCTTCCATATCCTGTTGGAATATAAAGAAAACTAAAATCCAGTCCTTTAAAAGCAGTTACATCAAGACGTCTGGAACGATGCTGAAAACAATGCAACTGATATATTGTGTGTAAGGCTAATTAGAATCAATTGAGTACGTCAATTTTAACGGTAGTGAATCATGTCTCCTTGCAAGCAACTACTTTCGCTCTGCTGGAAAGAAAGACCTTGAATTTTTATTATCACATTGAAATGTCTTCAAAACTCTTCACAAGTAATTATTCACAAGTGTATGACAGCTTTTGTATGCAAATATGGCTACTCTTCGTGACAGCCTAAGACCAAGTGAAAATTTGGGCCTCAAAACGTTGGAAGTGGGTTAAGGAGCATTTAGCCCCAGAGTTGGGGGCTGACCGCATCTTCTGCCTTTTTGACTATGATCACGTTATGCACTGCATATTTGGAACAGGGTAAAGAGCACAGGGTCATCTGCAATCCTGGATTTCTATCATTAGAGTTGGAATTTCCATGTGCGGAAATTTCCCACTGGTGGAATTTCCATTGTGGGAAGCATGCATCAACCTCTGTCTGGTTCAGTCTGCTACTGTTAAGCATAGCGATGGGTTTCCTCATGTGTCAGACATCCACCTGACCACAGAAACAATTGCAATACCCAATGTTTTCATGGGCTGATATCTACCTGATCTCTGCAAACTCCTTCATCTGTACCAACCCGACTGCACCCTTTGCTCAACTGACACTGGCTTATGCCACATCCCCACTCTATCCATGGGCAGACTGGCCTTCAGACACATGGCACCTTTTCTCTGGAACTCCAAGCCCTGGTCCATTGTAACTTGCTCCTTCCCTCTCTCCCACCCTCCTTCAAAATGTACCACTTTGACCGGGCTTTCAGTCATCTTTTCCCCTCCTCTCCTGCTCAGCTCCCATCCAGAGTTATCAGCACTTTGGGACAATCTCCTGATGTGAGAGGCTCTGTATAAGTGTAAACTGTATTGTATTGTATTGCCCCATCATTATCCTGACAAGTCTGTGGTTTAAATCTTTACCCCAACAATATAATCCCTGTACTTTCAACATTACCTCAAATCCGGAGCTGATCCCGCTCCCTTCTCTTCCTGAAGCTCTCGAGGGTCCTGGAGGTCCCGGAGGTCCTGGTGGTCCCATTGGCCCCTCTTTGCCGGGCTGACCTGGTTTGCCTGCAGGACCTGGCAGTCCATTATCTCCCATGTCACCCTAGAAAGTCACAAGGACACAAAGTTTAGTTGTTTCAAGTATCCATTTGCAAAATTCATATACTGTATTTTGAGATACTTTTACATAGATTTACAAAAAATATGTAGTACTGAAACAGGTCACTCAGCTCAACTAGTCCGAGCCAGTGTTTATACTCCACATGAGTTTTCACCCATTCCTTACTCCCATACTGCCAATGTTTTGTCAGCTTGTCTGGCAGACATCAAGGCTTGGATGATTGCAAACTTCCTGCAGCTGAATGCGGACAAGACGGAAGCCATACTCCTTGGCTCCTGTCAACATCTTCGCTCCTGTGGATCTGAACTCCTCGACCTCCCTGGGTTCTCCCTCAGACTCACTGAACCATTGCACAATCTAGGTGTGTGGTTCGACCCCCCAGCCTTTCTTCCTCCGCCACATCCAGTCGTTGACCAGGACCGCCTTCCTCCACCTCCGCCGCATTGCCCGCCTCCGACCGTAGCTTACCCCAAATGCAGCCTTTGTGCATGCATTTGTCACCTCCCACTTGGATTACTCAAATGTACTCCTCACTGGTCTACCCAGCTCTACTATCGGAAAAAATCCAGCTCTGCTGCCCACATACTTACCTGAACCAAACTCCGTACCCACATCTCACTAGTTCTGGCCAGGCTCTACTGGCTGCCCATCACTGAACGGATTGATTTCAAGATCCTCACACTTGTGTTCAAATCCCTTCACTCCCTGGCACCTCCCTACTCTCTGACCTCCTCACTCCCCAATCCACCATCTGGCGCCTCTGCTTGATTGGCACCGGGCTCTTGCTTATCCCTCGCACCCTCCACTCCACCACTGGAGGTCGCTTTTTCAGCCTCTATGCCCCCAAACTGTGGAACACTCTCCCTCAATTCCTCTGCCTTGCCCCCTCTCCCCTTTTTCAAGTCCCACCTGAAAACCTTCCTCTTCTACCGTGCTTACGGCCACCTCCCCAAGGCTCCGGCACTGTTAAGCGCTCTGAGATGCTACCCTGCATGGAGGGCACTATATAAGTGCAAGTTGTTGTTGTTCTATTCCCCTCTCCCTTTCGTGAAGGTCCAGCCTCCTCTTGAATGCACCGTACTCGATTAAATACTTGATTGTTACCAGAAATGACTCAAGAAAAATCTGAAGACACACCACTGATCCAATACACTCACGTGTAAGTTCAAGCGGAGGGGGTGGGGGGGGCTTCTTGACAGCCCTATGGGCGACTTCCACAGGTTGGTCTCCACTGATCTACACCATCTGATTCAATCATTGTTTCAGGCAGTGAGTTCCACAATCTCACTACCCTTTGCATGATGTAATCCCTCCTAAATTCTCTTTTAGTTCCCCTAGTCACTATTTTATACTTATGTTCCGGGTTATAGACTCCCCAACCAGTGGGAACAGCCTCAATCACAAGTAGGTACCCTTTCAAACACCTCTATTAAATTTCTTGCTCGGAGCAACCTGTCAGCCCTGTTACCATCCAGCAAACATCCTCTGTAGTCTTTCCATCGATGCTATATCCTTTGTAATAAATCCCAACAAAATAAGTAGTAAATCAGGCTACACCTACTCACCCATCCAGACCTATCCTCTCAAACTCACCAACTACCTAAATCACTCACTCATCCACCCAACAATAACGTGCATTTATATAAGTCCTCTCACGTAGGGTAGCATCCCAGAGCACTTGACAGTGGCGGATCGCGATACCAGGGGGAGGTGACCGTAAGAAGAGGAAGATGTTTAGGAGTGACCTGAAGATAGGTAAGGTAAGGCGGAGGGACAGAGGAAGATTGTTCCAGAGTTTAGGGGTGTAGTGGTTGAAAGCACAGCCACCGATGGCGGAATGGAGGGCATGAGGGACAAGCAGAAGGCCGAAGCCAGTCGATCCACTTATCCATCCTCATCCATCCACTGACCCATCCACGGTTTTATCAACTAAGACTAGATAATATTTCAGACCTTATGTAACCTAACACAATGTGACAGTTGTAATGCGCATTGCAATTACCTTTGCTCCCTGGAGGCCAGGCAGACCATGATCACCCTGTGGGTAGAGAAGTTATATTCATTTCAAATTCAAAACAGTGCAAAACACAGTTCATACCAGGTCACAATTTCAGCACAATGCCAGAGGATATCACATTCCCTTCTACACATCCTATGATGTAAACATTGTATTGTGGGCCTTTATCTTTTTCAGTACGAACTTTCCACACAATCATCCTTCCTCTGTTCGGGGGAATAGGCATCAATTAACATTTTACTGAGTTTCATGGAGCTCTACATCTACACCGTACCACACGGGGTAGTGACTCAGATGCTATATGATTACTCAGGGTGTCTCAGGTCAGTGAACAACCCTGTCACTGTTGGACCATATGACAATCTGTGAAAGACCCACCTTGTCTCCTTTTGGTCCGGCTGGACCTGCAACTCCATCCAGCCCTGATGGACCCTTAGGATGATGAAAGCCACAATTATTCACATACAGAAAACATTTACTGTAGCCATACATTTCTGGACTATTAAACCCAAAGCCTTTGAGACATGTGTCTCCAAATGCTACAAAAAATAAACAATAAAAATGTGGCAGTGGATATTGACAGCAACATACTGTGCACATATGGCTATTTCATTTTAATCTCTAATTCACAAGGGAATGCTTACAGCTGTTTCTCAGTCCCGTAAACAACTTGCATTATTATTTGTGTCGGACAGATATTTATTTGGCCTCTACTTTTAAATCACTCCAAAAGGCTAGTGTGAGCATCAGTGCTAAGCACAGTGCCAGTGCTGCTCATTCCATCTTATCATGAGATGGCTTGTATATAACAAGGGACGGGATAATGTAGGGATGATTCAGTCTCAAAAAGAGATCTTTCAAAAGGGTGATTTTAGAAAAGTATTTAAGATGCTTAGGTGGATAGAGAAAATAAACCCAGAATAATACTTTCAGTTATGCCAAGGCAGTAGGACAAGTGGGGACGTATTCAGGGTTGTGAAGCAAGTTTAAAACAGATATCAGAATATTACACAAAGGGAAATGGGAAAATGGTAATGTTGGTTTATTGGAAGGACGAGGTCAAATGGGTGGGAGATCCTACTTCACCTGAATCTCTCTTGTGAAGCTGCCTGGATCATAAGGTTTATGCAAACACAGTGGTGGATTCTAGCCAGATCCCAAGGATGGTTATGTGCAGTGATGCTGATACTGGGTAAGTTCATGTAAACCGCTGATAAATACAACTGGGCCACAAAGTTTAATGAACTTGTATAGATCTTTGAAGAATTGTTCGAAATGTCAAAATAGTAGTTGTTCACAATTTAGTCATAATTATAAACATTTTACGCAGAGAGGTTGATAAAGGGGTGAAATCTGTGTTCCACGTGATATTTACAACATTGAATGGGCCTGTATTGAATCCCCCACCGATCCCCGACACCGTTTTAATTCATAAAAATGTCAGTGTGTCCAATTATTTTTCAGATTTTCTTCCCATTGGCTTATGTTTTTGTTATTGGTTCCCAGCCTCCTCTCGCTGAGATGGGGTTCTATGGGCGCTGGTTGCACAAGTGACCATTCTGTGAGCCTTGACAGTGAGCCTCAATTTTAGAGGGCATCACAGCCAAGCTTGATCTCTACCTCTCCTCTCACCTGGCTGCCACACACCCAGTAGAACATGCTAAGGACAGAACGTACTCTTCCCAACTCTTCCCTCCACAAGCTGCAGATTATTCAGAACTCTGTAGCTCGTGTCCTCTCCCACATCAAGCTTCATGAACCGATCACCCCCATCCTTGCCTGGCTTCACTGGCTCCCTATCCCTCAGAGAATTGAGTTCAAAACCTTTGTTCTCACCTTCAAAAGCCTCTATGGTCTTGCTCCCCCCCTACCTCAGCGACCTCCTAACCCAATATCAGCCTGTCTGCTCCATCTGCTCGGCAGACACTGGCCTGCTACAGGTGCCCCGCACTTCTAGCCTCATCATTGGTGGTCAGGCATTCAGCATCTTTGCCCCCACACTCTGGAACTCTATCCCGCAATCCCTCCACTTAAACCCCTCTCGTGCCTCTTTCAAGTTCCCATCTAAAGACCTTCCTCTTTGACCCTGCCTTCGGCTACCCTCCCAACCCACTGCCCTCTACCCCTCCTGACCCCAACTCCCAGCTCGGGTCCCAAATCCCTGATTGTCCAGCGCCCTGGGACGTCATTCCGAAGTGAAGGACTTTATACAAGTATAATTTGTTGTAATTCTTTCTGGCTTTCCCCTCCCTAGGCCAGTTTAACCTACTCCATGAGGCCTGGCTGAGACCAGCAAACTCTGTGTGGGCTGGGATTACAAACCAGTAAACTCTTGGCCTAAAGATGCCACTCTATCCACTACACCATAAGGGTGTGCCAATCCCCGATCTTGATCTTAATGGTGAAGTCAGAGAAGTCAAGACCTGACATTGGACATGTTAGTAGGATACCAGCCATGAGTTTATTGTTCAATAAAAAGCCACTACTCTAATTGGCAGTCAAAGATCTAAAACCATCAAACTCCAAATCCAACTCCACCTTCATCATTGCGAACAGAATTGGAGGTTCTGCCTCTGCTCATGTGATGCATTAAATACCACACTGACCCTCAGGATTTCACCCAGTGAGTTCTCTGCAATTCACATGCACTTAAAATCACATTGTTTCTTTGCTGTAGAAACCAACCAAGCAGCAAGAAATGGACCATGTGAGAGCTGTAATACAAAGCAGTTAGTATTTGCCAATATCTGAATGTATATAAAAAGGCAGATTTCCTTCAGTCCTGCACAGAGCCATGTTTCACCAATAAAGCTGCTTTTGTTGTCTTGCAAGCCCACAGCAAACGATTATCAAACTCTTGCACAAACATTCAAATTAGTTTTTTCTCCTGTTAAAGATTCTACACAAGTTCCTGCACAGTGCCTGCTTTAAACAGTGGGTAAAGGGAGACATCCAACTGAAGTAGAGCACTAGTTACAGCAAGCTAAAATCACAACTATTGCTGATTTTTACTGTGTGGTATAATGTTGTGGAGTCCGAACCCTCAATTATTCCTCCAGCTCCAACTATGCGTTTAAAATTCCACCTAGTCTCCGTGTGTAAGACCCCTCTATCATAAGATTGAAGATTGCCCCAAATTGTGGAAAATCCCTGTTTTCATTTGGAAGCCAGTTTTCTGTAGTTCTTAAAAGAATTGGCTTCCAAACTAAGAATGGAAGATTTGTCTCAAATTTTGCAAAGTCTTAAATTTTAAGATAAAATGATCTTACAGCTAAGACGAGGAGAGATTTCAGGCCTTAGCAGCAACAACAACAATATTTATGTAGGGCCCTTCACGCAAGTAGCCTCTTGGTGCGCTTAGTAGTGGCGGAGGTTAATGCCAAGCCAGGGAGGGAATGGAGGTGACTATAAAGAGGAAGATTAGGAGGACAAATAAAAAGAAAGAACTTCAGATGCAATCTGAAGATGGGCAAGGAGTGGCAAGATGGAGAGATTGAAGTATTCTGTTCCTTTGGGCCGCAGTGATTGAAAGCACATTCTCCGATCGTGGTTCGGAGTCAGCTGAGCAAAGGATAATAGTGTGAGGTGTGAGCAGATCAAAGAGGTAGGGAGGAGCCAGGGCATGAAATGATTTGGATGTAAGTTATGAAGATCTTGAAATTGATTGGTTCTGCAATAGGGAGCCAGTGGACCCTGGCAAGGACTGGGGTGATGATGGTGTGGAGTTTGAATCCGGTGAGAATACGGACAATACAGTTTTGAATTAGATGGATTTTAGGTGTGGTAGAGCTGGGATGACCAGCAAGGCAGATATCTGAAAAATTGAAGTGGGAGGTGATAAATGTGTGACTAAGGAATTCAGCTGCGTTGTGGGTGAGGTATGGTTGGAGGCGAGCAATGGGGTTGGAGGCGAGGTGGTGGAAAGCGGACTTGGTCAGGAAGTGGATGTGGGGTGGGAAGGACAGATAGGATCGAACTTTACGCTAAGATTGCGCACAAGTTCAGTGAGTCTGAGGGATGAGCTGGGGAGGTTAGAGAGGTTGGAGCTGCGGGTGAGAAGATGTTGATGGGAGCCAAGGAGGATGGCTCTGTCTTGTCAACATTCAGTTGCAGAATGTTGATGCTCATCCAGGTTTACAACAACATCAACAACAAATGTCTGACAAGCAAGAAGACAGAACATTGGTAAACCTGGGTGTCATCTGCAGACTTGTGTAGGTTGACCCCATGTCTGCAGATGACTTCATCGAGAGGGAGCATGTAAATGAAGAAATGAAGGGGGCCAAGGATGGAGCCTTGGGATACAATGCAGGTGCACGGTTGGGGGCGGGAGGAGAAAACATTTGGAGATATAATGATGCCGGTAGATCACATGGAGGAGGTGATATATATAGAACAGGGATTTGGGATTATTTTTGGCCTCCAGGTTATCCTGGGAGTAGAATACTCTTTTTTGCTTGTGTGAGGGAGAGGCAGAAGATTTAAAGATGCTCGAGTCACATCTGATGGTGGCATGGGAGTAACTTGGCGATAAAGTCCACCAAGCTGGTTCTCCAGTACTGTGGGAGTCACCTAAATGTTGTACGTCTTTCTGCTGGCCCAAAGTAAGCTGTAAATTTCCCTTGTTGCAGCTGTGCTGAGAGAGCTCTTTGAACAAGGGAAAATAGGAACAGGAGGAGGCCATTCAGGCCATCAAACCTGTTCTACCAAATTATTAGATTTTAACATAACAAGTAGGAGCAGGAGTAGGCCTTTCAAGCCTGCCCCGCCATTCAATCATGGCTGATCTTCTAATCTAACTCCAGCTAATACCATAACCCTGCCTTGTCCCCATATCCCTTAACCCCTTTTGCAATAAGAAATATATCTATCTCAGTCTTGAATATGTTCAAGGACTGAGTGTCAACAACCCTTTGGGGTAGTGAGTTCCATACATTCACCATCCTTTGAGTGAAGAAGTTCTTCCTCAACTCAGTGCGAAAGGGCTGGCCTCTGATTTTAAGGTTGTGACCCTGGTTTTAGTTTCTCCAACCAGGAGAAACAATCTCCCACTATCTACTCTATCATGCCCTTTGATGATCATAGTCAATAAATTAATCCCAATGCCCCATCGCCAAAGCCATGACAATTTCCCACCACCTAGATACATAGATAAGAATGTGCGAATAAGGCCCAGAAACTCACTCCAGGACCTGCCACCTAATTTGTGACCTCACAAGTAACATTATTGCGGTGATTAATTTCATTTTTTTGTCGCTATGCAGACATCATGGTCTCATATTTATCACCAAAACCAACCAGGGGGAATTAATGTGTGGAACAGGGGAACGCCAATAGAATGCTCCCATTGCCGAGAGCACAGATCTACTGTGTCACCCCTACTGTATGCATTTCCCCACAAATCACTCCGATCACTTGTCACATCCTTGTGGAATGTGTACACAACCATACAGCAGGACATAACAATAATAAATAAGCATATAAATAAATGCAAGCTAGTGTTAAAGAGCTGGAAACATGGTGAATTTCAATGGTCTGAATTAAAATGACTGCCTTTTCAGCCTACTTCTTTAAATCAGTGCACGGGGGAGTTAAATGGATCTGAACGGTCCATCTTAATACCTCACCAGCGCTGCTAAATTCTTCATAAAAGTCCTGCAAAATGTCAAAGTCATAACATGTCAATACACCACCAACCAACATAGGTTTCCAGTCAAAGAAGCAAAGCTAAAACCAGATATGATGTTCAAATCCAGGCGTGAAGAGCTGTTTACTTACTCTCGGACCTGGCTCACCCGATGCGCCATCCTGTCCTGGCTGGCCAGGGGCCCCAGGTGATGCCGAGGAGCCGACTAAGTATGAGTCCATTACCTTCGCTTTATCTGGATGACCAGGAAGACCTGGAATACCAGGGAGACCTGGAGGCCCCGGAAGCCCTGGCAACCCAGGGGATCCCTAGAAAACAGACACATCATAACAACTCTGTGATAAGGTAAGGAACTTGTTAGGGATTCTGCAGAATAATGTTCACAATTCAAAGTAATTCAGAGTATTCAATTCGGGAAAAAAAAATCAAGATTATCACGGTGCTACATAAAGACAACAACAAATAGAGGCAGTGAAAGAGAATATCTTTTAGACGGATATTGAAAGCTGAAATGGAGCTAGCGAGTAATTTAGGTAGAGTTAGGGATTTAAGGAGAGTTAGGAATTTTGGTAGATGGACTTAGGCAGAGTTAGGGATTTAGGGAGTGAGTTAGGGATTTGGGAGAGAGTTAGGGATTAGGTGGAGGGATTTAGGAATGCAATAATTGAATCTAACTTCTAGTATTAATTAACCTGAATTAACTCTTCTTAAAACGTAATTTGTAATTATTTAAATTCTAAACCATTGATTATGCTGCGGAATACATCGGACTGATGGCATTCCACTTCTCCTTACACTTTGCTGGCTTTCAGGAATTGAAAAAATACATTTTTTTAAATTTCAGACCAAACAGGCTTTGATATTCACTAACAAGTTGTAATCAATGCTTCAAAACTGTTTACTGATATCGTAAATTCAACCCCCATGTTCAACCTCCCAGCAGTAACACACATGTATTCGGCTGAGATCCCACATGTACCTCATACTTACTTGAAATTACATATTCTACAGATCCCGCAGACAATCTTCCAGACACAACAATAATAATAATTATAATAATATGCAATACCTGCAATATCCACAGCACATTTACTATTTTCAACCCCACAGTTTGAATGTGCTCCAGGATACATCAAAACCTCTCATTCTTTATGGGGTCAACAAAATTGCTGTACGCAAATTGACTGACATGAATTGGCTGTCACGAACATCTACAAAATACAGTTACTGGACTTTACACTATATCATGTGAAACCTTTTGTGAAATTTCTTATTATTAGAAAATAACTGGATTATATTTATAGATGATTTTTATGGCCTAAAGGAACCTCCTGAAGTCTGGGGATTGAAGAAGTGCCATTCATTGTCCTCTGACGGGAAGAACTGGCAGGAGATATTTAAATCTTTTAAACATAGAATCATAGAATATTCGGCTCATCGTGCCTGTGCCTTCTCTTTGGAAGAGCTACCCAATCAGTCCCACCCCCCCACGCTCTCCTCATATCCTTTTCAATTACCCATGTAATTCCCTTATGAAAGTTGTTATTGAATCTATTTCCACCACCCTTTCAGGCAGCGCATAACAGTTGTAACAACTCTCTGTGTAAAAAAGAATTATCCTCGGGTCCCCTCTGGTTTGGAATTTATTTTGGAATAAATCTCCACAAGATGAAGGGAGGAATCCTTCCTGACAGAAATCGTCAACCAAATGTTGGACAGACTTCTACCTGTGCCCCACCCGCTGGTAACCTAAACCAGTTATACTGACCTTCTATGACTGTTTAGACTGTGACCTGGATTGCTTGTACGTCTTAGTTTGGATTTCTTATGTTCTTAATCTGGAGGATTATTGTGCCAGGACACCAGGAGAAATTCCCTTCTCTTTTTGAATCATAACTTGGCCCATAAATAGATATATTGATTTAGTAAATGTTAAAACAAATACTTTACTTTGGTAGTTATCACACTTTCTTCAAACCCTATCAGTTCCTACTGGAAGTTTGTCAGCACACTGGATAAAAGAGAAAGATAAAAGATCCTTTTCATCTTGAAAACCTTGATACATGTTAGGAAACATAAGCAATGCCAATTGCACATTGCATCTCCTCTCCTACCAGCACATTATTTTTTTCTCTTGTTTGATTAAACCCTACCCCCATTCTGCCACTGCTCAGGTTCAATTGCTTATTAAAATATTTTCTTGGTATTTGTCCTGTAGGCAGTCCTGGATCTTAGTGGTTAGAGGACTCGCCTCGCAAGCGAGAGGACCTGGGTTTGAATCCCGGGCAGAGTGAAATGTTAGGCACAGAGACTGGAATTATCAGCGAGAAAGTGGGTTACATGAAGAATGAAAGATATTATCAATATGGAGGTCAATGGTATAGGAGGTCAGTGGTATAGGAGATGGTATAGGAGGTCAGTGATGTAGTGGAGGCCAGTGTAGAAGAGGAGGACCAGGGTGGGAGAAGGGTGCAGAATCCCTGATGGGAAAAGAATCAAAGGACTGGTGGGGAGTGTGAAGCGCTGATCAGAGTGACTGATCTTTGCGCTGATAGTGGGATTCCCACACAGGCAAAGTCAGTAATTCTGCCTAGTAGCTGCACTTCCCCCTGATCAGCAGTGAGGCACTTACACGAGTTACTTCCATGTCACTGTCCACAAACCCATCAACACCTGAGCCTTCCGACACTCCCAGGACCCCCTGATGTGTTGGGAAAAGAGAAAAGAAAAAGAGCGTTTATTGCAATACACTAAAAGAAAAAGTATTTAAATGCTACTAACAATTACCAATGGCAAAGCTTACAATCTTTGCTTAAGTGCAGTAATGGGTGTGTCTTTTCCTTTCCTCTCTGTTGTTGCTGGTGTTGTTAGCCCTCTGGGATCTTGATGAGTACTTTGATTTACCCAATCTTATGGCCTAAATACCCATTCATCATGGTTGAGGCTTGACTGTGAGTATTGTCAGGCTATATAAATACAATTTGTTGTTGTATTTGATCATGGAGGATATGATATCCAGAACCTGAACTAAACCGTACACTTGGTACAGGCTGGTCCACAGCCACCCACTAAATGATTGATAGTTAACCAGCTTGTCTGGCTCATCTTTGAGACATGGAGATCTTGAGAAGTTCTGAAGGCTGCAAGGCAATGCGTTAGCTGGTATTTTGGTCACAGCTGGGCAACTACTGTGAACCTTACCAGAGCCTTGTGTTGGTAAGCTGCGTGGTTACCATTATATCCATCATCTCTTAAAATGTATAAACTGACATACAGATACACAATGGTATTAAATAACTTGAGTATTGTTCAGTCCAAATGCTGAGCAACAGCCTTTAAAGGTACCAGTAATTTAAGTTATTTTAACCAGAAGAGCATATTATTTTCAGCTTCTATGAGCACCCTTAATATTGAGCTATAAGTATCTACAATGAAATAGTTGTTATTGTTTTCGCCCACAATTATTCATTCACAAAAATGTATACACTCACACCATTTCACAATTAATCTTGCTTTGAGATGTCCTCCCACCATCAAAGGCACTATACCAAATGCAGGAATATTATTTGTTTCCTCAAATATTTACATGTTGGAACTAGTTTCAATAGTAGGACAGTCCATGCTGTAACAACCCTCTGAGGATAAAATAAATATTTTTCTTGTTTTTCTTCTGGTGATGCTTCCCCAACTTAAAGTATTCTTGTTACTGATTCATCAATCAGTGGAAACGATCTCTCCATATTTTACCTTATCAAAGCCCTTTGAACAGAGCAACAACAACAACTTCCATTGATACAACGCAACCTCATGCAAGGTAGCGTCCCAGAGCGCTTGACAATGGCGGAGCACGACTCTGAGCCGTAGGCATGATCAAAGGGGAATGTCTTCAGGTGCAACCTGAAAATGGGGAAAGAGGGGGAAAGCTGGAGGGTTAGAGGAAGAACGTTCCAGTGTTTGGGGGGGTAGTGGTTGAAAACACGGTCACCAATAGTGGAACGGAGGGCACGAGGGACATAATGTAGAGCATCCATAATACCTGTAATTGACTCAAACTAAATAGCTATAGAACAAAGACTGGTTAGAGAGGAAATGGCTGTTTAGGTTAAATCAGCTTTACTCACGAGTTGAGTGGAAGGACCAGGTGGGCCAGGAGGACCGGGAAGACCAGGTAGGCCTGGGTGACCAGAAAATCCAGGATCACCCTAAATGGGAAATTAAGTAACACACCAAACAGTAGGTTAGAAAGTTACACAGAATTGTACAGAGTAGTTACATAGAATAACATAGTTACCAGCACGGAAATTGGCCTTTTGGCCAACTAGACCATGCTGATGTATTTACTCCATACGAGCCTCCACCCCTCCTAACCCCTCTCCCACACCCCTCTATTCCCTTCTCGCTCATGTGGAGTCCTGTAGCTCAGTGGTTAGAGAACACGCTTTGCAAGCGAGAGACCTGAGTTCAATTCCAGGCAGGGCGAAACCTTGGGCAAGTTGCCCAATAATAATCCCTCCAAAACCAAAAACAATAATAAATTGTTCATTTTCAATCCACGACTGTTTGTGGGACATTGCTGTGCGCAATTGGCTGCCGCATTCGCCCACAAATATACAGTCAATTCACTTTACAGTGTGTTCTGTGAAGCGCTTTGGGACATCCTCCCGATGTGAAAAGCGCTATATCAAATGCAAGGATTATTAGTATTATTATTATGATGTATGCATCGAGTTTCCTCTTAAATACATTGATTCTTTGTGCTTCAACCACAGCTTCGGCAATGAGATCCAATTCTTACCACACTCTGCATAAGTTCCATTAGTTACTACAGAACACTTTATAATACATTAGAATATACAGCACAGAAACAGGCCATTCGGCCCAACTGGTCTATGCCGTGTTTATTGAAAGACAATTGTTTGTATGATGATTTATCCACTGGAGGTTGTTATAATGGCTCTTGTTTCAGTAACATTTCATGTATTTCTATATATTTTATAATGCTTCTCTGGCAGTTAGTTTCAGATTCTCACCACCCTCTGAATAAAGAAGTTCTCCCTAAACTCCCTGCATACCAGCATACAGTTCCTTTATTTCCACAAAAAAAATTGTTTATCTTATCTTGTATCATAGGCCATAAATCAAGAAATATTCAATCAAGAAAAACCTGAAAAATCTTGTTAAAAACCTCCTATGTCTTTAGGGAATCTAACCAAAAAGACACTGGTGATATGATAAACATCAAACATGCCACTGATGCTATTAAAGAGGTATCTGCTAGACTGGGCAAGGTGAATATACATACGGGTCATCTCTATCAACACTAAGCAATACAACCACAAAGCCATAAAAATTTACAGCACAGAAGAAGGCCATTCATTTAATCGTGCTGGACTGGCTTTCTGAAAGAGCTTTCCATTTCGTCCCTTCCACCACTTTTCTCCCCGTTTTCTTTCTCCTTTCAGATACTTATCTACTTTACTCTTAAAACAAAGAAAACATTCATATTCAAGATTAGCATCTTCAACACTCCCTCAAAAACAACACTGCTTCCAACATAGACACATGAAAATAGAGGGGACAGGCATCCTTTCTGACACACTGTCAGAATATGTAGTGTTGAATTGCTTGATTTCTCACATTACCCTTCTACTAGAGAAACAGCATTTGCCACACACTGGCCTACAACGTGACAGCGACACACAGCTTGTGCATTATTAATGGAAACCTGAAATATTCCACTTCAGGGAAGAAAGGGCAGGGGAACCTTGATTTGCTGTATGATATTGAACATCAGCGGTCACGGTGAGTGCTGGAGAAAGGGCAGTTTTCCCCTTCCAATGCTTGGAACCAGGCACCAGAATACTGGTAAAACAGACTGAGTTGACACTCCACTGTCATCCTCACACTTACATCTAGAGAGATAAAGGGGCTCTCCTGGTTCTCGGCTTGGATGCAACACGATCCTCCAGCTAACTCATAATAAATGACACCTATACTGTACCTTACTCACCAGCATCCATTCTGTGCTACCCCTGGTTTCTATTCTCTAGTTTGGATTATAATCGCAGTTTGGATTATGAAGCATTTACAATGTGCCCTTAGTGGGTGCGTGGCAAATCTTGTTGAGATGCAACATTGCACAACTGTCATTCATATTCTCAGTTGCTGAGAATTAAAAGGTGAAGCCTTCAGTTTGAGTCACAAGACGACGTAAACTCTATCCTCCTTGAGGGGGAGGAAATCGAGCTTGCCAGACAGTGCTTTGTAGTTTTGTTAGGTTAAACTCCAGGAGGACCCAATGCACAATCTGGGGTCCCCAAGTCAAGGCTCTTGTCAACCTGTATCTAATACTCTCTGGAATTTGGTAGCAGGGTGGATCCCACTTGTATGCATTCAATTCCAGCCATAGGGAAATCTCCATGTGTGGGTATAATACATATTGGATGGGACTGAAAGGAATTCTCTTGAGGGAATCAGCACAGACATGAGGGGCCGTATGGTCTTCTTCTGTGCTGTACATTTCCATGGTTCTACATATGGATCTCTCAGACTGGTGTGAATAGTCTTAAGTCTGGTGATGGCTTTCCGCACATATCAGATACCTGGCTGACAAAATAAATTACATAACTGGAATCCAACATTAGGCACTGAAATCTGGGGTTTATGTAAAAGCTGTCACACTTAAAGGGCAGGAAGCTGACTCCCTGCCCAACACAGGTCTGAATGGTGGGTTCAGAGAGACCGTGCCCAAGACCCTGGATTTCTGTGTCTCGCGCTTCAGCTGTTGGTTTGTGGGACCCCAGCTTTTTACTGAACAAAAAATTCAAAAGTAGCTAGTATCTCACTAAAAGGGTTCAGATGAAGTCCAATGTGTGAGCTGAAAATGTTAGTATGAAATCTGGAGGGAGTATCACATGGACAGGAAATATCAGCCCTGGATGGGCTATAGGGGTGAAATTTACAGTCCAAATATATGTACCTTCTCTCCTTTGGGGCCCAGATCACCTGGAGTTCCTGGAAATCCAGCAGGTCCTTGTTCACCCTGAATTTAAACAACAAAAGAATTAAAAGACTGAAAGAATTAAACATATTTTATTTACCGAGAAGTTTGTCTACAAAGTACACAGTTATTCATTACAATTGCAGTACATCTTGTAAAACGCACTGAGACGTCTTCCTGATGTGAAGGACATAATATCAAATATAAGGATTATTATAAATCTCAATTGAAGCCTGAGAGAATTTAAATTTTGATTACCAAATCCACAAGAGCACTTTGAGCTTGTAGCCTAGACTCAAAGCACTTCACAGGGTTTACTATAAAGTGGAAAGATTATGTAGGTGATTTAGCAGCCAGTTTTGCACATAGCAATGTCCCACAGTCATGAAGTGAATGAATAATTTATCTGGAGGATTGTTGGCCAGGACACCAGGAGAAACTCCCCTCTCTTTTTGAATAGTGCTATGGGATCTTTAGCATTCACCTGAACAAGCAGATGGGACCCCAGTTTAACATCTCATCCCCAGCATCGCACTGGATAGTCAGTCTTCACTATGGGCTAAAATTCCTAATGTGGGTCTTAAACTCACAAGTTTTTGACTCAGTGAGGAGAGTGCTATCAACTGACCATTGATTAACCAGCCTATCATATACTTGATTAACCTTTCCTCTCCAAGGTCCTGGAACGAGTTGTTGCTTCCCAGCTTCGCTCCTTCCTCTCCCGCCACTCCCCTCACGAACCCCTCCCATTGGGTTTCCGTGCAGCCCACAGCACAGAAACAGCCCTGGTCAAAATGACAATGACATTCTGTCCATCTGCGACCAGGGCTCCCTCTGCTTCCTCATCCTTCTTGTCCTCTCTATTGCCTTCGACACCGTAGACCACTCTATCCTCATCCATCGCCTCTCCTCACCTCAACCTCCATGGCTCTGTCCTTGACTGATTCAGATCCTATCTCTCACATTGCCTCCACTTCATCTCCACAATGGTTTCTCCTCTAGCGCCCGGAACGTCTCGTGCGGTGTTCCTCAAGGATCTGTCCTTGGTCCCCTCCTCCTCAACATCTATATGCTCCCTCTTGGTGACATCATCCGCAGACATGGGGTCAACTTCCACATGTATGTGGATAACACCCAACTCTACCTCTCTGCTTCCACCCTTGACTCCAGACTGTCAGACATCAAGTCGGATGAAAGCTAATTTTCCTCAGTTGAACATCAACAAGACTGAGGCTCTCTTGATTGGCTCCCGTCAGCGCCTCCTCACCTCAGGCGCTGACAGCATCACCATCCATGGATGTACACTCCACGTTACTAAGCCAGTCCGGAACCTTGGCATCTTGTTTGACCCTCAACTATCCTTTCTACCCCACATCTGCGCCATGACCTGCTCTGCCTTCCCTCACCTCCGCAACATTGCCCGGCTCCGCTTCTGTCTCACACCACAGGCCGCCGAAACCCTCATACATGCTTTCATTACATCCAGGCTTGACTACGCAAACTCCTTGCTTGTCGACCTCCCCAACTCCTCCCTCCATAGGCTGCAGATTATCCAGAACTCTGCAGCCCATGTCCTTTCCCGCACCAGGCTCCGTGACCCTATCACCTCCCTCCTCGTCCGACTCCACTGACTTCCCATCACACAGAGGATACAGTTCAAGACCTTAGTCCTCACCTTCAGAGTCCTCCATGGTCTTGCTCCCTCATACCTCTGCGACCTCCTAACCCCCTACCATTCTGCTCGCTCCCTCCAGTGGGCTCCAGCCTGCTTCACGAACACCGCCTCGCTTGCCCCACTATTGGCAGGCGGGCCTTCTGCTGTTCTGCCCCCCCACTCTTGAACTCCATCCCGCAGTCCCTTCACCTCGCCCCCTCCAAGACCCAGTCCAAGACCCTCCTCTTCGATTGTGCTTTCAATCACCCTGCTTCCCCCACTGCCATCCACCCTCCCCAATCCCGACCCCTAACTCAGGTCCGAAACCCTGACTGTCCAGTGCCTTGGGACGTCCTCCCGACGTGAAAGGCGCTATACAAATGCAATCCGTTGTTGTTTGGCTTCACAGACCATACCAGAGCTCTGGGACACTCTCCTGTGTGAGGGCTGCTATATAAATGCAAGTTGTAGTTGTAATAGTAGATTATAAATATATAAACGCAGCAGGCAATTGCGTACAGCCATGTTCCACAAACAGTCATGGAGTGAGTGACCAAATGTATGTGTCTTCTCCATGGAAACCAGTTCAACAACAACAACCACAACTTGTAGTAATGTCCTCCAGGTGGCAAACACAATGAACCATGCATCGTATAAGTGCTTGCGAACACACTGTGATAATATAATTTGTGGAAAGCCCAACTGAGTGTGGGCGGCATAGCTCGGCAAGGTTATTCATTGCAACTCATTTACACTTGGGGGTTAAGTGCTGTTCTGCAGTTAAGAATTCATGAACAATTAAATGTTTTATTTCCACTTCATTACCACGCACTTCAGGTTTTTCTCAATTACTCTCTTTCCTCTTATAATTAATGGTGCTTCTGTCTGCATTTGTTGATAGAATTTTAGCTATGAAATTAAATTTCAGTTCTACTCTCCAGCTTAGAATGAGCTCTCCGTCAGTCATAAATCAAATAAATTACTGATATAATAAAGTGTCTCTGCTGTTTCAAACATCTCCGCATGATGATCTATTTTTCTTCCTGTTCAAAGTCAGTTTGGGGATGAACATTGCAGTTTTAAATTCCATGCTGGGACATAAACTCATATTCTGGGACGATGCTCCAATATATTATTAATCAACCCTGTATTGCTGTTCTTTGGATCAGGTGTTAAACCAAGGTCATGTTTGCCTGGTCTTCAGCTTCATAATCATGATCCTTACATTTAGTATGGGATCTTTCACATCAGTATGATGTCTCAAAGAGCTTCACACAATATAGAATAAAGTGGAGTAACTGTATATTTTGTGGGTGAACACAGCAGCCAATTTGTACACACAGCAATGTCCCATAAAACAACCATGAAATTGATAACCAGTTATCAACCAGGAAGACGGTGCCTCGGTTTAATGTCTCATCTGACATGGCACCTCCAGTAAAGCAGCACATCCCAAGCACTGAATTGGGAGTGTCAGCATAGACTACATGAGTACAATGTCCCGACATGGAGCTTGGATCTGTAACCTTCTGGCTTAGAGGCGAGAGTACTACCAGCTGAGCCAGGCTGACACACAGGTTAACGTTAAAGATCCCATTACACTTCTTGAAAAGAGAATTTCTTCCAATTTCCTGGGCAACAATCCTCCATATAAATTGATTGATCACCTTGAAAGTGACATTTAGTAAGAGGCAGTCACTTTTCCCGACTGTAATTACCTGTGAAGTTCTTTGAAATGTGATAACGTGCTATAAAAATTCAAGTTTCCTTCTTTAAAATGAACTTGATAGTTTCCTGTTGAATGGTATCTTTATATCTACAATGGAACAAAATTCTTATGTTGATGTGATTTTTCCGTCACCTAAAATATTTTCCTTTTCTTTTGGGGACAATGATGAGGGTTTTACAAGGATTGTTTGGAAGGACATATAAACCAGGTGTCTGGTTAAGGAGAGCACACATGAGGAACATGTTCCTGTGAATCACTGCACACTGAACAAATGAAACATTTTTTATATAGCGCAAAGGCGCCTTGTCATAATTTAAAGCACTTACATGTTTTCCATCTTTTCCAGGTACACCCTGCAAATGAAAAGGCACATTTAGTGAAAAGTGTTAAAATGAGCCGCTCCTCTCAAAAATAGGCAGGCAGTGACACAGTGGTTAAAGGTTTGTATTGTAGCTTTTTACCAAAGCCCAAATTCCAGCACAAACTGGTTTCAACATGCAGTCATGCGAGAGATGAGACCATCCGATTGCTTAGGCAGCAGTTTGCTGCAGAGTTTCACTGGTATTTGACGTAGTATAACCCTTATCAGTTGGACAACATCCCAGCTGCTGCCAACAAGTCTATGCTGGTTGGTGCTGTGGGGAGAACACAGAGCAGGCGCTGGTCTACCTTAGACAACAATCATCTCAGCATGTAGAACAAAGTCTTAACGTTTAAGGTTGTACAGAATTTTTCAACCTTCACCGAGATACCGGTTTTCTGCAGGTTGTTTTAAGAACTGTGGAAAACCCGCTTCTAAATTAAGACTGAGTAACAAGAATTTTCCAAAATCCTGCCTAACCCTAAATGATCAAGCAATGGGCTTCAAGCTGAGATCATTTGGGACTCCGGTGTCCTCGGTTAGGTTAGACAAAGCTCTGAGAATAAAATATTTTGACCGCATTCAAAATGTACCACAAAGATGAAATGTTACTCACCTTTGGACCATCTTTGCCCGGCAGACCTGGTGGGCCCAGTGGACCCGGTGGGCCAGGTATTGCTGGAACTGTAGGAACAACGACTGGCCCGGGGGACCCAGGAATACCCGGCAATCCCGCCTCACCCTTCTCACCTTTGAGACCAGGAGATCCAACTCCACTTTTCCCCTACAAACAAAAAGGCAAAAGTCACTCGCCAAATTATTCATACCCAAAGCAAGTTTAAGGTGGTGGGAGTTATTCCAAGATTTGCAGCAGCAAATACTCGTTCCGTTGATGGACCTGTGATCTGTTATGTATTGATACCCTTCACTCTTCAATGGTAATCTGGAACTCTCTTCCCCCAACAGGCTGTGGATACTGGATCCATTCAAGTTCAAGACTGAGGTGGATAGATATCTGTTGGGTCAGGGTATCAAGGGATATGGGGCAAAGGCAGAGTTGCAGCACATACTTTCTTGGGGTAATCCTTCAAAAACCTCTTTTCAAATAGTGTTATTGTATAGGGAAGGTGCTTTACAAGTGAAAATTGGTGAGATTAGTGTGAACCATTCTGCCAGTTGCAAGCATGGGTTCGATGATGTCTGTGACTGCTTTCGATACAATCTGAGATGGATTCAACTCCTGACCAGCTCACATTAAACACTCAGAAAACACACTGGAATTCTGTTCAATTTAACATGGAACTCGGAAGTACTGTCCAAAGGAAGAAAATCATTGTTATCCTATTTTAGCAACTTGGGACGTCCTTCTGATGTGAAATTACTGTACAAATGTGATTTGTTGTTGTTATCTCACATCCAACATCAATAGCAATAGCTTGAAGCTTTAAGAGCTTTAAGGATCAGAGGCTCCTTCAGCCAGTTAATCTTATAATAATAATAATTCTTGCATTTGATATAGCGCCTTATCATACCTTTGAGACGTCTCAAAGCGCTTCACAGAATATACTGTGAAGTTGATTAACTGTATGTTTTGTTGCCAAAACACAGCAGCCAATTGCGCACAGCAGTGTCCCACTAACAGTCATAGATTGAGTGACCAAATTATTATTATTATTTTTTTTTAAGTGATTATTACCCCCGGAAAAGCGATCCGCCAAATGATTAACAACCGAATTCCTACTTATTGCTAAGTAAACAGAGGCATTTGGAGTAAGGAAACGTGCCTTACATAAGGTTTTACCCTGTCCGGGAATTGAACCCAGGTCCTCTTGCTTATGAGACGAGTCATCTAACCACTACGCTACAGGACTCCATGAAAATATCAAGCACATGGAAATGCATATAGCCATCCAATGGCATGAAAGCCTTGAAGTTAATAGAATTAGCAGATGCTCTATAGTAATAGAGAATAATTTCCCGTCATATGCGGTAGACGAAGTGATAAATATAACAAAGATAACCACACATGTCCAATATGTCACAAGCTTTTTGGATACTTCCCTTCCTTATACAGTGGTCTTTGCAATTTGTTCAGAGGTTAAGTTCAGGGTTAACCGCAATGCAGCTTTTAAGCCCCTAGAGGGAGAACCTCTTGTGTGATTAGGATTGGACATTGATCCACAGCTCACTGAGAGCCTCTAGCACTGAGACATTGGCAATGCAGCTCGATATTAATTATGGATTCAAAGCAAACTGTGCTGAGTTTCGACCACAAAATATACAGTCAATCACTTTACTGTGAAGCGCTTTGAGACTTCTCGAGAATCTGATAAGGCGCTATATATCTAATGCAAGGATTATTATTATGTTATTCTTAACCTGACTAGTCTTTTTTGATCACATGGTCAGGATCTTAGACCACTATGTCCACTATGTCCACAGAGAAAAAATGTCCACTATGTCCACAGAGAAAAAACTCAAAGCTTTGAACCACAATATCTACAAATACAAATATCTGATAACTACAATAGTTGACATCTAAACCTACAACTCCCTACCTCTCTGAGCTCCTTGTACCCCACTCCTCTACCCAGCTATACAAATGTAATTTTGTATTGTATTGTAATTTTGTTTTGTATTGTATCTGCACCCTCCCTCCGTTCAGCTACCACAGGCCTCTGTGTTCACCGCCTCTTCCGTGCCACCATAGGTGGCCAAGTCTTTGGTCACTATGTCCCACCTCTGGAATTCCCTGCCTGTGTCCCTCCACCTCGCTCTTCTCTTTATTTGTCTTTAAATCCCACCAGAAGACCTACCTCTCTCCCATGCCTATGGTTACCTCCCCCTCCCTTTCTCAGAGTCTGACCTGACCACCTCCAATTCCACTGTGAAGTGCTCCAGATTTTATGCTATGCAAAGGGCTTGATATAATTGCAAAATGTTGCTGTTGTTGTATAACTGAAGCCGAAGGTGAGCAAATATTTAGAATATTGCTTGCAGAGTTGGCTGGGTACACTACGATTTATACCAAGTGCTTCCGAGCAGGAATTCCATGAATTGACTGCTGACTGCTGGTAACTGGCAGGACTCCCCAAGAGTGACATGCAGTTTCTAAGATTGTAAATGTCAGGTATTACATCAGGACTCAAAGTTGCTATAAGCAAATTCTGCTGGTAACTGGCAAGATTTTCATCAGGATTTGTAGTTGTAAATAGTGAATTCTGTTGAAAAACACTTTTCCAACCCCAACAACACTAACTTGGGCAGAACTATTGGCAATGGAGTCCTGTAGCTCAGTGGTTAGAGCACTCGCCTTGCAAGCGAGACACCTGGGTTCAATTCCCGACAGGACGAAACCTTGGGCAAGTTTCCTTACTCCACACGCCTAATAATAATCCCTCCAAAAACAAAATAATAATAAATTGGTCACTCATTCCATGACTGTTTGTGGGACACTACTGTGCACAATTGGCTGCTGCGTTTTGCCCACAAATATACAGTCAATTCACTTTACAGTTTATTCTGTGGAGCGCTTTGAGACGTCGAGAAGACATGAAAAAGCACTATATCAAATGCAAGGATTATTATAATATTATAATGTGACTCTAGTGCAGAACGACTTAAGAGAAACCGTACTGAGGTAGCAGTGGAGAATAAGACACAGATTTCCTCAAACTCCTCACGCACGTGGCAGCCACCCTGGTTCTCACTTCTGAAATAAGTAGCTTGCACTCAGTTTCCGCCCTGCCTCTTGTGAGCCTCCAGCGTGAGGCTGAATGTCACCATTTCTGCATCTTGACCACTTCATTCTCATTTCTCTCTAATCTTCTCCTCTTTCTTCTGAATCACTGACTCACTTTGGGGTACGGTTCCAAGAGCCTAAACTGCAGTTTGGAATCTGCCAGCATGAATCCAGACAGCGAGTGTTGACAAGTTAGGTGTCTTATGGATCCGATATTAAACCAAGGTGCAGACTATCAGTTCTGGCAGACAATGAAGACTCCATGACACAATTTGAATAGAAAGTGGACTTTCTCACAGTGTCCTGGCCAAGAATCCCCAAATAAAATTAGTCATTTTGTGGAACTGGGTGTTTGTGGAACTTTGCTGGCACAACTAACTGCCATGTCTGCCTATATAAACAGTTGCTGTGGAGACATTGAGCCATGGTAAGGTGCTATGAAAATGTAATTAAATTATTTCTCTCTCTCAAATGTGTGGGGACTTTGCATCAAACTCCTTTATAATAATAATAATAATAATCCTTGCATTTGATATAGCGCTTTTCACGTCGGGAGGACGTCCCAAAGCGCTTCACAGAACACACTGTAAAGTGAATTGACTGTATATTTGTGGGCGAACGCGGCAGCCAATTGCACACAGCAATGTCCCACAAACAGTCATATGGATTGAAAATGACCAATTTATTATTGTTTTGTTTTTTTGGAGGGATTATTATTAGGCGTGTGGAGTAAGGAAACTTGCCCAAGGTTTCGCCCTGCCTGGAATTGAACTCAGGTCTCTCACTTGCAAAGCGAGTGCTCTAACCACTGAGCCACAGTCTGACATCCAAAACACACTCATTGGGGACATGAGCTAATGATCGGGAGAAGGAACCCTGGCTTATATTTCCCTTGCTAGCGTACGGGCAATAGAGCCAACTGCTGTGTCCGAAACTGCTACCCTGGGCTGATGTGGTTGTGTATAAATACATACCTTACTTCCTGGGTCACCCTTTTCACCCTGAAGAAGAGAATGTAGAATTGTTAGCCTTATATCATCACCTGCAGGCACTCTATATGTAGCGACAGTAACAACAACAACTTGCATTTAAAAGTGCTCTTCATATAGGATAACATCTCACAAGCATGCTAAAAACAAGAAGTTTAGGTCTCTAAAGGCAAGCACCGGCATGTGTATGAGTGCTGGGGACAAAGTAGATCAAACATAAGGTTCCTGAGTCACCACAGGAATACATTACGAAACTGTTAAGCAGCCAACAGCGGAAGGCTTGCTCTGCAAGGTCCAGCAGTAGGTGCTAAAGGTTTCCTTGCAAATTGTTGCAAACTCTTTCATTCTAGATTTGACCTTATGGAATTCCATGCCACCAGTTTATGGCATCCCATTGTGGGGATGCATCTTCTGTCTGATCAGCACTACATGTCTCTGCATTTCATCGGGTCCACACAAAACAGCTGCCTCTTGGACATGACAGAACAGCCCTCCAGCTGTATTTTTACAGTAAATCTTATTACAATCTTACTGACCTTTGAAGTGTTTTATTGTACACACCGTAGTGAAAAACATTGAAATGTAGTCAGGCATCTCACTAACAACTGGTGTGTTTGAGTGAAATGGTCGCTTGGTGCCATATGAGTATTTCCACTTGTCTCTGTGAACACTCTGTATGTTCAGTGAATGATATTCCTGAATTTACTGAGGTCTCTCTCGTACATTTTTCTACGAGGCTTCATTATTTTTACTATTAGCCTAACCAACTGGTTACTGAGACAGGAATCGGTTGTGGACACAGTGGGTTAGAAGTCTCTCTTTTCTGTCTGGAGTTTGGGTTTGAATCAGCTTCAGACTGATGCCATAAACATTCCTTCTCTATGAGTGGTGTTGATGACTCAGCATAAGGCTAACTCTTCTCTAAGTCGGTATAACATTACACAAACATCCCATAATTTAGCACCAATTGCACAACCTCACTTAACCAAGAACAACAAAATTACATTTGTGTTTCGCCTTTCACGTCGGGAGGATGTCCCAAGGCGCTGGACAATCAGTGTTTTGGACCTGAGCTGGGGGTCGGGATCGGGGAGAATGGAGGGCAGGGGGGGGAAGGAGGGTGATCGAAGGCACGGTCGAAGAGGAGGGTCTTAAGACGGATCTTGAAGGAGGCAATGGAAGGGGCGAGGTGGAAGGACTGCGGGATGGACTTCCAGAGGGTGGGGACAGAGTGGCAGAAGACCTGCCCACGAAGCACAGAGGAAGGCTGGTAAAGAGAAGAAAAATCTTGGTTGTTTGTGGAGAGTGGGGGAAAGGGCTGAGAGATTGCTAAGCTATTGAATGAGAGGAGGTGGGAAGAAGAGCAATGTGTGAGGAGCTTCTGAAAATGACACATCTTTAGGGGGAGGCAAATCTCCATTCACAAGATCACAAGATTGGTTCAATTGAATAAGCTCCTTCAGCCCATTTAATCTCATCCTTCCAGAACACCCACCATACCATCACAGAATCAGGCTGTTTCTCAAATGAGTCCAATGTCCTGACCTCAACCACCCTTCTCTGTGACGCATTGCATCTATTAATTACTCTCTGTGTAAAAAAAAGTACTTCCTTGTGTCTGCCCTGAAATAGCCCTTTACAAACCTGTATCTGGTATCTCTTGTCCTGCTGTTTTGGCATATCTGCAAGAATTGTTCTGGGTTTACTTTAGCAGTTCTTTTTAGGATCTTATACACTTCAATAAGGTTCCCTCTGAGACACCTTCTCAACATTTATTTAATCGTTCCTCATAACTCATCCCTCTAACAGCAGAGATCATTTTTTGTTATTCTCCTCGGGCTCATTTCTAGTCCTCCATTATCACTGCACAGATACAAGTGACTTTGCAGGTGAAATATCACCGAACTACATTTACATTTTTGAAGTCGTAAGAAATTTACAGTAAATACAAACGAGCAGTTCTGCCACTTATTGACACATTTATAAAAAGATAATGAGATATGCGCGAGCTATCACATGGATTCTGAAAATGTTTCAAAAGCATGGCTTGAAATTGAGGGCTCTTTGCCGTCAACTGACTAATAATCTTGACGGACCTTTGTTCCCTGAAGCTTAATTTTATTTTGACTACAGATATAATCTCTGTTCAAAACCAATTTGAAAAGTCAGGAAATTAGGTCTGCTGTGGTTCCCATTCAGGGACCTGGAGAACAGTTCTGTCAGTAACCTGGTTAAGAATTTACCTTTTCTCCTATCTCGGTCTGTAAGTTGCCACTTCCGGATTCGATTTCTCCTTTAGGTCCTGGTGGTCCCAGATCACCAGTCTCACCTTTTTGTCCAGGAGCCCCTACACACAGGTCCAATTCAATACATTAGCATCAAAACTTGAAACACCAAGGACTAATGCTGTTAAGTGGTGTAAATGCTAAAAGATTGGGATAATTAAAACTGGTTTCACCATCCTCTCAAGAGTTTTTCAATTCTCTATTACAGTGTCTCTTTACCATACCAAACCAACATTCACACATGCGCCCTTTGCTAGTGGGGTGAGGGTGGAGGTCAGAGGACAGGAATAAGCATCTGCTTACAGAACAGCATCAGTGGAAGGCTGAGAGAAGGCCTGTCTGCACTCCCTTACCTACAGCTGGTGCATGTTGACCATAGAGAGCTTAGAAACATCAGACAATAATTAAGAGCTTTTTAAAAGTAGTATTGTAAACACCACACGTGCCACAGCTGGAGATGAGGGCTGCAATGGTGAACAATTGACCAGAGGCAGATGGAAGAGGCTACAGACATTGTTTTATAATTGATTCCGTTGCTGGAGCCTGAAAGGCAACATTTTGCTCTCCACAGTCATTAGGGTAATTTTGCTCTGTTTCTGAACAAGATTCATTAACAAATCCAATTGGGGATTTCTTCCAGTATTTGGAAGCACATCAAGCAGGTCACTTCAACTCAAGGGAATCCCACTCCAAAAACAGGCTGATTGGAACAGTCTTCCTGCAAATCAGTGTCATGGAATTCCCTTCATTGAGAAATTGAGTTAAGAAATATTGCCCAAATTTGATCCCGATAGCTATTTATTTTTCCTTTAGCCTAACATGTAATAAAGAATACTAATAATCTTTGCATTGATATGGTGCCTATAATGTTAAAACGTCTCGAAGTGCTTTACAGGCAATTTCTGTCAAATTTAGTTTAATTTTACAAGTTTTTGCAGGCAAATGCAGCAACAACAAATTAATCAATGTCCCAATGATTGCAACAGCCAGTTTGCGCACAGCAAGGTCCCTTGAACGTTCATTTTGTAAATGAACAAACTGGGCGATCGAGAATGATCGAGATGCAAGAAGAAACTCCCTTCCGTTCTGCCATCATGTCAAAATATCTTTAAAGTCCATTTGAACAGGCAGTCAGGACATTGTTTCGATGTCTCATCTGAAGACAACAAAATGTTGTTCTTTTGAACTGTGCTCTTTTGTGGAATCCATTGTCCCAGGCGACACTAGAGGCAGAATCAGATGGGATGCTTGTAATAATAATATTTTTTGCATTTTATATGGTGCCTATAATGCCAGGAACCTTTTAACATGCCTCACAACATTTCTGTAAGTGACTGTGCATTTTGTAAGTGAAAGAGAGTCAGAAAGATACCTGAGAAGAGAGCCATTAAGGAGTATGCAGAAAAGTTGGGCAGATGAAGTTGAAAACTCTGCCATTATCTAATAAGCTGGAGGAGTAGGCTCGATGGTTTCAATGGGCTCCTATAAACTTAGAATGTTTCAACACAGAGGGTGGGATGGCTATTCGGACAATTTTGCCTGTGCCGTTTCACTGAAGAACTACCTGCTGCGTCCCGACCTATTTCCCATTCCCTTTCATCTTTTTTTTATCATTCCCAGATGTTTATCTAAGTCCCTTTTAAAATTGAACATGATTCTACAGTCCTCATCTTCCTAACCTAAACTCAGAGTGAATGACTCAACATCATCCCAAGTTACTTCCACCTGACGGTGGAGGCAGGCTGTCAAGCATATAGGACCAACTACAGTAACCGTCACATAAGTTGTATCAATTGGGACCATGCCTTTAATGTGACTTCTGCAAAGTATGAGTTATGTCAAACTTAGAACATAAACTCTTGAACGGGACTTGGGCAGATGCACGATTTAGGCGATTACAGGATTTATACAGATCGGACTTATGCGAATTTCACTGTATCTTGTGGGACTAATTCCCTGATTGCTTAAAGAGAGAATTAAAATCAAACAGTACCCTAAAGGGATTGGCGAAGGAGTAAAAATGCATTTAAAAGGAACAAACACACATAAAATATACAAAACACTCCTTTAAATTCTGCATAATAAAGAACAACAGTACCTTTTTCTCCTTCCACTCCAAACTCCAGGTGCCCAGAATAAGGGCTCTCTCCTGATGTGCCTGATGGCAGCACCTCCTGCAGCATTGATTCCAGCTGTCCTGAGGGGCCCTCAATCTCCACAGCGAGAGGCTCCACAGTAGGTGGCGCTTTGAACGGTTCACCAATCAGAGTGTCTTCTCTGATCTAAAACACAGGAATAATTATCCTTACATTTGATACGGAGCCTTTCACATCCGGAGGATGTTTATGTTCCACATAAACTCGCCGACCCACAATCGCGGCTATCCCTCACTGTCGTTATCACTCACATCTTCGACCTACCCATCTCGCACAATTTCCTCATCTCCCTCTCCTCCCGCATCCCACTCCCGTCTTCCAAGCGCTCAAACATCTTTTTCCGACCTAAGAAAAAGTTCCCCCCCACCCCCCACTGAGTCCTTCACAAACTCTTCCTCGGATCTCTTCTTCCTCTGGACTTCCACCCACAGTGATCCTGATGCAGCTATCAAGTCTCTCTGCAACCCTCAACTCCCTTGCCCCCTGAAATCCAGGTCTATCTCCAAATCTACCCATTTCCCCGTGGTATAACAGTCACCTCCGCTCCCTCAAAACTAAAATCTGGATGCTCGAGGGCATCAAATCCGACCTCACAATCCACCTCTAGCTGTGGATTGAGGATCTCCGCAACTACCGACTCTCCCTCCCACAGGCCCAAACTGCCTTTTACTCCAAAATAATTTTGGAGGCCAAAAACAACCCAAAGGCACTGTTCTCCACCATCCATCACCTCCTCCATGCAACCCCCCCGCCAAGCTGCCTCCTTTAACGCCAAGTGAGGTCCTGGACTTCTTCATGTCGAAGATCAAAAATATCTGCTCGGCTGCACTGCGTCCCCTTCTGTACCCTCCAGATAGTCTACACCACCTGCTCCTTCCACCACAGCCCCTACCACTCCCCCTCCCTACACTCCTTTGCCCCGATTACTCTCTCCTTCCTCTCAACCACCCAGATGAACCCCACCACCTCCTGCCTCGACTCCTTCCCCACCCAGCTGCTGGTCACCCAACTCCTCTTTCTCTCTCTGCTGCTGGCCGACACAATCAACCAGTCACTCTCCTCTGGTTCTATTCCTCTCCCCTTTAAAACCGCTGTAATCACTCCACTACTCAAGAAACCCACCCTTGACCCCTCCAACTCCACAAATTACTGACCCATTTCCAACCTGCCCTTCCTTGCCAAAGCTCTGGAATGAGTTGTCGATAACCAGCCTTGCTCTCACCTCTCTCTCCACTCCCTCTTCGAGCCCCTCCAGTCAGGTTTCCATCCTGCCCATACCACAGAGACAGCACTTGTCAAAATCACAAATGACATCCACTCTCTGTGACCAGGGTTCCCTCTATCTCCTTGACTTCCTGAACCTCTCCACCATATTCGACATAGTCTACCACGCCATCCTTATCCACTGCGTCTCCTCCCTCATCCACCTCAGTGGCACCGTACTGGTTTGAGTCCTACCTAACAAACCGCCTTCATTTTATCTCCTATACAGTTTCTTCTCCCACCCCCAACTGGTCAACTGTGGTGTACCCCAGGGCTCCATCCCTGTCCCCTCCTCTTCCTCATCTACATGCTCCCTATTGGCAATGTCATCCGCAGACATGGGGTAAACTTCCACATGTATGCAGATAACATACAAATCTACTTCTCTTCCTCCATTTCTCCAGGTCCACTGATGTTCTCTCGGCTTGTCTGGCAGACATTAGGGCCTGGATGAGCAAAAACGTTCTACAACTGAATATTGACAAGGCAGAAACCATACTCATGGGATCCCGTCAACGTCTTCTGTCCTGTGGCTCTGACCTCCTCAACCTCACTAGCTTACCCCTCTGACTTACCAAACCAGTGCACAACCAAGGCATCAGGAACAACCCACAACTGCCCTTCCTTCCCCACATCTGTTCCCTGCCAGAACCGCCTTCCTCCACCACTGCCACATTGCCCGCCTCTAATCGTACCTTACCCCAGACCCAGCCGAAACACTCATCCATGCGTTCGTCACCTCCTGACTTGACTTCTCAAAAGTCCTCTTCGCCAGTCTCCCCAGCTCCACCATGCACAGGATCCAGCTGATCCAAAACCCCGCCCCCCGCATATTCACTGGTACTAAACTCTGTACCCCTATCATACCAATTCTAGTCAGGCTCCACTGGCTCCCTATCGCTGAACAGATCAATTTCAAGATCCTCACACTCGTTTTCAAATCCCTTCATCCCTTGGCACCTTCCTCCCTCTTTGACTGCTTTCCCCCTAACCCACAATCTGCTGCCTCCGCTTGACTGCCTTCTGCATGTTCCTCGTGCCCTCCGTTCCACCATTGATGGCTGCATTTTCAACCACTTCACCCCAAAACTCTGCAACACTTCTTCTATCAGTCCACCTTGTCCCTTCCTTCCCCATCTTCAGATCATGCATGAAGACCTTCCTATTTGACCGTGCCTTTGGTCACCTTCCCTTTCCCCTCCCCCCGGCTTTGCGTCGTTATCTGCCACTGTCAAGCACTTTGGAACGCTACTCTGTGTGAGGGGCGCTATATAAATGCAAGTTGTTGTTGTTGTCTCACAAGATTTAATGCAAAGTTTACTGATTGTGCATCTTGTGGGCGAATGCGGCAGCCAATTTGCACATTGCAGGGTCCCACAGACAGCCATGAAGTGAATTACCAATTTTATTGGGGGCTTAATTCCAGCTATTAACGTAACCTGCACCCTCTTCAATGAGAAGACGAATGCCTCATTGCTTACTGTAATATAATAATTAGAATTATGCACAGTGCACCAAGTGGGGTCAGACCTGTGTTCTGTGCAAGTTTGATCCCTTTCGTGTAAATGACAGCTTCCGAGAAAGAAACGTAAATGGTTAAAAGTCAGAATCTGCATGTTGCTGAGCAGAATGCAATATGTAGATAATCTTGGCATGTTCCCTCCTCTTTGCTCTTTGACTGTTTTTCAGATGTGACATTTGTTTTCCTTTATTTTGCCACAGTGAGAGTCCAACCTCAATTGTGTGCTTCTGCAGGAACGACTAGGTGGTCTCATTCTGCTACACTCAGACTTACAGAACCTACTGGGGTTTCAGCCTAAAGAGGATTTGATAAGATTCAAAACAAAAAGGTTCAGTTACTTTTCTCTCTCCTGTTTTAATCACACATCACACATTTGGACTTCATCCAACAACATAAGTCTCCTGTGAACAGAAGTGATATTGAAACCTATAGAAAACAAGATGGTAGCAACACAACTTTTTCCTTTTTCTAGGTTAGTTACCAATTAGAAACCCTGCAGACACATGACTGTTCCCTGGCCAAGTGGTATAGCGTGATGCACGGGTTGGTTACCTAATCACAAAGAGCCTCACTGTAGCTGCAGCCTTGCTTTACACAGACACAGCTTTGTTTCAGAATTCCAAACACAGACACTAATCTCTATCAGGGTAAAGTGACTTTCGTTTCAGTTAATGAATACAGCTGCTTGGATGGTGCTGAAATCTTTCCGCATCTCTTCAGCTCTTCAAAACTTGACTGCAAAGGAGTTACTTGCTGGAGATATAGTACGCCTTGTTCTCCCAAACAATGACATCCTGCATTTACCAATCTGATCCACAACTTGCAAAGCGCATCGGAGACCAGTTTTACTTACGCCTTTTATGCCTTTTTATTTGTATAGCTATCCACTGGCACTATTGAAGTATCTGATGAAGTACGAAACACCTTCTGATTATGCATTGCATAACACAATCTGCAGCAATGTCAGGATGCCATTATAAGCAAAACTCAATGAAATACTATTATCATTATTATGAAGCCAAACTAATTCATCTACTGAGTGTATTATTTAGAGAATGTTCAGATGGATTGAGACAATTAAAAATAATATAAAATATTTTGCCTACAGGTTGCCACAAGAGGATGCCATTTGCAAATTTCGATTATTTTTCCACAATAGAAGCACATTACTTACTTTAATGAGAGTGTTGGTTCTCATTGTTCACAGATGTAGTTACACTAAGTTAAGGTGCCGGCCACTATGCCGCTTGCAACTGCCTGTTCTGCAGTAAATAACATGCAGAACTAGTGCACACAGACAAGCCCAGAAACATAGAAGGGTGGTACATCTAACATAGCAACTATAATAAGTCTCTGTAACAACAATAACTTGCACTTATATAGAGCCCTCCATGAAGGGTAGCGTCTCAGATTGCTTAACAGTGGCGGAGCCTGACTCCGAGCCGGGTGGGGGGAAGCGGGGGGAGGGGGGGATGGTTGAGGTGACCCTAAGCACGGTCGAAAAGGAAAGTTTTCAGGTGGGACTTGGAGATAAGGAGAGGGGGCAAGGCGGAGGGATTGAGGGAGAGTGTTCCACAGTTTTGGGGCATAGTGGCTGAAAGCACGACCTCCAATGGTGGAGCAGAGGGTGCGAGGGATGGGCAGGAGGCCGGTGCCAGTCAAGCGAAGGCTCCGGGTGGTGGATTGGGGAGTGATGAGGTCAAAGAGGTGGGGAGGTGCCGGGGAGTGAAAGGATTTGGACACGAGTGTGAGGATCCTGAAGTCGATCGGTTCAGTGATGGGGAGCCAGCGGAGACTGACCACAACTGGTGAGGGTTTCGGCATTTGGGATCAGGTACAGTTGGAGGCAGGCAATGTGGCAGTGGTATAGGAAGGCAGTCCTGGTCAGGGACCGGTTGTCGGGGAGGAAGGACAGATAGAGCAGGGGTGGGCAAAATACGGACTGTGGGCCATAACCGGCCCGCTAAATGATTCTATCAGGTCAGTCATTGTGTCGAGCAATAGAAAAAATTATAGGTCATTCAGTCCCAGAAAGTCCCACAAATTTTGCATTTGAACCAGACTGGGAACATTAGCCAATCACACTGTTTAGTTGTGCGCAGGCTCCCTTAAGTGTTGAATCAGGCTGACGTCAGAAATGTACAGATCGGCAAATTTTCAAACACGTGAGCAGCAATCACGGCAATACTTTTCACTGAAGAGGACGTTAATTTAAAATGAGTTTATCAAAGAAGTGGAAAGTGGACGCTGAAGGCCGAATATTCAACAAAGAATGGACTTCTAAATATTTTTTTACCAGTGTGGGTGGAAAAGCTGTGTGCGTAATTTGCAAAGAAAGTGT